ATGCTGGGGGGCTTTATATCCTTCTACTTGATGCTTGGCTTTGGGCATGGTGACCTTAGGCTTGAGGGTGGCTGTTCCAGAGTGACCCATTTTATTGGTAACACTTATTGCTATCAAGATTATACAAACTGCATGTGCGCCATTCAGCAGTGGGTGCACTTTAAATCCTTAAACTCCCAGGCTTCTTTCATACTAAGACTTATTATTTAGTAACTACAGGGACCTCAGTGCAAACTAGTTGAGCTATTGTTAGGTTATAGAAGTGTGTAAAGAAACTTTGGGATCGCCAGCAGGCCTTGGACTGTTTAGGGGCTGAAGTTGCCGAATTAAAAGGGGCATCTACACTGTTAGAAATAAAGGTTCTGTGTGGGCACATTTTTCATTCATCAAGATACAAACAATGTAATTGTACCCTCAAAGGTACAACAGTGGTTTTAAAGTCCAAATGTGTACCTAAAATAGTTTTTTCTCAGGTGAAAAGTACATATTTGTATCTTTTAATAACCTAATGATTTAAAACAGAACAATAAAATAAAAAGCCTGGAGATTAGATACTACTAATTTCAGTGGGTTATGGTACAGTTGTTCCCTGACTAAAGGTACTGAGATGTACTCTTGAGGATACCACCCCAGTCACAAAGGGGTACTGCCCCAGTGACAGTTTCACACCTTTATTTCTGAGATGGTAATATACACCGATCAGGCATAACATTGTGACCACCTCCTTGTTTCTACGCTCATTGTCCATTTTATCAGCTCCACTTACTATATAGGTGCACTTTGTAGTTCTACAATTACAGACTGTAGTCCATCTGTTTCTCTGCATACTTTGTTAGCCCCCTTTTACCCTGTTCTTCAGCAGTCAGGACCCCCATGGACCCTCACAGAGCAGGTACTGTTTGGGTGGTGGATCATTCTCAGCACTGCAGTAACACTGATGTGGTGGTGGTGGTGTGTTAGTTTGTGTTGTGCTGGTCTGAGTGGATCAGACACAGCAGTGCTGCTGGAGTTAGAGTCTACTTGTTTAGATAACTACTTGTTTTGTTGATTTGTTGAACACATATTCTAAAGGGAACAAACTTCAGTACGTCATTTGTTTGCAAATTTAGTGCAAGTTTTATTTATTTGCTGAATTTAACGTATTGGGGAAAAAAGTAAAACATAAAGTATAAAATGTTCTTTTGGTCAGGCCACATTTTAAGTTTTATTTATTTCCAACATGTTCAATTTGGTAAATTGGCAAATTAAAGTCAGTAAGTTACACAATGTCAGGATATATTTTTAAATAGATTAGATATAAAATAATCTAAAGCTCCACTCTCCACTCAGATCTGGAAAAATCCACGGGCACTGCTGTCCATCCTTCCACTGTGAGAAGACACCTCAACACTATGAGTCTGAAAGGATGTGTAGCTGCCAAGAAGCTCTTACTGAGAAAAGGTAATACACAAAAAAAGAAGAAGTTTTGCAAGTCAAGCAAACTGTTTTCAGAGCAATGAACTGACCACCCCAGAGTCCAGGCCTCAACATCACTGAATGTGTTCAAGATTACCTGAACTGTGAGCAAAAAATGCAACCAAATTTTAAGACTGAACTTTCGAGGTGTGGAAAAATATCCCTGCAGATTTCTTTGACAAACTGAAAGCGAGTCCAGAAGGTTTCACACAGCTGCGCACCCCCTATAATTCAACTAATTTAAGGTACAAGTAGCTGTAATTTTTTTACAAGAATGTTATTTATTGAAAATCTCTTTCAGTTTAGGACTAGGCTTAATTTGTGTCTGGAAAGAGTAGCCTACAAAAGTCAGGATGATCATTAATTATAATTCGCCAAATGTGTTGAGCACATGACTTGATAAGCCAAATGAATAAAAAACGTAATTTATGACACCAGGTGTTTCATTCTCCTTGTTAAGAAACGCACATGGTGCCAGCATTTAAAATATTCAATACAAGAGACCAGATGGGTCTCTGAACAGGTCCAGTTATGAGCCAGTGTGCACCATTTTACTGGGAAGAAAAGAAAATGGCTCTAATAATTGTTTCTAATTAGAACCTGAACAAATGTCCCGAATATTCTATACAACACAACAAAGGGTTAACATCAAACCAAACTACAGACACAGAGATGAAGTCATCAAGTGATTAAGACACTTTAAAGCAGTGTTGCAAAATCTGAGTCATCGAGTCCCTCCAGTCACAGTGTAAACAAAAAGCAGAAAGGAGTACAAAGGTAGTGCAGCAAGTTCCGGACAAGCTAAGGACAATTCCGGCTTTAACTGAATACCAATGACTTCTAAGCTCTAGGAGAAGAAAGGAGCTTTGAGTTGACTGGTTGAAGAGAGAATATTAATGACACTGCAGTGATGTCTCCTTTAGTTAACTTTAACTTGGAGTACTGCCACAGTGGCTGCACAAAGCGTACCCGATCACTAATTCAGAATCCACAGTACTGAGCAGAACAGGAAATTGCTACAGTTGATGATGGAAACCATGTGACAGACACATCATTTGGAGGTTGAGCAAGCTCTACGGGTCATTGTTTCCTACAGTTTTGGTCCTGTTTTTCCTAGAACATGTGATACAGATGCCACCTAGTGCACAGATGAAGACAAGCAGGGCTACAGTAATGTTTTTACCCATTTCATTCATCACATTCACCCAATCCTGAACATGTTCTAGTTCTGCATTACAGCTAGCTAGAATGTAACTTTCCGTGTTTAGGATAAATATATTTACAAGCAGCAGATTAGCATGCTGGGGTGACGACACGACAACTCATCAAACCAGCTCACCGAGTGAAGTCCATATCTGCAGTATGTGTGTTAGGCATGCAGCACTAGAAGAACTGGTGCAATATCATTTGAATGAATCATGCTCAAAAGCTCTCAACTGTAGGCTCTATCTTCATAACACATAGCTTTACATTCACTGTTTACAGGGCGGTACACTCTGTGAACTTTCAGGGGTCACAATGTCTACAACACAAATATAGCCATTTTAATATTAGTACCATCCAAAACCTACGTGTGCCTTCTGAGTTTTTATATGTAATGTTGATGATGGTAAAATAGTGTTAAATCTGAAAAATTAAGTTTTATTTGGGGATTATTTTGCCTTAGAACCCCCTGCATGTACCTCTCCACCATGAATGGAACAGATTTTAGGCCAAATCCTTCTTAAAACTATTGTAAAATAAAGTCGCAGGCATCAGACAACATATTCATACCCATCTTACGCAATAACTTTGTGGGGGGAGTTTCAGAGGTGGATGTCTGGTTCCTCTCACCACTAATGTGAACTATTGTGATGTGGTAAGTTTCTCTAGAGCAGAGCATTTCACATCTAACTACTCTGAATGACTTTGTTTACATCCTAAGCCCTTAACATGCCAGGTTTATTTCACACAAATGCTTATTATTCAGTAACTACAGGGACTCTAATGCAAACTATTGGAGCTATTCTTAGGTTATAGAAATGTGTCATAAAACTTGTTACGAGGTTAACCATTCAATTAAGCAGAATTTTGAAAGAACATGTTGTATGTTCGGTTTTGTTCTTCAGCATTTAACTAATTGTAGCACACTTGATTTGCTTTTTTGACCTGCTTCCACTTTTTATAGCCTTTCTTCATTCTGATAAGCAAACCTGTGTACACAGTGGAGCATAAGATAAGCCCACACAGCCTATTTCAGAGGCCTATCAGGTGCTACAACGTGGCCTCATTTCCATGGGAAGCAGTGTTAGTACTTGAAAAGGAATTCCACCAATTTTTCAAAATTTCAGCGTAATTCACTTGTTGGGAGGTAAACAAAGTTATGTGTAGTGTTTTAAAGAAAAAGTTAAAAAGTTAAGTTATTTCTAGAGAAACTTAGCAGCCTGAATTTCTTTACAATGTTAGTGACAAGAACCAAACATCTTCAACACAACACAAAAAACCAGTATATTATACTTTACTCCACTGAGTGACACAAAGGTCAGGATGGATAAAGATATCAATATATTGCCAAGTATTTTATTGGATGTCACCACAAGAGAATAGCGTGCTGTTCACAGATTTTTAACAATGTGCACAGCAAAATCAAAGTCACCAGTGCATATAAATGAAGTATGAGGACAGCAGAGTTAATAATTAAGTACATAGCTGCTTTGGACACAGTGTTGCCAATAAAGCCATATAACAAGCTGTACTATTTGTAAGTAGCAAGTATGCTGAGGAATGAATAGCTAAATATTACAATGCATTCAAAAGCACAAATGCCATGCACCAACTCAGCAGATAAGATTTGCACATTGCAGACATACTGCCCTATTACAATGGCCTGAGCTGCATTGCAAACAACGCCCTACTTGTACCTCTCCGCCCTGCATCCATTTTAAAAATACAATTTAGGCCAAGCGTACTTTGTAAAAACATTATAAAACAGTGCCTCGGGCATTGGGCATGCAGTTCATGAGTCTGGTTCCTGTCATCACCAATACTAACAACTCTGACTCAGTGAGTTTCTCTAGGCTCTTTGCAGACGGTTTCTATTTAGTACTAAAAAGCACTTTTTAGTACTAAATAGCGGTGCTATATAGAACCGTTTTTTAAAAAGATTCTACAAAGAAACATATACAAGACGGTTCTCCATCATAGAACCATTTCAGTACTCAAATAGTTATTTAATTTGTAAAAGTTTATATATAACCATTGCATTTGCTAAAGAACCCTTGAATAAACCTTTTTATGGGTGTAGAATGGCGCATTTTACATCAAACCACTCTGAATGACTTTGTTTACATCTTAAAGATTGAATTATGCAGAAATTTTGAAACATGGGTGGAATCGCCCTTCGAAAAAACTACTGAGAATTGTTTCCTACCTGTTTTCTGACAAGCCCCGCCTCTGTACGCTAGGCTGACCATTCAGAGAGCAGGACACCGGAAAGTACTGCCCAATCAGCGCAGGAGGCGTGGCCTGTAGGAATTCGGGCGGGAATAAAAAACAAAACAACGCTCCTCCTGCTGCCACCTTCGGATAGAGAGTGAAGCTGGTCTTATCTCGATGTAGGTGGAATCTGAGCTCATTGAACAATCTAACATTTAACCTACAGCATCTTTACAACCTCAGCACGACCACACAGACGCCCATGTTGGCGGAAATGACCGAGTCGTTTAACTTTCTCAGAATTTGGCAAATGTTTGGAAGAAAATAAAAACCCTCATTTTGGCTGTTTCATGTACTAACAGCGACCGTGAAAGGTGTGGGATCTTTCCTCATCCTAATATGTGGTTTCTCAGACAGGTAAGTGTTTGTGTGGGTGCAGCAGGCGGTGGTTTGGTATTATGTAATGAAATATGATTGCTACTGAGCCAGCAGGGACATTTTATTTCAGACTAATGTTGTTATGTTCCTGCTGATGAACCTAGATGCATTTTATGACAAGAAAATGTGTGATATAATACTCAATATTATAACAGAGAACAACAAACATGGCTGCCCCAGAATAGTTGATGGTAGAATCGTTGTTATGTGTTATAGTATAGCCACAGTTTCATAGTAGTAAAAGCACAGTGAATTTCCTTGAGGTGTATCAGGTAAATCAGTGAAAATAATGTGTTGTGACCTTATTACCTCTATTCAGGGCATTGCAGCATAACTTCTACATCACTCATTGTCAGTTCCTCTGGACATGTACTAGACATGTTCTGATATTTGATAATGAGGTATTCCTCAATATTTAACACAGACAGTATTGAAATACACTTTAAAAGATATCATTACTGCATTTTAGTCAGAAAAGTTGGAGTTTCACAGAGCTGTCACACTGTGATCTAATGCTCTTTCTGATGTTTCTACAGCTGTTTTAGTGTGTTGTTGGTCTCAGCCTTCTCGGGTCAAGGTTAAGGCTGCAGTGACGTCCTTTTGTACTCCTAGGAAAAGACTGGTGCCTATTAAAGGGGAAGAAGTTCCACTGATTGTTCGAAATCTCTGCGTAATTACATTAAGATGTGAACAAAGGAATTCAGAGTGGTTTGATGGGAAATGATGTGAAATAGAGGAACATGCCAAGTCAGAATTGTTCACAGAAGGGGCAGTAAAAACCAGATGTCTGAAGAGTTTAATGCCTCTTGTTTCGCAAAATTGTTATGAATATACCGCCTGGGGATTAGAACATTATTTTACGTTTAAGTTTGGAGAAGATTTTGGCATAAAACATTTTAAAAAAATCCATTCATGGTGGTGAAGTACATGCAGGACATTGTCAGGCTAAAGGTTACATATTTTTCTGCTTAGTGTTTACCACAATTTTATCATGTAGCTTCACATGTTTTATTTTAAAGATGGAAATCACAAAATGCTACAATCCCTAACACATTATTGCTATTAATAATGACACTCAGGGGCTGCCTAATGGCACAACTGTCTTACACATTCACCCTATCGTCAAAGGATCGCAAGTTCAGCCCCCTTTCTGCCATCTCCCAGCATGATGCTAGCCAGTGTGGGTGATATAGGCTTATTTAACTAACAGGTGGAACAAGTGAATATATAATAGTATAAGTGGGGGGACACTCTAGCAAAAATTCAAACAAAATAAAAAAATTGACACTTTGAAGACTAAATGATGCTTTATTTAATACAGATTGTGTTCTTCTGAATATAATGTTGTCATAATATTGTAAATCATGATAAAATGTGACATATGCTCTGTCAACCTCATTCATTTGCATATTTAGTGTAGTTCTACTTAAGCAAGGTCTTCAAACATATTAGTCCACACCAGAGCGAGTATGAAATGGTAGATCTCATGAATGTGGGTGTGCAGCTTTGTCAGTTTTTCCAGGCAAATGCAGATTTTCGTGTGAACACTTAAGAGAACTCTGTGCACATTTCCGTCACTGCATACCTACATCAAACTCTCTGGAATGAGGAAGTAGCCTATAGTTAAGCCTTGACTGGAGGACAAGATTTTAAAGATTAAATGATTACACACATACACCTTCACCCTCTCAGTGAAGCTGAGAGTTGACTAACTGACCAGCGTATTACATATTATTACAGATTACTTATGCTGTCTGCCCTATGATGGGCTGGCAACCTGTCAAGGGTGTAACCTGCCTTCTGCCCAATGACAGCTGGGATAGGCTCCAGCACTCCCCCACGACCCAGATGGATAAGCAGTTTAGATGATGTGTGTGTGTGTGTGTGGGTGTGTGTGTACTTATGCTGTTCCATTGCTGATGGGTAATGTATTTCATTTTGAAACCATGTTATTCTACAACACAATATGCATTTTGTTTCTATGCAGTTCTTTGAGGCACAATGACGATAAGGCACCAGTGAGAAGGGGTTGAACTGCTTGGCCTGTGGCTCCGAACTTTCAGTTTGCTGGACTCCATGGACACTTTTTTCTGACTGAGACAAGGAGACACAGGACAGTAGCCATGCTGCAGCAGATTCTAAATGACATGTACATCGAGCCGGAGCTGCTGGCAGAGCTCAACGAGGAGCAGAAGCAGGTGCTGTTCTTTAAAATGAGAGAAGAGCAGGTCCGGAGATGGAAAGAGAGTGAGGCACAACTTGAGAAAGAGGATGCTGGAAGAGTGAAACCTAAAAAAGGTACAGTTTTGTAGTAATTTCACTTGACTGCTTAACCCCTTAAGTGACCAGGACCTCAGAATAATTCAATTTACATTGTTATAATAATAAACCCTAGGATGTTATAAGCTTGGGAATTTAAAGGGTTAAACCTACCTTCAAGGCAAAAATACCTCCCTGGAGTTTTTTGCTAAATAGTGTTAGTCCCTAAGCCTTTTAAGCTTAGGGGAACACTGACTATTCTTGCCATCCTGTGACACAGAATGTCCTCCACCATCCCAAATTATAAAGAACATGATCACAGATTTACTGTTACAATTCAAAACCTACCTGTAGTGTAATATAGTGTATACGATTGTGGAAAACTCAGTGTAACGCTATCAATATTGATAGAGGTTGAGAGAGTACAATAAGAGTGTTTATGTTTCTGAAGCTACTTCCAGTGAGTCACAGTTAGAGCAAATAAAGGCTACATAGCTGCTACTGTGCTCCTGTTTTATAAAGAAGGCTTGGTTTTACCTGGAGGTTATAGCAACATGGTAATCAGCTTTAGCATGTCCTAGTATGTTTTATTTTCAGAAGTCCTGACTTTGTAGGAAAACCAGAGGAAAATAGGCCTAACCTGACCAAAGTGCTTTTTGCAGAAGCTACATGTTTCATTTTTAAGACTGTAAGGTCAAAACCATTACTGAGGTTAGGTTTAGGGTCTTATAAATTATTATTATATTATTATTACATATACATGCTGTAAAGGGAGAGTGGGGCACATTTTTTTTGCTAGTTAAAAAAAAAACAGTTTTCAGAGGATTTGAGCAAGTGGGGTTCATTGTAGAGGTGGGTGATATGGCAAAAATATAATATCACGAAACTTCAAAAGGATAGACTCCAGCACCCCCCACGATCCAAGAGGATAATTTGTTTAGATGAATGAAAACTGTCATATTGCTCAGCCCCAGTTAATTGTACAAAGTCTGGTAAATCTGTGCAAACACATTATGATAATTGCAATTAGTAAAAAGAAGCTGTGTCACACACAAGTTTATTTAAGACCCCAAAGCAGAACAGCAAATATCAGTATGATACAATAGAAATATATTTAGTTTAGATAACATCTATACTACATTTGAATCTGTGCATAAACACTTAACACTTATAAACCAAAAACTGAACTGTTTTGAACAGTTGAACTTCGGGTGGCTTAACTGAAACACTGTGCTAAAACTAACCCTGCCGTGTGGAGGATGTATGTGCTTCAAAATGGTGCTACATTACAGGCTCCAAAAGTGAGGCTTAAATAATATAAGTATGAATGCTGTGACTTCTAAACACAATTCGGTTGGCGAAAAACACATCTCTCTGTGTTTGTGGCCCCTCAGTATCCAAGAAGACGGTGTCGTGGCTGAAGAGTTCGGACAGTGATGTGTGGGTGTGGGTGATGGGGGAGCACCCTGATGATAAACCCTACGACCAGATCTGTGATGAGATCATGGCGGAGAGAGCAGCCCTGCAGGCACAGAAGGAAGCAGAAGAGCTCAGGTGTGTTTGTGTGCTTTTCTCTCCAAATTCCACATCTTAGTGGTTCTCTGGATCTGAAAAGCTGGTATATTTGGGTGATTTATTCATTCAAAAATATGTTGGCCCATCTCAGAAACAGTATCTCATTTTGTACATGGTATCTTTGCTGGTGATCCTTTTAAGCTTTGGAAATAGCATATATACAAAGTGTGGTTTACTATTGTCCATGCTAATGGTATGAGGACATTAATGATGCAATTCACCTAGATTCAGATTGATTTTAGATGTGGACAAATGTATTAAGATATTCATTGTTCACTGAAGACAGGATAACCATCATTCACTGGAATGTATTAATCTACTAATTGTGTTTTTAAAGAAGTTAATTCTTTTTCCATTTATAGTACGACTGTGTAGGCTACTCCTTAAAAACCAATATAACCAGTGCATTGCACACTCCCAGAAGTTACAGTGGCACACTCTGTTATCTTATCAGGACTGTATCAGTGTATTCTTAAAAGACACCCCTCAACCAGTACGGCCAGCAAAAGCTGGAACTTAGCTTTGCAGAGCTCAGCTGTAAAGGTCTCGGTTAATCACTAATTGTACTTGCAGGTTTTTCTGCTCTTTAGTTAAATATTCCCCAGCCTAATCTCAGGCTATTGACACAGGGCACTCCCTGTGGAGTGCACATTTACTGTAGCTGCAGCTTTCCACTGTAGGTTTGCCAGGCTTATTTGTCTGGAGCTGGAAAATGCCATTAACTCAGAGCTGTTGCTGTTGGCTATGATCATTGTTTCATAATAGCACTTTGAAATCGTTCCATTACAACACTAAATTCATGAGTAGCTGTTTTTGTATTACTCATTGTACTTCAGCTGAAGAGAACTGAAAGAAATTGTATTTACTTCAGACAGAGAACTAGAGGTCACTTATACTCTACAGAAATAACAGCAAAAAAAGGAGTGGCTGAAAATGTGCCTTATGTAAAATGATAATATTTGGCCGTGGGCCATGGGTGCAGCAAACTCAAAATAATAATTTCATGCTCGAAGTGGCAAAAAGACAAAAAATCCTTCCACATCCACAAAGCATGTGCAAAATAAATCCCAGAACAAAGAAATTCCCGGGCACACCGTCTTAAGAAAAGTATAAAAAGATTTTATTGAAACATGGCATCATGTATAAAAATATGCCAACACGTTGCAGCCTTCTCAGGCCTTTTTCAGGACACAAAACAGTGGCATGTCAAGTGCTCTGGGATATTTTTTGCATGTCCTTTGTGGATGCAGATGGATGTTTTGTTTTTTGCCACTCCCATCATGTTTCCATTTTCAGTTTATTAGAACTTAATAAAAGTTCAATATTTGATACAAAAGATGTGCTTAATGGTGTCCTGATATAACACTGTACTCACAAGGTAATACATTAGCTCCACGCTAACACTGTGATTTAAATGTGTTTTTATTCTATAAATTAAGCTCCAGCTTTTTTTTCCAAATTTTATTTATTTATTTATTTATTTATTTAAACTTCCTTGGGCCTTAGCATTGAATATAGCATGCCAGACTGGCAGTTCAGTAAAAATTGCAGCAATATGAAAACTGGATTCTTTCAAATTGTGAATTTGATTTAAAAACAGTTAATCATTCAGGTGTACACTCTAGCCACAACTTAACATGCTAGTCATGGTACAATGGTAGGATCCAATTCGATATGCCGTGAAGCAGTTCAGTACAATATGCTATTTTGCACTGTTACATCCCTAAGACGTAGTGATGCACAGTGAAATCATAATCTTATTGGTATTGACAGATATTTGCGATATTGACAGATATTTGCTTTAAAAAAAATGGCATCGGACAGGCCGATAATTAATCATATATTCATTTTAGTCCAGAAGAGCTGGGATACTGCCCCGTAATATCTGCATTTTATTCATTTTACTGGATTTGTGACTCTAATAAATGTTATATTTCTTGTTCCAATTTGTACATTTTATAAATGTTAATGTATCAGCATCAGCAAATATGTATGAAAAATATCGAGTATCGGCATTGGCCCAGAATTCCCATATCGATGCATGCCTACTAAGAATACGTCTGCATTCCTGTCTTTTGCACTGATAATAAAAGGTGTGCAAGCCTGAGGTCTTGGAATTTATTTTATGTTCAGTGTGCTAAGACAGGTGACGTCTACAGTTTTGTAATGGGGATGACATTAACCAACCATATCATTACAGACATTACAACAGTGACATTTCCTACTTCCAGCTAAATATAGATAATCTACAGAATATCTGTAGCTGCATACCTAAACCTGATGTCTTTTGTACCCTGTAGAACTAAAAAAGAGGCTGAACTGGAGAAGCGTTTCTCTGGCTTGTATTTGGAGCAGGAGGAGGCAGCCAGGAAGGAGGAGGCCCGAAAGGCAGCTGCCCTGGAGCAGAGCAGGCAGGAGGAGCTCAAGGTATTCTGATATAAATGACCTTAGTACAGAACTCGAATCCACCCAGAACTAACGCCCTCACACATTCAGGTGGTTTCCCCTGGTCACCTGTTCCACCGGTCACTCCAGACTGAAGCTGCTTGGTGACTATCTATTGTAAAGAGAATAGCAGTAAAACAGAAAGTATATTTGAAGTGGATATACTAAGTACTACTGTGGTGACTTGAAGTTTGGACGAAGTTTACGAAACATTGACAAAAATCACACTCAACCTAATGAGAAATTGCAGCACGTAACTCATTACATACATTTAGAGTGTGTTATTCATTTTCTTTTGCCCTTGTCTTGTAATGTGTGTCCAGTCTTGCAACAGTTCCTACAAAAATAATACATCTTGTCACACTCTGGCCTCGATTCACACAAGGACACCATTTCCCAGAACTCCTTGGGAGATCATGTGACCGAACTTCCTCGTTCAACCAATCATCGCTCTAAGTCTCCTGAATGCTGATACTCTACACCTGTGTTCTGTCATATGACCCGTTTAGTTTATAAGCCCGGGCTTTAGCTTGGCCAAATTGTGAGGTATTGTTTCTCCTGCAGAATTACTGGCCGTTCCTACTGTGTTTTTGGTTGCCCTTTTGGTTTACTGGACTCTTTTCTGGATTTCTCATTGTTGTCTTTTGTTTTTGCTGTATTTTTTATGATTGCTCTGTTTTGCCTTTTTGCTCATTTGGATTTGACCCATGTCTGTACCACAACTACGATTCTTGCCAATCCCTTTTGTGTTAAAGTCTCATCTCTTGGATTTTACCGCGAGCATCAGACTGGGTCTGTCAAGTTACACATCTGTAGGCAGAACATGGACAAATCTATTGGAACAACCTATCAAAAAGGTCCAGAGCTACCAACAGTACTGTGCAAAATTCAGAAACCACTCTTTTATTTATTTAACTTGAAGTCAGAATGGCCATTATGTACAAGTTATTCATTCATCAGGAAAAAGCTTTCAGGAGACTTGCTTTAAGTAATTTAAAGAAATCTGCAGGGATATTTTACCACACCTCCAAAGTTCAGTCTTAGAAGTTGGTTGCATTTTCTGTTTCTCACCATTCAAGTAATCCCAAACACATTCAGTGATGTTGAGGTCTGGACTCTGGGGTGGTAAGTCTATTGTTCCTAGAACACCAGCGGCTTCTTTGTTCTATTAGCAAGTTTTTGTCTGTTTCCTTTTCTCAGTAAGAGCTTCTTGACAGCTACACATCCTTTCAGACTCATGTTTTCAGTTAATCATGTAGAGAGCACCAGCAGCGTCCTTGTTTGATTTGCAATTTTGATTTTCTTCCTTTGTGTCTGTTTATTTTCTTGGTGACAGCTAAACATCCTAGTGTTGAGTTGTCTTCTTGCAGTGGAGGGATGGACAGAAACATCTGTGGGTTTTTTCAGATCTGAAGCAAGAGTGGAGCTCAATTTTCTCCAAGATGAAAGCTTTAACTGCTGTTTATATGATGGAGAGAGTTTTGTGGGGCTACCAGGTCTTGCATGGTTGTTAGGAGTTCCATTTTTCATTTATATCTTTTAATCATTGTTGAACTCCAGTTTTTTCACTTATTTTCATTTGACTTTTCCCTTCCTTATGTAAATGGATTGTCAAATATCTTATTTCCCCAGAAAAGTCTCCTTTAGCTGTTTCAGATGCACATAAGAAAGAAATTTGCAGTGTAAAAAAATTTTTTTGGTAGTTGTTTGTGTGAAGGGCAACTTAGTGTCAGTGACTCCTCCTTGGAAGGACACAACTGTAAGTGTTTGGTTTTAAGATTGGAAGAATGGAAGAGTTAAAATGGCTGATAGATTTAATATTATACTTCAGACCTTTTGTGTGATTTTCTGCATTGTTTCTCCCTGACATTGAAAAATTAGTAAGTTGTACTTAATTGCCATTTTGACTGGAAACTAATTAATTTGATTTGAATAATATTGAATAATTTTATACAGTACTGTACTTTGGGCAGCTACATTAGGTCATCCAGAGGTCATTCTCTAATGTACAGAACACAACTAGTACAAATACTGGAAATAACATTGATATGTTAACTAGTACTGGTATGAGCTAAATTTGAATGATCTACAGATCCAGTGCCGCCCAGACTTTCATCCCACTTATATTTCCAAACAACACTGAAAGTGAGAGGTCTTATTTTTTCTAAACACTTGGATCATATCCTTATAGAAGCGAGAAGAGGAGGAGAGGAGGAAGGCTGAGGAGGAGGTGAGGAGGCTGAAGGAGAAGAGGGAGCAGCAGATTTACATGGATCTGAAAAAGGTGTCCCACCAAGACAAGGAGGAGAAGGCCTGGCAGGATTCATGTAAGAGAGTAAATCTGTGACCTCCCAGTGATTTCAGTTCAATTGCCTTTCTTTAAGAAAAGAGTCTCATGAAAATCTCAAATTTGACAGTGATTTGATTCATTTGCTATGGTTCAGAAGTGCATTAATTAGTGCATATGTAATAACGATGCTGTGAAAAAAGTGCTTGTCCCTCACACGATTTCTTCTATTTCTGCTATGTTGCCATATTTAAATGTTTCAGATCATCCAATTAAGTTTAATATAAGGTAAAGACAACACAAGTAAACACAATATGCAGCTTTCAAATGATCATTCCATTCATTGACGATAAAGATTTACCCATGTGAAAAAGTTTGAAATTGCACACCCTAAACCTAATAACTGGATGTGCCACCCTTGACAGGCAACTGCAATCCAATGTTTTCAATAACTTGCGAAGAGTCTTTTACGTCTTCTTTTGAGAACTGTTTTAATGCGGCTACATTAGAGGGTTTTTGAGCATAAACTTCCCGTTTAAGGTCTTTCCACAGCATCTCAAGGGGATTCAAGTTAGGTTGTTGACTTGGCCATTTTGTTTCTTTTGAACCATTCAGAGGTCGACTTGCTTGTGTGCTTATGATCGTCGTCCTGCTGCATAACCCAACTGCGCTTGAGCTTTAGGTCACAAAATGACGGGCGGACATTCTCCCTCAGGATTCTCTGAAAGAGAGCAGAATTCATGGTCCCATCAGTTTTGACAAGTCATCCAAGTCCTGCAGAAGCAAAGCAGCCCCAGACCATCACACTACCACCACCATGTTGGACTGTTTGTATGATGTTCTTATGGTGAAATGCAGTGTTAGCTTTACACTAAATATAACAGGACCCATGTCTTTTGAAAAGTTCCACCTTTGACAGTCAGTCTGCAGAATATTATCCTAAAAGTCTTGGGGGTCATCTGCATGTTTTTGGCAAATGTGAGACGAGCCTTTGTGTTCTTTTTGGTCAGCAGTGATTTGCGCCTTGCAGCTCTCCCATGGATGCTGTTTTTGCCATGTGTCTTTCTTACTGTGGAATCGTGTAAATTGCCTTAACTGAGGCAAGTCAGCCCTGCAGTTCTTAAGGTGTTCATCTGGGTTCTTTTGTGACCTCCTGGATAAGCCATAGATGCGCTCTTAGTGAAATTTTGGAAGGCCAGCCACTCCTGAGAAGGTTCAGCACTGTTCAAAGTTTCCTCCATTTGTGGATAATGACTCTCACTGTGGTTCGCTGGAGTCCCAGAGCATTAGCAATTGCTCTGTAACCCTTTCCAGACTGGTAGATTTAAATTTTTGAATCTCTTTAGTACGTGGCATCATGTGCTGCTTTCTGAGACATTCTACCTGCTTTACAATGCCAGACAGGTTCTATTTAGGTAATGGTTAACCGGTCTGGCAGTAATCATGCCTGGGTGTGGCTAGAGAAACTGAACCCAGTAGTCAATTGAATTTGGTTAACTGGTTGGTTTAGTAGCTAAGGGGGCAGTTACTTTTTCACATAGGGCCGGGCAGGGCTGAACAGCTTTTTTTGTTCAGTAAATAAAACTATCATTTAAAAATAGCATTTTGTGTTTACATGGGCTTTGTCTAATATTAAAGTAGTCTGATGATCTGAAACATTCAAGAGTGACAAATATGCAAAAATAGAAGAGAACGAGAAGGGGGCAAATACTTTTACTCACAGCACAGTAAATATTACTAGAATTTATTGTAATCTGTAATAAAATTTTAAATCAATAGGTTGAATTATGCAGCATCAATACATACTTAAGCAGACATCCATAGAATGACATGCACCCTGTATTTGCCCTACGAGTGACCAAAATAGCTGGAGATGTGTGAATGTGTTTTGTCAAAGGGAAATGTTTTAATTTATGGCACTGTAGTAATTTGACAGTCTTGACACTTGGCTCATAGTCAGTTCCTAGAAAGCCCCTTTCAAAACATAATGCTTCCTATTATCAAATATTTGTGTTAATAAACTCTCACAGTTCACAGGAATAACCTGATTTTAATATTGAAGTGAAAATAGCATTCCATACGTTTTTATTCAAGGGCGTGTTTCTGTGTGTTTCAGTGCGGAGATCCAAAGCAGCTGACCAGCGCAGGCGTTCTCTGGCCAAACAGACGAGAGAGGACCACCGCAGGCGTTCAGTAAAAGCACTGGAGAGAGGAAAAGTGGCAGCCATGATGAAGTCCTTTGCACTAGAGGAATCTGGCCCACCTCCCAAACCCAAACCCAGGAACCTCACCCTTACCAGTGAACCCATTAACCAGTCAGTTCATATTATTACCTGTTTAAACCTTATATCTCCAAAATGGTAACTTTATGGGTTTTTCCTGATGGTCCATTGGTTGGTCCATTGATTATGGTGTTTTTTTTAACATTATGCCAAACAATGTAAAACAACAAGAGCTGAATATCCTTAATATTCTAATTATTTTAAATGAATAATTAATTGTTTACATGTGACAGCATATGATTAATTGCCTGTCACAAGTAAACATAAAATCTGTCCTCAAACATGGTTAGCTGTGCTACATTTATTCCTCTTGTGCGCTGGGTGGTAGGCAACATGCATTTTCAGTGAACATGTTGCTGCTTTCTTATTAAAACCATTTGTCTCCATTTTTTTTATTATGCCATTTGAGCACAGCATTAAGAGTTTTTTGCCTTCTGCTGTAAAGTTACCGTTTTGGCAATGCCATTTTTGGGCTGCAACTATATGAGACAAATAGTGAAAATATTTGGTGAAAAAATTTGTATACACATTGTATACACAGTTCAGGCCCAATTTATTACCATTTGGTCCACATTTTTCTTCATTTGTAATTTGTGCTGATGTGAACAAAGCTTCCCATGAGAGCTCAGCCAGTAACAGTGCAATAGTTACATCAACACCTCCAGTGAGAGCAAAACTTGTTTTGTGAGCAGACCTAAAGTCTAAAACTCACAGGACATGTAATACATCCTGTATCTTCTAGATGATCTCTAGATTTGGACTGCTCAGAAACTTCACCCTCTATTGCTCCCTGAGGTTGTAACATGATTGATGGACCATTGCTGATGTCACAGGAATTTCCAGCATGTCAAAAGCAGTCAGACAAAACAACAGACAGTAGTAAGCCTACCTGATTCTATTCCGCTTCACCCCTTGACCCACTTTTCTCCTGTGATTGTGATTCACAGGAGGCCAGATATGCGCCGCTCGCTGTCGTCCTCTAGCCGGGAAGAAATCATCCGCTGGTTCAGAGAGCAGCAGTTGTCTCTCAGAGTTTGTTTCCAGCAGGACCAGAGTCGCATCGCACCCTGGTTTCATGGTGAGTTCACAGTGTGAACCATCTGTGACCTTTAAGTCATTTTACACCCTTCCCCAGAGGTGTTTTATATCTGTCTGATCTAGTAAGATTTACGGCTGTCACGATCCTGAAATTTTAGCTGACAATTAATTGTCATGTCAATAACTGTGATCACTGATTTAATTGTCTTTTTTATTTATTGTTTGCAACTATTACCCCTTGTGTGGTGTTGATGTTTTTGTTACTCAGTGGTCTGGTGGATCCACTGCATTATTGGTTTTTAAATCAATACAGCCATAACAATTTATGTAAAAATACCAGATTTTCTAATTATCAAGTGGCCAGTGTAGGGGTCTCCTTTAGCAGCTGTAGCCAGTCAACAGCCTGTCCATGTTGTGCACCCTCACACACACACATACACACACACACACATATACAAACACATACACACAGACACAGACACACACACTGACAGCAGGCCATGTAGGAGGAGAACAGAGTGAAGGGACACAGCGCCTCCACACTTTTATTCCCCGTAGGTTCACCCCAACACCACGTGTAATATAAATGTGTGGGGGTGAACAGTGTGAAGTCACTGAAAATGTGTTATTTTATGTTCTTCACAGAAAATGAGCAAAGACCAAGAAATCTGACGTTGAAATAATCATAAATTGCATCATTTTTTCTTTTGATAAACATTGAAAATGGGTCCCACAGACCTGAACACCACACAAGGGTTAAAATACAAGCCAAAAGTGGCCAAATTCCCTGATGGCCTAACCACCTTATTTGCTAGCTAGATTTACTTAGTAGCTAACACTGGTTGTACAGTCAAATCAATACTGCATGCACACTCATGCAAATGTTCACAGTTTCACAGAATCATGTGTGGAGTTCTTCACGAGAGTGAAAATAATGCTGTATTATATGCTTTATTATATTATTCAGCACTGCCGTCTAAATTTTAGAGCACCAAGCGGGAATTTCACAAAGCAAGATTTCTTAGTTAGCCTTAGAATTTAGGCCAAAAGCACAAGCCGTTAGAATAGGTGAAGAGCAGTAATAGTCCGATTGGAAAATCCTTAACTTTTGGCTGAAGTTATCCAGCTCGTTGAGAAATCCTGCTTTGTGAAAGTTTTTTTGTTTCAATGAATGGATTTACTGTTTTCTTTTATTTACATTTAATTCCAACCCAGTGCACCAAATTCACATTGTTTGTTGCTGCATAATAATCAATAATAATCTGGAAAATGGTTGCTGTCAGTTTAAATAATGGCAATGATCTCAAATAATTGCAGTTTGTTGATTTTGTAATAATTGTCACAGGCCTAGTAGGAATTAGATTTTACCATGTTAGTAAAGAAAGAACCTCCCCCTCTGTGCTGCCTCCAGTGACTAATTCAGTGCTCATACTTTAACATACTTAAATACTTAATATGTAAACTTATTTAAATACATTGGATTTGTAATACTGGTAATATGGATTAGCATTATTTGTAATTTTTAGTGATATAGTTTTTATAATATTATTAACCATCCTAATGCAAACAAGTTATTGCATAGAGATCTTGACAAATGTCAGCCTTTGACTTTCATCTAATTGAAAAATCAGCTATGCCCTGTCTAGGGTGTAATGAGTTAAGATTCATTTTAATGTGGTGCAGTGGTCGCGATTTGATAGATTTTTAAAATATGGACTGGATAAAAATGTGCCTTATGGTTATTGTTTCCATGTCTTTGTTTCCAATGTTAATGTTTTCATATCCAATATGTTTCCAGTTTCAATTTATTAGAGAAAGAAGAATATTTTAAATGAATGCTGTGCTTTACAGTGTCCTGATCTAACGCGCTAGCCATTAGCTAACATGCCAGTCACTTACCGCTTGCTGCTGTGCTTTCACTAATCCTAAAACAAGCTCACTACAGTTAAGTGCATTAATTAGTGAATTACATGTAATTGTTCTACACAAACAATTGAAAAACAGATTATTAAACTGACTTGAGCACTTTCACTTTTTAACACAGGTATAATTTCTCGTGAGGAGGCGGAAGATTTGTTGAGTAAGGGCAGCGCTGGCAGTTTCTTGGTCCGTGTTAGTGAGAGGGTCTTTGGATATGTTCTCTCCTACCGAAGCCAAGAAGGATTCAAGCATTTCCTCATTGATACCACAGACAACTGCTACATGCTGCTAGGAGACCAGATCAAGTTCAGTTCACTGGGAGAGCTGGTGGAGTACCATCAGGTAATAAATCACCCACTGCTGCTGGGTTTTACTGCAACTACACAGGGTGAGATAAAGAGGCGCCAAGCTTGTTCTGTATGATTTGGATCTGCCATGAAAATGCTGAATGCCCATTCTCAAAAGGATACACCTCACAAGGATACACCTTCTGACAAAGTTAAGTAGATAAAATAAAGCAATAAGCCGTGCAAGACTGTGTTACAGTGATTTACCGTGTGTAGGGGCTGTTGTTAGCTTGAATGGCTTAGTGTTTTCATAAAATAACAAATATTGTATATATATGTGCATATATGTGTGTATGTATGTATACACACAAACAAACAACTGAAGGTTTGGACTGACTGGAGAGAAACAGTAAAATAGAAGCTGTTTCAAGTATTTTTCTGTATTCCACCACTAGGAGGAGCCTTTAACTTCATCTGGAGGAGAGCAGCTGCTGCATGCATGTGGACAGAAAGCTGGCACTCTGGACTATGCTGACCTCTTCCTCTGAGCCCCAGCCACTGCTTAGCGAGACGATGTGCACCCTGGCCACCCTGGCTTGTCAGGGCTTTCTGCGCAAATGGATTCCCTGATGTTTATTAAACTCTGAAGGACTGTAGATTGAACAAACCTACAGTATGTTTTTGTCATGCTGCCTTTGCAGATGCTATAATTAGCATCTTGATTCACACAATCCCCACAATCTGAGTAACTCTACATGACAAAAACATTGCTTTCAATTCTACTGCAGCCTTGACAGATTTCGAAAGTCACTTTATAATAACGGACCGGATTGTGAAGGTCTTACTTTTATAAATGCAGTATTGCGTTGGCCTTAAGGTGACCTATTACACAGTAATTTAATTTTTTTGAACAGTTCAGTTTCAAAAAGCAGTAGTACTGACATGTTTTCCCTTTCTTTTACCGTTAGCCAACTGGAGACACCTGAGTTAATGGATTATTATATGCTATCATAATCATAAAACCGTAGTGGACAGGATTCACCATAGGCTTATTTTCTCTAAATAGCATCTGTTCGGTCCAAAGCTAATGAATTATGCAAACACTAATGAATGCTCTTATGTCAGTATTGCACTGTATAAAGGCAAAGCATAATGCACTTTCTGGGGAAAAATACTGTCCCATCAATAACTGTTTACAGCAAACACGTGATCCTAACATGGGAGTACAAACTGAAAGAATGGTTTGAGTATTTAGTACTTTCTAAAAGGAGTTTTAACTGAGTTTATATGAATTAACTATAACAGAAACGAAACACCCCTCAGTGGCATTACTTCAGCCCAGTCTTCCGCCAAGTTCTAGAAGAAAATCCATATCTATGTATACATACATGAATAAATATATATATCCATACACACACAGGGTTCAAAGAATTATTGGAGCACAGCAGCAGACTGCTCAACTGGCAAACATTTCAGAAGGAACAGTAACTAAAGTGACATCTGCATTTTCATCTGTGGGAGGGACTTTTGTAAATACGGCTAGAAATTGTAGTGGAAAGCACACATTCAGTGACCACAATGCTCGTGGATTCGTGTACTAGTGATATTTAAGGAAAAACAGAAGAGAAACTGTTCCTCAGGTGACTGAGAAAGTCAATGCAGGATGTGATCAGACGGTTAGCATGAACAGTCCGTCCGCAACTCCATAGAGAGGGATGTTACAGTAGGTTTGCAGTGTACAAACCTCTCAGTGCAAAGACACATTTGAGAGTTCAGTGGGGCAAGAATCATCAACACTGGTCTACAGAGCTGTGGAAAAAAGTGATATGGCCAGATGGATCATCCCTTACCTTACGAGTGCATGACTGGCATACACCAAGAAAACAGTACAGGCCTGAATGCTGGACCCCTACAGTGAGGGGGGGTCTGGTGACTTAAGCTGTGAGGGGCATTTTGCATGCCTTCCTTAGAGGGAAGGGTCACTGCAAATCAGTGCAGTTATTCTAACTAATGTACTTTATTCTATGATGACATTTCTATCCTGATGTCTCTTCCAGCATGACAGTGCCATCCATAAGGAAAAGAGCGGTCACTGAATTGAAGAGTATAAAACACAAATCATGTAAATCATATTCTGAATCCTTCAGTTATCAGATCCCAACTCAGCTGATCATCTATAGGACATTAAATTTACAGCCATGACATTTGGCTAGTGGTTATTTGGAAACACAGCTGAAAACTGACACAAATAACTGCTATAAATTCGAACATTTATTAAAAGTACATACAGGGGCATAAGATGCTCGCCAAACAAAAATCTATGTACAACTTGTAAAGCGATTCAAGCTTTAAATTCCATGTCAGATTCACATGATGTGCAAATTTAAGCTTCGCAAACGAATACACTGATGGCTTTCTTACGCTTTATTAAGTACAAATCAAAGCGATTAGAAGAGATAAGCATAAGCAATTCCAAAGTACATCAAGAGAACAGCGAGATCAGCATACACAATGCTAAAGAATCACAGTTCTTACGGTCTGTTCATCGTACCCGTTTCTAGAGACACGGCACAGTCCCTTTATTCATCCCTTTAATATATTAAGATCAATTCTAACATGAAAACACTATCACACTACCATCCACAACTCCACAGAGCTTTGAGGACTGCTTGTTAATACAATTACATAAGTTACATTATACTATACATTGTTGAATCAATTTGACAGGGAGTCCAAAGTTTGATGCTTTACAATTTGTAGTCACACACAGCTTGTGATTCTATGTCACATTTCTCAGTCAGAAAGCCCTGTAAAACTATACATAGCACACTGTGCACACAAGTTATCAAGTCTAACTATAAACAACTCTTCCGATTTTGGATATTTATAGGCATCTGATGATCAAATACGGTCAAATGCAACGGTTTAGACCCCCCTGGTCAAATTACAGTTCTTACTGATTTTCCAAATTAAAACAAGTAAACACATCCTCTATAGGGAACTAAAATATGGCATTTTTTTGCAAATTGTAGTGCACCATTTCTGTTTATTTGCTGAGTTCAACAAAGTGGAGAATAAAACGTGACGTTTGCACAGGTGACATTTTATGGATTTTCCCCCTCGATATATAAAATTCAGCAAATAAACAGTGATTGTGCATTAAAATATGATACAAGATGAAGATGTGTAATTAAATGTAACTCGACCAGGGGCACCTGAACTTATAACAGAATAACAGAAAAATTACAGTCAACGAAATTACATGTAGTTCATATCTTTGGGCATCCACCACAAAACAGTATATACTGTGTAACACAGTATTGTATGCTTGAATACTGTAACAAACAGTGGAGGAATACTAGTTGAATGTGCTTGGCATCAGATGCACCAGGAGCTGGATTTAAGCCACTCCATAATATGAATTTTTGTTTTTGTCAGTAACATTTTGCTGCTGGTCCACTCTATTAGACAGAGAGGCTGTGTATTAATGCCAAAGTAGCCATGCTTGCTGAGGTCAGAGTGTCATGGCTTTATTGCTATGAAATGCTCCTAAAGAAGCACCTTCTGCTATACTAAAACCTACCTGCCACCTACTGTGCAAACTTCAACATAACACACAATACCAGAACTGCCACCTACAGTATATTACCAGAACAATCACCCCAATACAATCAGAACTGCCACCTAGCGTGCAGTACCTTAACAGAGTGGAACCAGCCTCCCTGCACTTAATGACTAAGTGAGGGAGGAAGACTGAGTGTGAGTGAGTGAGTGACAGTGTGCTAAAGAAAAGAGGGTGCTACATGAAAAACTGGCCCAGGAGATTGGCTACACCCAGCAAAATAAGAAGACTGTGGAAGCAGGCAGAGGGCCAGCGTAACTCGCCAGAGCGTCTCAGTGCGATCATGTGAATGACTGAAGGGAGGACGAAGACCAGAGCCAGGCCGCATGTGGCTCCAGAGTACCTGCAGAAACACAAACACAGAGTTAGGAGCCTTTTACATTACATGCATGTTTTGCTTGAGTAACATTGTAAGGTTTGTAATGATCTGTAATGCCTTAGCACCACATGCTCAGACAAGTCACAATGTTTAGGAGGCAATTCACAAATACAGCAATATAAAAGAATCAGAGAGCACCCTTTGATTACATTTCCAGCTAAAACAGCCACTGAGTACAAGATATTCATTTTTTAGGAGATACTTATAAGGAGATTAGACAACATAATCCACTTGCATAAGGAAGGGGACGTTTCCAAAACTGGAGTTCAAAAAAATATTAAAAAATAGAGATTAAATGAGACTCGAAACAACTGTGCAAGACCTGGTAGACCACCATAACTGTCACCTTCAGATAAACAGCACTTAAAGCTTTCATCTTTGAGAGAGAGGACAAAGAAAAGCTCCACTCCTGCTTCAGATCTGAAAAAATCCACAGGTGTTTCTGTCCATCCTTTCACTGTGTGAAGACAACTCAACACTGAGTCTGAAAGGATGTGTAGCTGTCAAGAAGCCCTTTCTGAGAAAAGGAAAAAAAATGCTAATAGAACAAAGAAGCCGCTGGTGTTCTAGGAATAATGGACTGACCACCCCCAGTCCAGACCTCAACATCACTAACTGTGTTTGGGATTATCTGGATTGTGAGAAGCAGAAAATGCAAAACCAGCTTCTGAAACTGAACTTTGGAGATGTGGAAAAATATTCATGCAGATTTCTCTGAAAAACTGAAAGCAAGTCTACTGAAAAGAATGGAAGCTGTAATAAAGGCAAAGTGTGGACGGAAAATACTGAAAAATTGAAATTATATTTGGGTGTAATTTCAGTTTTCTGTGTAATTTTATTTTTTTTCCCTGATGCTGAGAAATAAATGTATAACTTGCTTACTTAATGGCCATTCTGACTGGAAATTATATCACAAAAGAGTGGTCTCTGACTTCTGCATAGCATTTCCTTCATAAGGTTTCTTATCTAATGTTAGTGCTTAGTATAAAATAAAACTATTCAGCCAAAATAGAACTCCTCCATCAAAGAGATCCCATCTATATATTCTAGTGTCAACCCAGTGTTTTAGCCTGACAAACCACCCCTGGTCTTGCAAGTAAAAGGTTGTGTTTTGTTAATGTGAAAACAAGCTCCTCTCACCTGATAATGGAACCAATGTTGGGGTAAAACCTGGCCATGAGTACCCCAGCACCCACAACGAGGACGTTCAGTAAGAAAACATGGACGAAACTAGAAAGAGAAAGAAGAGAACTGTTAACAGCCGCTTCAATCACGTGAGCTATTCTGACTAAACTGAAAGGATCATTTATGACAAATTCTTAGGTAGGATTTCAGCTTCTAAAGCATGTTGGCCTCGAAACAAGCAAAACTGCAGAAGCAACATTTCCCCAACATCCTGTATACGTCTTATCATTTATCTTATTCATTCTTCCCTGAAAAATTACCACACTGCCAACAACTCCATGCTATTTGGAAACGGTGCTTTGTCCAGTCTTCATCCTGATAAAAATCTAATCTAATCACGTTTTCATAAATGGAGCCCAACGCTACATTTATTTGCATGTAAGTAATGATTTCCATACCCTACTGGTACTGATGGGGAGAGACATACAAATGACACTTGTGGAACAAACAGTGTCAGCATTGTAAACCAGTCGAGCATGTAAACCTCCGATGGGGTGACAACAAACTGGAAATGGTGACACTTGGTTTTACGCTGAATATCAGAGAAATCAAGTTCTTGGAACAAAACCTCATTACAGTAACATACAATCACAGAGTGAGAGAATTTCCATTTTTTATTTTTGCATATTTCAATGAATTTGCTAAAAGGTTAAAGTCATTCAGAGTGGCTTGTTGTAGGATTAGCAATTCTAGGGAAACTAGACGAGTCAGAATAGTTTACAGCAGTGATGACATCAGAAGCATTTAAATCCTCTTAAAGCTCCCACACAGAAAGCCATTACATTTAATGTTTACAAGTGCATTCCTGATGCCTGAGACATTGTTCTTGTTTGTTTGACCTTAAACACATGCAGGGCAAAACAGCACCCGATTCTCCCCCTACTCTACCATAATCGACATCACATTTAAAACTCACCTGTTGGTTCACTGGTTGTTTTTGACAGCAAATATTGTAAAGAAATGAATAACATAGGATTCAAAAGTCAAGAAACATGATAGAGACTGTTTTTACGAACAAAGACCAGAATTGTCCAGGCTATGGTCTTTTCTATAGTTCTTTATAGAAGTGAAAGCTTGACAATTAAAAAGCAGGAAAAGAAAGATACTGATGACTTTGAACTGGTGCTGGAGGAGCCGGCTGAGAGTATCTTGGACAGCAGGGAAAATTCACTGATTGTTGACCAAATCAAGCCTCACCTCGCTTGAAACTCAAGTAACCAAACTGAACCGAACCTCTCTTTATTTGGACAAATTATAAGAAGAACCAATTCAATGGAAAAGAAAACTATGCTTGCTATGTTGAAGGTAGAGGAGGACGGCCAACAATAAGATGGATGGAGACAATCAGAGGAATCATGAACCGGCCAGTAATCAAACAAGCCACATTAATCAAACAGCAGACAGGATATTCGGGAGAAACCCTGTCCATATAGTCGCCAGGAGTCAGAATCGAGCTTACGGCACTTAATAATAATAATAATACTAAAAGAAACCTGCGACGGTGAGTTTCTCCACAATGCACTATTTCACATCAAACCAATCTGAGTTACTCTGAATTATGAAATTTCTTTTAAAGAATCATTGGAATTCCCCTTTAGGAACTTTTTCCCCTACAAATTTACCATTTCGAGGTTTTGTTACAACAACGTTTAAGAAAGTCTACCTGGGGTAGTGTTCACCAAAAATCTGACCCATCAGCTGCACCCGGACCAGGTAACCCAGCAGCGGGTAGACAGTGGTCATCTGGAACAGCAGGAAGGTCCGAGCCACAAATACCCACACATCACTGCTGGGGAAGTTATCCAGAAAGTTCTGCAACAGAGTTAAAGTCATAAGGTCAGCAGCATAATCTATAGTTACACATCATGCCTTGTATAAATATGTTCTATAGCCATGTAGATCAGGATATGAGCGTGTGCATAGCTACACATACAGTTTGTCAAATTTAATATGGCATTTTTTAGCAAACTGTAATGCACAATTTGCCAACATTTAACGTATTGGAAAAATAAAACAAAATATAAAATGTGCCTTAACTTTTGCGTAGGCAGTAATTTCAATATGTAATTTTGCTTTAAAATCCATTAAAATGTGAATTATGACAAAAAAGAAAGAACTCTTACTGGCTCAAGGCACTCTTTAGACAGTGGTGGAGACGGAAAGGCTGCAAAGATCAGCACCCCCACATACAGGTATGTTACTCCGACTAGCAGGTAAGCCAAGGACAAATCTCGTACCTGCAACCACAAAAAAAAACACGTCTCATTAGAGTTAATCCCCGTGACCTACAATAAAAACAGCAAGAAATAACACAAAAACACCAGGACAAAAACTGTGGAATGTCAACGGCTTGCATGTACTTGTATACATACATTTATGGGAAACTAAATACATTTTTGAACGGTGGGCATCAGAATCCCACCCCTCTACCACTGTCCTAATCTCCTCTTTAGCAGGAATTTCTCTATTTTTTATATTGTACACTGCTACGTGTTTAATTCACTCCAAGAATCCTATGATAGTTTTCCTCAGTCAAAGAAAAAGTGGCTTGATTGCTTAAAGGGAAATTTAACCAGTACTGGAACTGGAATATAATTTACTCGCTGATATTGAAGTAAAAGGGTTTATTACAGAGAAACATACTGACTCTTTACAGTGGTGGTGACTGGAACCAGGGTCACAATATCTACAACACAAATATAGCCATTTCCTTACTACCCAAAACAAATCAGTGAACTTAAATGTGTTCTCTACATTTATATATGTGACATGGATGATGGTAAAACTGATAAATCTAAAAAAATACATTTTCTCTGGGGACTATTTTGCTTTACGGCGACCAGCATGTACCTCTTCACCATGAATGTATTTAAAACAGTATGTTAAGCATCAGGCAGCATATTCATAAACATTAATGTAATAAATGTCTGTGAGGCATATTTTAAAGACACCAAACTCTTCAGACGTCTGGTTCCTGTCACCACCTCTGTGAATTTCCCCTTTTAAATTCATATGAGCACAGAATTTAACTCATCAAATCACTAAGCAGTAAAGTCTGTTCTTACTGCACTGTGACCCAGCAGGCCTACACTGCTTCAATTTTATACAACAGAATGGGTAGAATAAAAAATTCATACAGTTTTATGCAGAAGTTTGAACATCACTTGTCAAGTTACATGTTTTGTTCTTCTAAGTTCTCTGTAGAAGATCAACAAAACACATATTCTGGCTTTCTGCATACAACTGTGCCAAGAATGTGCAGAACAGATATGGATTTTACACAATAACAGGCCAGTGAAAGTTCTGATTTTATAAAAATAGCTCAGACCATGACCTCAGTGGTCCCCCAGCTATGTCACTGTCCAGGCACAGTTTAGATGACAGATAAATGTATGATGGTTCATTCTTTTGTTTAGCATAGCATGTGACCAGGAAATACTGCGATAAAACATGATGTGAAACAAGCAGGAAACGCCATTAAAAAACCACGACACAGACAAAAGAGTCACACTTCTGCTGACAATAGCTGTTATATTCTTCTCTGATATGGACACTTCCTGATCAGCACATCTGCACCACAGAGAACAACTATCCTAAGTTTCCCATGCAAAGTACAGCACTGCCGTTTTAAAAGTAAAACTATTCCATTGTAGAACTACAGCTAGTCAGCTCCATAATTACTGGCACCCTCGGTGACGATGGTTAAAAAGGCTGTGGTTAATTTGCCCAATCTCATGATCAAAATACGACAAATATCTAACCTTTAATTGAAGTAAATTTAGTACAAGCAAACAAAAATCCTTTTTATTACTATTTTTATTATTATTTATTTATTTATTTATTTATTTTTTTTACAAAATAATCAATTATTGGCACCCACAGAATTTTGTAGGGACAAAATGTAAGTGAAGCATGTTTCCATTTATATTTAAAGTGTTCAGGAACTCTTAAACAGTCCTCCAACCATGACTTCACGTTTAGCTGTGGTATAAATGTGAAGTGTGACAGAGGCCAAATTCCCTTAGCCATTCTTTAACACAGGAAAGATTAGAGAAAGCAAAACTGAAATGAAACTAAAAAGTGTGTTGACCTTCACAAAAATAAATAGTTTATAATAAACAGTCAATAAATAGGCCATAATAAACAGCTATGCTGGAAATGCCCTTATACACTGTTAGGGCATTAATAAAGACATTTAAAACAGCTGGAGCCGTAGTGAACCAGCCTGTACAAATGCTTTGGTGAGGAACCCATGGGTTTGTAGCTGAATGCCAAAATGACACTACTGATTACAAAACATGCTGGAGACTGAAACTGTCTCATCTGGCAATGGAACCAATACTGGAGTGGATCTGTCCTACCCCTGTTAACATTGCAAGAATTTTTGCAACTAGTAATTCCACACAGATGTGATACATATAAGAACACTTGCGACCTCAACAAGTGCTTGTATACCTGCTAAATTCAGAAAAACATCACATGCAGTTTAGCAAACCCACAAACCCAATGAGTGGGACAGACCATTAATCACAAGTGAATTCCATTCTCTGGGTTTTTTTAGAATATAGAGAGGTAGCTGTGCAGCACTACTACCGTGTTGAGTGGAGCAGTTCTTCAACAACAAACTTTAGGAATTCTCCAGCAGTTTTTCTGCTTAAACTATGTGTCCTATATTTGCATCCAATGAAGAACACTTTCATAAATTGCTCAGTTAAAAGTGTTGGTAAAATTTAGCTGCAAGTCTGTGTATTTTGATCTTTCAAAGATGGGTGTATTTTTTTGAGGGAAGAATTTGTGGTCGTTTGTTACCAGTGAAGTGCCTGATGACCAGTACCAGTGCCTGATTGCACATGGATCCCAGCACTCCTTGGGAAAAGAAACTGATATTTTACTGTGACAGTCTAGTTTGGTTTGAGATGCAAGATGATACTGTCTGATTGGCATCAGACATATTTGAATTTGATCAATCTTTCAGAACAATATTTGATGTGTTTACTGTAATCTAGAAAGTTCAGACTCTTTAGGCAATGCTGAACTACTGTGGTAAAATGTCTATTCTATTTATTTTACTGCATTTGTACCGGAATTAAATGTTGTATTTTTCTGCGATGCTAATCTAGGAGGCATCTATTACTAGTGTGTTTTCAAAGCACTGAGAAACACACTAAATTATTGTCTATGGCAACTTCCTCCTAGCTACATATTAATCCTTCAGAGGTAACGTGACTGTGAACTGTAGGAAGCTAGATTAATTGTATTCATGTGGGATGTAAAAAAGAGTAGTACTTACATTATTCTCCTGATTTCTGTTGTTCTTCATGAGGGTGATGATGCAGTTGTGGATGAAAAAGGCCAGTGTGAGAACACCAGTCAGCTGAGGGAACAGTAACCTAAATTCTACAAAAAAAAACAGCACACAAAAACTACAAGTGAACAAACATTCACAGACGAGGGAACAATACATACTTTTTTTGAGTGCACTGAAAATATACTCTATATATAAGTATTTAGAAGCAGGAAGAAAATTCCGGACCCAATGCAGCATCAATACTTAATGAGGGTCTCAAATTACAACAGAATCTAACCCAGGGTTTAAATTCATAGTTTAGGGCATTAACCCATGTCTGCACTTTTCCAAGTATGCACAAGTTGACCTATGCAGATTATTTACATGGCATTGCCCTTTTTGCTAACTGGCCTGAAAAATATCAGGATACAATGCTGTGCTAAAACTGTCCACTCTAACTTTGAGTTCATTGTTTATACATCATGTTGAATGTCAGTTATGTAAGCAACGAATATCTGATTTAACACAGTGTTCCTAGAAGAAGCTTTGAGGCTTTTATCAAATTCAACAACTCTAAAACCAAGGGATGAAGATTTGGGCTTTTTACTTTGTTATTTCACTACTGAAGATTAGGGAACTGAGGCGCACAACCCAAAACAAATGTAGCACAGATTTTATGTAGTTAAAGAGAAGAAGAACATGCTGTTCGTCATATTCTTGTATTAACATAGCAATATTTTCTATGAAAACTGACAGTAAATGGACAGATATTTCTGAAGATTCACTCTGAAGACTGTTTTCATACCATGAAAGCAGCTTTTTTTATCATAATTTTTCAATAACTAAGTTATAAGTCGCAAGAATTCACAACCGTATTATTTTATTCACCCACTACATGCCTGCAAAATAGCACTATTTTGAAGAACAAACATAGTGGGAGCTAGCCAAGCTAAAGTACAGCCCTACTGCATGAACATGGCGAGGTTAGTTAACTCAGTGTTACAACAGCCTCCCAAGGGAAAAAATAAGAGATGGCCAAAAAAATTTTAAACATTTTTTGGATGTTTTTATGCACAGATTTGTCCAAAAACATACTATAGATGTATGTAAATAACATCTTTCAGTTTTATTGTGCTGATACTTGTTGTTCTACTTGTAAATGAATGAATTTGCCTCGTTTAACATTTTTGGCTAATCACATTTTGTGCATATATTTTCACGTTCTTCTTGTTCAGACAACATTAAATTGTCCAATTAATTGTATTTGCATAGATTTATCAGACCTTTTCATCCCATATAACTGGTCGCTTATTACTCCTCCATCTATTACAACTTACTACAATTTATTATTAAAAACATTTGTACTCCACTGCTTTTGGCTGAACTGTTCATGGTAGGTACTGGAAAACAAAGTTTATGTTTTAATTTGTAGATGAGATTTGTAGTTTACTTGCACTACAAATGATGAATCTTGCCAAAAAAGAAAATTATTTCTTTTTGTTTATTTATTTATTTTGTGCCCCCCTCTCCTCTACTGCATGAACATACGGCAATTACTGTGTATTTCTAGTCCAATCTCATGTAAAGACACTTGAATTTGCACAAGCTGGGACTTGAACAGGTTTCATGCATGGAGTCTACAGAGGTACTTAAGTGCTAGGCTGTCTAGAGATTTTCCTCCCACACAACAATTATTAATCTAAAGCTCTGTAAAATAAGCCTAATCGTATTTTCATTCCTGTCATCAGTTCTGTGTAATGAGACTATGACCTCTGCAGACCTACTGGAACATTATGAGATGCCTTTCTTTAGGGGTGCACTAATCATGAATTTGTGAGCCAGAGTCCAATTTCTTAACAGCTTGATTTGCCAATGGCTGATTTTATTAGCCAAGGTTTTTTTTTTTTTTAAAACAACCAAGAGTAAAACATTTAGTTGCTTGTTACCAATGCTCACACTCTGCATGATGTGCAATGCACTGATATGAAACACAGCTAGTGGGGTATGTCTAATGAATGTATAAACTTGTATGCACAACATTCAAATGCAGCCCACATGTTCTTGGATTCCCTTAACAATCAACAATTCCCCAGTGTTGCATCCTAAAAAATTAAATATGGACAACAGTGTACATATGTATACAGTGGGTCACTACAATACTGGAAAATTGTTACAGTATTCACCTGGAACGAAAAGCTCAGTGGAATGAAACCAGTGGAACTCCAGGTGAAATCCTAGTCGAAAGGCTTTGATGGTGACTAAAACAATAAGGTAGATCACTGAAACCGTGCCTGTGAAGAACAATGAGAGCTTGTTACACAACGGCCGTCATGTGGGCTACCAAACCAACAAAACAACCATTCAGCCACACACGGCAGCTGCCTACCAGTCAATAGGCATCACTATGAAAGATGAAAGTATAAACAAAACAATATGTACTATACAGGAGAATGCAAACCATTTTGCGGACATACAAACGTATTATTCCCATAATACAAAAAAATTGATCAGATATACAAAACATATGACCACATTGTCAAAGGCATACTGGTACTTTATTATAATATCAAACAACAATATTCAAACACGTCTTATTAAGTCTGTGTTAAAATTATCTCATGATTTCCTGAACTTCTCATCACAGTAGGGCAATGTGGAAACCATGGAGGCAATAATAACAACAACAACAACAACAATAATAATAATAATAATAATAATAATAATAATAGTTACTGTCGGAACAAGACCTTTCATCTCCAAAAAAGTAACTTTACAGGATTTCAAAACTTGATTTTACTCTAACTCTGTACTCTAAGTCTGTGTTAAAATTAGCTCATGATTTCCCGAATGTCTCACCACTATAGGGCAAAGTGGAAACCATGGCAGCAATAATAATAATAATAATAATAATAATAATAATATTGTTGCTGTTGTTTTGTTTTTGTTGCTATAGTAAAATTACTACTACTACTACTACTACTACTAATAATAATAAATGTTACTGTTGGAACAAAATCTTTCATCTTCAAAAAGTACCTTTACAGAGACGCCACGCACTGAAGTCTCTGAAGTCTTAAATTTTAATGTAAATTACTGTATCTTGATTTTACTTTAACTCATTTTGGACCATTTCTACTGATTTGTTTGTTATGAAATTTTGACACTAAATGGTAGCTGGTATTTTCAAATTACAAAAAAAAAACAAAAAAACAGCAAAAACTGAGATACAGGTTTCCAACAATGATGATATATGGGTGATATACAAACAAAAAAAGTGAAAAAATATTTTTAAAAATAGTAATAAAAAATTTAATTGGCAAAATCAAGTGTAATCAATCATAATGTACATAAATTTAAATAGGGTCAATGCCCAGAGTTATATGTAATTTATTTTCAAGATACCTTTTTAAAAGTGGCAAGAATATCAGTCGCTGTCACGTTTTCAGGTAGAGATTGTCAGAGTGATATGTTAAGATGGTGTCTTACCCAGAAACGTGAACCTGGCGAAGAAGGAGGCTGAGCGGAAGTTGAGCAACGGCAGCAGCAGGATGATAAGGTAGAAGGGGATGGTGTTGGTTTTACTCCACCAGCGGTCAAACACAGCTGTGCTGTTGTCACCAAGATAATGCAGGGTAATGCTGTTGTTGCTGTGTGGATCCACATCTGGATATGGACACACCACTGAAACAGAGCAGGTGAACAGACAGTTACTACCACACTCTTAAAAATACCTGTTTCTAAACAGTCCTTGGCTTTGACTTACGGCTGTAGCTTTCATGCAATACCTGAACTGGCTAATCAGTATTTTATTAAATTAAAGTTGAAATTCCACTGATCTTTCAGAATTTCTGCTGCATAATTCAGCTGATGTAAACAAAGTCATTCAGAGTGGTTTGATATAAAATGGTTTATTGTTGAATAAAAACAAAACAAACAAACAAAAAAGTTCTACCGAGATTTAATTACAACAGTGATGATGCGCCGGGGTTGCAATGTTTATGAATTTAATATAGCCATTTTATTTACTACCTAAAATGACCAATCAATCTACATTTGTCATGTGAATGTTTGTATACAATGTTGATAATGATTAAATGGTGGTAAATAGTGGGGAAAAAAAATCATTTTCTGTCTCTTTGGGGCCTGTTCTGCCTTACAACAACCTGCATGTCCTTCTCTGCCATGAAAGGATATAAAAAAAAAAAGGTTTTAGGCCAAAACCTCATCTCAAAACTATAGTAAAACAATGTCTTAGGCAAGAGGCAACATCTGCGTTTCAGGTAATAACTTGCTGTGAGATGGCTTGTAGAGGCATCTCTTCAGATGTCAGGCTCCTCTCACCAGAACTGTGAACAATTCTGACTCAGTGAGTTTCTTTAGAACAGAGCATTTCACATCAAACCACCCTGGATGACTTTGTTCATGTCTCAGTGATCAAATCATGCAGATACTGAAAGAGGTGGTGAAATTTCCCTGTAAATCAGGTGTGCCACTGACGGTTCTGAACAAATCAATGGTGGTAAATAGTGGGGAAAAAAATCATTTGGCTGGGTGCACCAGGCCATATCCGGAACCAAAACTTTGCTCTTCTAACTAACTCAAAATATATCAACTTTTCTGAAAACAACAAAGTCTTGTTCATTTTTACTGCATTACAGTAATAATTGTGTGCATTTATTCTACTGTTATATAATGTTTTTACAAGCAGAAACCCATTTATTAACTATTTAAAGGGTTTCAAAATGTTTGCTGTGGTCCCTAAGACTTTGCACAGTACTGTACATTTTTGCGGGCATTTTTTTTTGGATTCTCAGTGCTTCACACGCAGTCAGAGGATTAAACATATCAGGCCGTAGATCAAAATCCAATCCAATCCATTTATTTGCACCATATTTTCATATTTGCACTCAGTAGCTGGCGTAACTACAAAGCTCAATACTGGCACAACTACAAAGCTCAGATAAACCTAAAAGGGGCCAAGTTTTAAAAGATTTAGACACACAGATGGAAAGAGCCAGAACAGGCAAACGGCTGTTGAAGACAGGAAGGTGCGCTAGAGGAGTTGGGCTCTGAACCAGTAATACTTTAAAAGTACTCACCCCTGTCTGTTCCATTTGTCCCAAACTCTGTGTCAGACATGTTGACATTGTGAACGAAGTCTGGTGGTGAGAATAAAAGACACAAGAGAGACAGTAACTAAATAACTATCAGAGAATCACACACAGAAACAGAATGACTGTAATAATGGCTGCTTACTGTAGATGAATTTTCCTGTGTTGAACAGAAAGTTGGACATGAGCACCCAGTAGACCACCATTGCTCCGATCAGCGACACCAGAGAGAACAGCAGACTGGACCACTGTCCACAGGCCCCAAAGTAATATTTACATACATCAGGAAACTCCCAGTCTGAGGTATCTACATAAGCTGCAAAGAAGAAAAACAGCATGTTTTTCTCATTGTCTGTGTTTCTTTATAATTCTGGTATTTAAGCATTTTAACAGAGAACAGCTTGTTTCTCCCTCAGAAATAGGGCCCAGCCAACATATTGCTTGGCAACAAATTTGGCCAATATTAAGCTTTATCAGCATCAGGGGAATAACGCACAGTTGTATCTTTAAATGTTATATAAGAAAAACAACTTCATTTGTTATTTACTCTTTTTTTTAAGTTTTAAGATTAAATTATTATATTATAATATTATAAAATATTATGGTCATTTATGAGTGTCTTGCTTCATATTTATAGAATTATTAAAAGTTTCTGCTACTTAAGAAATTCGATAATTGACAACTGGCAATCATATTTAACTGCACAATAAAGCACTGCTTAAATAAAAAACTACTAGAGTGCTTATTTTGTAATAAAATTCTATCAGGCAGTATAATCTGATTTTAAAGATCAGTATCATTCAAAGTGCGCATGTCAGTCGAGCTCTGCTTAGAATACAAACGACTGGAGCTTTTACAGTCATGGACTATGAGGATTATGAGCTATGATCTCTACGTTAGAGCATTAGAAAACACATTAGAAAAACAACAAAGGTAGTACACAACCCACAGCACAGAACGTTACAAATGCATAAGTACAGGGTCTTCCATTCCTGCATTCCTGCAGCCGTGTGCTGACAGCAGCAAACGGCTCGGCAATGGTTGGAAAGGTACGTGCCAACAGTAGCACAGACCTGCTAAAAGAGCCTCTCTCCCTCTGGTTCCACGTGCTATAGGGAAGTGTGTTTGTATAAAGGGGTGTACACAAATTTAGTCCAGTTACAGAGAGTCCATAAACAACAGCCAGGGTACAGTAACTTTGTGAAGTTGGTTATGGTAACTGCTATTTTATCTTATGAAATTAATTAAAATGCTTTTTATTTGATACAAGTTAATATAAAAAAAACTACTGTACTTTGCTGTATAGCCTTTATACAACTGGGATATTCTGCCTGTTCTGTCTTGTTCTTAAAACCTCAGAAGAACAAAACATTCAGGCGTATCACGAAAACCTCAGCAACATAATGGAACTAAGCAAAGGAGAACCCTAAGCACTGTGGATGAAGTAGTTTTGGCAGAGTAATTGTGCAGCTGGCTTACGTATTGATTTAGTGGACTTGAGTACTCTGTAACAGCAGTAGAGGGTCAGTAAGCCCATTAAGATGAGGATGATGATCCCCAAGGTGAAACCAGCCTGGAAATGAAAGACATCAGTTACAATAATATCTAATTACAAACAAGTTAGATTGAAGTACAGAAAAACAGAGAAAAACAGAGAAAAATTAGGACAGTGATTTCCTATCTTAAAATAAAAAAATAATACATTTATAGACATAGACACACACACACACACACACACACACACACACACACAAAACATACCTGCTTTATTCCCCATGGTATGCTCAATATAGATGTCCCCATCATTGTATTCCATATAGCAAAACTTCAGAAAAAAAGGTTTACTTAACACAAAATTGCAATTACTTACAAAGACTTTTTTTGTATTGGTTTACAGTGCCACGCCTGAAAGTAAATTCTTGTAGTATGCATGTTCATACTATATGTACAAATGGGACCTTTTATGAAATGCAAGGCCACTGATACATACATGGTGACAATGCTGGGGTTTTTGGCAGCACCATCTTTTCCATGCACTTTAAATGCTGTTCCCAGAGGGCTGTATACGTAGATTTCTTCAGGTGGAGGTATCACATGGTCTGGAGGAGCCTTCAGAAGACAAGTACAACAAACAAAATTATAACCTTACAATACAGATCCTGCAAAGGACAATTCAGGCAGAGGTAGCTTTACATGGTGAGGAGGGGTAACGTAATTATGAGTGGTGTTTCTCATTGTTTTTAGCCCTGTCCATGAGTTTTTACAGATTGCGTGCTTCTGCACCAGTAAAGTTTCCGGAGGCTTTTACCTGCTTGAAATGACCCCAAGTTATATTAATCGTGTATAAATTGCTGTACAAAATGCCAGTGAAAATCTGATTCCATTCAGTGATGTTAACTCTTGGCTGTAAATTCCCATGTTAATGACAATTGATTAAATGGTTATTTGCATCATGAAATGATTCATCAGACTGATGGAGAATGTGTTTTATATGGTTCAATTTAGAACCTTTTTTAAAAACGGTTCTATATAGCACCAAAAAGAGTTCTTCTATTGTTATGATGTCAAGCTTGCAATAATAGAAAACCCTCCATCAACCATCTAGATAGAACCATTTTCTTTTGTAAAGAAACCCCTTAAAGAATCATCATTTTTAAGTGTCTATATAGAACGGTATATGGAATTTACTTCCATTATAGTTCTAAACAGAACTATTGGCTTTATTAAAGAACACTGGGTGCAGAAACTATTTCTATATTTCTCAACAAGCCTTATGTAAAGCATGTGGAAGAATTACATTCAGTGCTAGAGAATCAGTGCTAATCTGTGACAAATCCAACTGATTTGAATAATGCAGCACAGTTCACTGTCTTTGGGATCCAACACAAACAAAATCAAGGGAAATTACATCGCCCTTATTTAGCGTGACATGGTAGCTGCACAAACACGGACGGCGGAGAGCTGAGATAAGGGAAAAGTAATTATCTCTGGACTTCAACCACATAAAGCGTCCATTCACTGTTTAGCCAGTGGCCAACATCGTAACATCATTTTGGGCCAAAACAAAATGTCCATGTTATTTTCAAACATGAAAACAAACAAACAAAACAAAAAAGTAAAAGCGTGATGTACTGTATAGCCTTTCCAGATGCATTTGTGCATTCTGTGAGTGTTTAAAGCTGCACTATGTAAGATTTTTTTTTTTATTGAAAAAAGTAGCATCACTGAGTCAGGAGAAAAAAATGGTGCTAAAAGCTGAAGTCTTATTTGAATTTCCCGCTTCACTTTAAATGGTGCAGCAGTTACATTCAGGTGCCTGTACAGGTGCCAGAATGTAACTGCTGCTCCATTTAAGGCAAATGAAATTCTAACAAATTGCTGGCAAAAAAGAAGCCAACTACAGCCTTGTAGAGGCTGGACAGGGGTGTCGGGTTGGATTTCATGTCATACATTTTTACGTGTTAACATCACATGCCTTTATTTTTAGGTCTCAAATAGTAGATCTCAATAGTAGATAATGCTGGCTGAGTTCTCTTTGAATACTCTTTAAACATGCTTGCATCTGCTTGGGGAAGGGGTCTGAAGCACGATGTTACAAAATGTTTCTTCCTAATATTGCAAGCAATTACACATTTCCAACAGGGATGTCTCCAAATCCCCCAAAACTAACATAGTGCAGCTTGAAAAACAATTCACATCAACATAATTGAATCATACCACTGGTAAATTTGAGATTTCATGATGTACTGATTTGTTTCTGAGAATCAAAATCTATTCAAATTCTTCTGAGATCAAGAATTCAACCCCTAATAACCACATGGACTGAAAGCTGAAATAAGTTACTGATCGGTCATTTAGAATACCAGTAGTCTGTCTGAGGAGGCGGTCAGGCGACTGTAGTAGTGAACTCTGCTGCTTAGTGCTGAAGCCTCAGCAGACACTCGCTCCTGAGCCGAGTCCTCCACTATGTTTTTGGGCTCCACATGGAAAGGCCTGCAACACAGAACGAAGAGGGCTCACATGAGATGCTATCTAATGATGCCAAGCTAACTGACATTGTAGTTTAAGAACGTACCTGCTGGTTCACAGTGATGGAACTGAAAATCGGAAGATGTTTTAGATTTGATGGAAGATTATGAGTAAAGAAGAACTGTCTTTTATATGATATAAAACATGATATATGATATAAACACACTGTTAGATTGGGGTGGTGGGAGGGGGAGGGGAACAATGATTTTATTGGTTAATATTATTTTCTTCGTCAGCTGGTGCACAGTGGTCATATCATACTAATATGACCATGCACATAAACCAACAAGGTAAAAAGGTTCAATTAGATTTTTTTTTTACCTTCTTGAGAAGTTCAAATGCACTGGTTGACTGTTGTAAACCGATCTGACACTAATTCATGCTATTAACAACCGGGTAACATTAAGCCTCATTTCTTCTTAAAACCCACTTATTCAGTTCACAAAGATTTGTTCTTCGAAGTGTGCTCTGGTAATATCACTGTTGATTGTTGTAAGCTGATCTGACACTTTGATGCACGCTATATACAATCAGATAACACTGATTGTTTTATTCCCTTTAGATTTAAGTGTGTCATGATCACCACAAACTGCATAAACTGCAACCAGCTGTTTTCTGTGAAGGCAACACTTAGAACATTATCGAGAGCTGGAATAACATACAACCAAAACATTCCAGCATATGGGTGCAGGAGCGTGCAAACAGAGTTTGAGAACATTTCTGAGAACTTGGGCACAAACACTTTCAAAGTAACCCGCACAATTTGATGACCTAAAAATAACACGTTGCAGCCACTTAAAGAGCTGTGGGTGGGGTGCTGTTTTCGGGGGGCATAGCTGCAGGATGTATCACTATGAAGACTTACGTCTTCGTCAGTGTTTGTGAAATACCAAACTGGATTAATTCAGACTGACTTGTTTGTGGTTCTGAAACAAGACAGCTGTGGAGGGAAATGCTCAACAGCACTTTTCAAACACTTCACAACCCAACTTTAATTCAGAACATTGTGCATTGAGAAAGCATTCATTTAATGCCTGTTCTATGACAGTGCAATTAAAAAGGTCGTTCATGAAACAGATCAACTTCATCCGAAATCGACAACTTCTGAGTACTAAACATGTTATAGTCTGAAAAGCGTACAAATTAATAATGAACTGGATGCAGCATTGTAACCTATCAGGTGTGTTTATTATCTAGCTGGATTTGCCTAAACTGGATACTAACTACAGCTTTTGTTAGTATCCAGGTTTTAACGTATAATACACTTACTCATCAGCCCATGTAAGTATATTTGAGGGGAAAACGTTCAAGGGTAAGTGTATAACCACTAATATTTTACCTCCAGAAATTTTTTTGTATCAAGCTTTAATGTTTAACATTGTACGAATGTTATTTCTTCTTATGTTCATGTAACGTTTTGTAACTGCATTAAAAACTCCACAGACCGCAACTGTCTGTATCATAGCAAATGTTTTGTTGGCACATACTCTGAGCTACGTAGTGGTTGTGAAGACATTTATTTTAGATTTTAAAGGAATAGTTAACAGAAAAAACAACTACTCATACAATGTACTCATTTCCCAAAGAATATTGCGCAGTGAAGCTACAAGGCTAATATAGCAGAAGCCTATGGCTGTGTTCATGCTGCAGTTAAAAGTGGCCCAAATGTGATCCTTCTTCATATCTGACACAGATTTGACTCACAGATGGTTACACCCTGAATCTGATTGGAGAAAGTCAGATTTAATGTGGCTTTTTGACGTTCAGACTACAGAAACTATGTCCTGTTCAGATCAGATATGCCAAAAAAATTGGATTTGAGCTGCCTGTCTGAACAAGGCCATAGTCTTCCATTGCTTGTTAGCTTCCTTAGCCTCATAACTCCATTAAAAGACTAACAACAAACAGGTCTTAGCCTCTCATACTGCACTTTGGGAAAGCGAACTGTGTCAACTTTATTTTTCTTTGAACTATTTCTATAAAAGTACATCTAGGTAATATACATGGTATGCTATTTGAAACAGCATCATACCTTCTTTGTCTGGGGTCCAGCGAGTCTGTCTGGTCCGTGTAGTACTCTCCTGCTTGAATTGAGCCCAGAAGTGGTTTCCCATCGTCCTCCATCGTCTAATAGTAGTGCTTCACTTTAAAATCATTACCTGTACAGACGATAAGCAGTCAAGCAAATGCTCCATTGCACAAACTCTTTAGAATAACAGCAAACTGCCATTCCAGAGAGGAGCCAAGTTAAGGCCCATTTCCTCACAGACATCAAAATACAATCACAACAATCTGTTGGCAAATTCAGTTTCAAACAGGACACTCATCTGTGAAGCCCTTTGACTGAGAGAATCCCGTTTTCTGTCAGAAAGTGGCACAAACCTCCAATGATAAAGCCAGACTTGTAACAGAGTAATCCCATCCCTTGTTAAAGGCGAGGGGCAATGCAAGTGCTTGGCTCCATTCCTGCATGTGAGCATGACTAATAGGGGTGAGGGGTAAAAGGGCACTTTACATCCACCCTCTAAACTGTGACCTTACTTTTGAGGAGTGCAAATCAACAGGCCACAAAATTCCAAGCCAGTGACTGGTATGGAAACGTGAATTGAGGATGCTTCCCTTCCATCCTGCAGCTCTCTACAATGATGTGTGGGAATGATGTGGGTTTTCTCAGATTAGGAAAGGAACACCTTCAGTAAAATAAGCTACACATAATATATTAAGAATGAACACAAGGACAACTAAAAAGCTGATTAGACCAGTTAGGCAGAGAACTCAGCTCTGGAAACCTTGAGGAAACGTTTAACGACAGCACGTGAAGAAATTTACAGCTTAAACGTTCCGCATTAAACATGGATGATTGGTCCTCTTCTCATTTGACAGAAGCCATGTGAAGCCATATAAAGTCATGCGGCTGGTATCACCATTCACAAGGACATGGACGAGGAAATATGCTTGCTGTGCCAACGCACCAGTGAAGACGGGCACAAGACCATAGCTAGAAAAGTTTTCTATTTGCACGCCTAGAAAGCAGAATAACGAGAATAACGTTACAAAACCGATTCTGAGCTTTCCTCGCATCGCCACCCGGCATATGAGTGATGCACATGCACATTTTCGTTTTAAAGCGCAAATAGCTGAAAGCTGCTGAATCAGACGTTTGACAAAAGAGAAGTTTGTGAAAATGTATGATCAGCTAAAGGCTCCATCAGACAGAGGCACTGATTTATGAACTAACGTTAGCTCAGTTAGCTACATAACATACAACAACTGAAAAGGGGGCGAATACAGGTGCTGTATACACACAGAGTGTCTGATAAGTTCATCCAGTTGTATTTAGAAAACTGTAAACACAGCGATGTTGAGGATGTGGCTGGCTACACTACACTGCTATCCCTATTGACACAGCTAAAGCAGAGCCCCGCTAAAGTCTTTCGCTATATGAGCTCCATCATTAACAAAAAAAACTTTTTCTGTCATAATCTATGTCGTTTACATCTTGTCACCTGTATAGAAACAACGCTATAGTTACTCACCTCCCAAGTGAAACTGAGGAAACGATTCAGTCTCGCTTGTTTTGAAAAGGAACCGTATCACAGTCACACGCCGGTTAAAGTTCTTGTTGGACCTGTAGTGAACATCTCGCCCACACACCACCTCACCGCGTTTTGTGAGAACGTGCTCTGAACTACAATACCCATGATACACCTGGAGAGCGCGCATCTCTCATTCTTTCGCTCCGGCTCGATTCTAATTCAAAAGGTTTCAAATTCGAAGTCTCCACTCACTTCCCCTACACACTTCGGTTTAAGTCCACTATCGAGGGCTGATTTTTTAGCAGTGCCGCAGCTCCAGATTATAAAGGGAAAAGATCAACAGCCGTTTTATACAGCATTATACGCGCCACCACATCAGCACCGCATGTGCTCCTAACCTACAAAAAGCAAACAATTGTTTTTAAAACAAACGTTTTATTCTATCAATTCTATACCTTTACATTTGATTCTGTCTTTATCCTGATTAACTTAAACCGCACGACGTTAGTGCCTGAATTAATTTGAAATAAAATATTGTTGGCCTCTTAGGGTTTTTGTATGGAAGCCCTTTTCCACCACTGGAGAAAAAACAGCCATTTAGTCAGTTATAATAATGACAGCATTTCCCATAATTATGACTCAGGATCTTAGGATCATGATTATGACTATGAAAGTGATAATTATGGAAAACTTTTCTTTTTTTTGATTTTTTTTTTCAGCGATGGAAACTGGCTTCAGTAATTACGTGATTGACGTTACGGACATCATCTTTATTCTCTCTAATGATTAGTTTCCCGCCCACGCGCACTCCAGCCCTCTTCTCCCTCTCTTTTCTCTCTCTGTGTCGATCCGTTCTCCGGCTGCGGCCACGCTGAGGCTCTTCCTAACGGTCAGCGACAAACCTGTTAAGTAAATGTACGACTGTGAATGATGTTTTGAATGATTATAAGACAGAAATGTCTTAAATGTTGCTGAAACCAGCCTGCACACTTTAAAACAGAGGTAAATCGTCGTTTAAAGGTCTAATTGAGGATGTTTGCTGACGCGGCGCCGCGCAGGAGAGTTTTAGTTAACGCTAGTAAAGCTAGTTAACGTTAGCCAGTTAAGCTAGCTTAGTTGTAGCCTTTGAGCCTTTACTTTCACATTCGAGTTAATGATACTCAGTTGTGGTAATAAAAAATTACATCGAACTGACGGAAAATGTGAAAATAATTACCACCGTGACGCCTTTCTGTACTTGTAGTTAGCCAAGTTAGCTAGTTAACTAACCTTAGCCGTTTGCTAATTTAACTCTAGTTAACTCGATTCAAATTTTACATTGCAATGTTAACAAATCAGTTCTGGAAATTATAAAAATCCCATTTCCAAAAGAGGCATGTTTATTCGCTAAATCAATCACTAAGACCTGCCAGCGTAGAGAAAACACGTTAACGCTAGCATGATTAATTAGCTAGCTGGCTGCAATAGCTTTGAAAATGAATTGCCTGGGGAGATGAGTGAACGTTAACCAGCGTTAGTTAACCTTAAAGCAGACCGAAGCTTTTTCTAACAAATTTTTTAGATAACGCATAAGCTCGTGCTTTTATAAGCCACCTTCAGATTGTCCGAGCGTTAGTGTGCTTTGCTGGACGCCCCCTTTGCTGGAAGAGACGGCGCTATCCTTATTCTCGAAGGTGCACATGCTAATTTGTCCTGTTTTACTTTAGCTCACATCACCCGTGATCAATTATGGACGAGTGGGATGAAGTGCAGGTAAGGAGCACCAGTAAACTGAGTAAATCCATTGTAGTGATATGCGGAGAGACTCGCCCGCGCCTTTGGCCTGGAGCAAACTGCAGTCATTTAACTGAACGAACGCATGAGAACTGCTTTCTCAAGGCCAGAGCACATCGACCATACTCAAACAGAAACCTTTGGTATGGTGGTGCAATTGTTTAATTATTGGGAACACTTATGTTATCCCAACATTCATGACACAGATTTGAGTGTTTTGATTTGAAACGGTCCATTTTGGGGAAGTTTGCTGACGCGCAGTGGTGGTGATAGAAATCAGGTGTCTACAATGCAGATGTAGCCATTTTTTATTTAATAATGGAGAAATTATGGTAAATATGGAAAAGTACATTTTCTTTGGGGACTGTTTTGTCTTACAACACCGTTTATGTACCTGTCATGCCTGAATACATTCTGAATATAGGTTAAAAACACTTTTTAAGGTAAACCTTTTTGCAAAACCATCATAAAATTGTGTTTAAGGCACCACATTCATAACTTTTTCATGCCATAACTGTGCGAGGGAGCTTTCAGAGCACGTGTCAGACTCCAGTCCTCAGGGGCGAAAACACTACACTGCATTGCAGACCTTATTAAACACACCTGAATCAGCTCGTCAGCTAATTAGCAAGGCCCTCATGAATTGAATTCAGAGCGTTAGATGAGGGTAAATCCTTTGGCCCAGAAGGTCCTCAGTTTGACATTTGTTTTAGAGGCCTTCACCGCTCTAGACGTCTTGATTCATCACCACCACTGTGAACACTTCTGACTCACGTTTCTCTAGAACAGAGCCTTTCACATCAAACTGAAATTATGTATGATTAATGTAATATGTGTAATTATGTAAAAAATTTGTGGAATTTCCCTTCAGTTTGTAACCGTTTGCACTCTGAACAAACATTTTGCAGCAAACACCGGCATTCCTATGTTTGCAGTTTTCTTTTGAACAGTGGTGTCCAGCTTTATCCCCAAAGGGTCGTTGTGGCTTCAGGTTTTTATTCCAGTCAAGCAGAGTTAACCTGATTTCAGTTAGTCTGTCTTCATCCACTGATGTGTTCTCAGTGTGAAAACTGGCCTTTTGCAGAGAAGATTGGACATTCCTGCTTTGTTTTCTTTAAAAAAGAACTAACATGCCAAATGCTTGTTTTTGATGTGGTGTGGCATATAACAAACTATCGAAGTATTTAGAAGCATTTGCTTACCAGATGATCAAATTTACACCATTATTCCTTTAGTCGATCATGTTTAGAGTCTGAAATTTTGCTTCTTTAGTTTTGTGCTAGAGCTACAAGGCTAATATAGCTAAGTAATGGAAGTTGGTGTCAGTAACAGTCTTCCATATTAGTCTTGTAGCTGAGCAGCAAAAAGAAGCAAACATTGGATAATTGACTGTTTGAGGTGAAGGGTGCAGTGTAAGTTTGACTGAAGTGAGTCATTTCAGTACAGCTAATGTGATGTTGATAAATGATCATTTTTGAAAATGAGTTCACAGAATGACAGAGTGAAGGTGCTATTTTTCCTGAGTGCACATTCAGTTATGAGGACGATCTGTTTACGTAGTGCCTCCGGTGGCCAAAACAGTCGTATCTATACATCTAGACATTTTTAGTGTGATAAGAATTTGAACGTACCATCTTGTCAACCTGTACACTAAACTTTTATTTTTTTGGACTTAATCCACAGACCCCTGTTGTGAGCAACTCAAGCTTTGGTAAGTTAATTTGTTTGAACATGGAGATTTCACTGAGTCTCTTACACTGACCAAACAGATAGCTGGATAAGTAACAGTTCAAACAAACTGATAGACACCTGTTTTGATGATTAAATTCACTGTGTTGTTGCAGCCTTTGTTGCTCTGCAGCATTTAAGTCTTGAATGTAATTGTATTACATCTTGTATTAAAAGCCAATCACAAGTTTATTGCCACTGAATTTTTGATCATTATAGAAGTAATGGTTATGTTGGAAATCAGCATAAAGTGTCAAAGAAAGATGGTTGTTTTTGAATTATTTTTTACTAGGAAATTCTGGGAGCTCGTGGAACAGTGGGGGCCAGAAAAACAGCTTCAAGAGCGGCATCAGTGGTAAGCTGTAATCAGTACTGAAATAATTATTCAAAACAAACTTTGAGGTATGAAAATGTGGATTATACTTCTGTGGTTTTGACTGAGGGTCTTAAACTCAATGTTGTGTTTAGACAATGAGGGTAGCTCTTGGAAAAGTGGCGATGGTGATTTTGGGTTAAGAGGTGGAAAAAGAGGTGAGCTGACTAGTATTATGAAGGAAACCTGGTGAATGTTATGTGGTAATATGAATTGGTTCTGGCACTGTTCTTTGAAACTATCAAATTTTTTCAACATCAGGTCGGGGATCTAGAGGAGGTGGTGGAGGCTTCAAGAGCTTCAGTTCAGGTACACTTTTCATGTTAGTTAAAATTGAGTATCGAGTTCCATAGAAGTAATAAAGTGCTACGTTGCCTTTTCATACAGGAATTGATGACAACAGTGAAGGTTGGTGTGCCTTGATTTGTTACAGCCTTAGCTGCAGCTGTATGCTGTGTCTAGCTGACACGCTTACGCTGTTCTGTGTTGTTTGCTTTGCCTGTAGACAATGAAGGCAGTTCCTGGAACAGTGGTGGTGGAAATGGCGGATTTAGGGGAAGAGGTGGCAGAGGCAAGTGGTCAGGCAGAATCAAGTTTAGGCCAGATTCTGTCTTGGGGTTCAATGCTGACACTTGTTTAACATTCATAGGGGGAAGAGGATCAAGAGGCAGAGGAGGATATAGAAATTCCTTCAATTCTGGTATTTTCTTTTCCTATTATTGATAGACATTTTGTTTAATTGGTGATCTGAAATTTAAATTGATTTTCTTTTTCCCTCCAGAGACCGATGAAAATGGCAATGATGATGGTAAAGGGCATCATGACTTTGTCAAAGAGCAGCCTTTTTTTGAAAAAACAGGTTTTCAATGTATGGAGTCCGAATGTGCTTTGTTTTCGCAGGTTTCAAAAGTGGTTTTGGAGGCAGAGGAGGCAGGGGGGGACAAGGAGGCCGTGGAGGTTTCAGGCGAGGTTAGTCAGTTGGGTTGAAGGTATACAAGATATCAATAGGTCTTTTAAGAAGTTCTCTCAAATATTAATTGAATGAAATCAAGGCTTTAAAATTCATTACATATTTAAATATCTTTTTTTTATAAATGTGATATTGAAATGTGACTGATGTACCGTGATGTGTTTATTCACGATTATTGCAATGTGAAGTGTTTTGAAAAGGGAAAAAATTTGTCTGTTTAACTACATTGTTTTCCGCCTGCAGAGGTGGAGCTGTGTACACACAATGGTTGGCGATATTCCATCTTTGTTGAATCGACTGCTTTGCCTGCAGGGAAAGCTTTGTTAGATTTTTACTCCTCAGTTTGCCTGCTTTGTGTGAATAGCCTACATGGGGAAGTGCACGTTCAGCAGTTGGCAGATACAAAGATGGCTGCTTGTTTACAAAAAAACTCATAGGTGGTATTAAAACTATCTTTGGTCTAAAATTCAAATAGTCTTTTAACAAATACTTCGGTGGAAAATCAGATGAACATGATTTATAACTTGCCCAGATGCAGTCAATCAGCAAAGACGTTTGGTATCTGGCGTGTGCTTTTTCAGTTTACAGTGGGAGATGCTAGGCTAACGTTGCTAATAAACACTGGTCGTGTCTCAACCCACCAAGAACGCACCCAGATTTTTCTTTGTTTTGGGCAATGAGTGTTTGGGTAATGTGGTTTTGAACACGGTATGACTTTAGTCACTAACAACAAAAATGAGCTGTATAATTGGGAATTGGGTTTACTTGTGGCAAGTGCCAGGTGATTCCAGCTAAGGAGGGGTGTCTGCTGTGAGGAGTGGGAGCCAGCACTTTAACAAATTAGTATTGAAGATGGTTAAATCAAAGTTTTTATTTCTACAGTCAAACTACATTAAACAACATTTATCATGCATTTTAGCTGCCTATGGCATGACAGTAGCTAAGAGCACAAAATGGACAGCAGGAGAAAAAGTAAACATAGCTTGCCTGAAGTCCTTCCCATTTGTAGAAATTTACTTGGAACAGCTGCAGGCTCTAGAATGTCTGGCTTGTGACCTTTCTTTTTGATGAGGCTGAAGCTGGATTTTGGTTTGTTTTCTGTTCTTTTTAAATGATGCAGCAGTTACATTCCAGCATCTGTACAGGCACCAGGGTTTAACTGCTGCACCAGTTAAGGTGAAACAGAGAATTCGAATAAGAAGCTGGCAGAGAAAAGCTAGTTTCAGCCTTGTGACATTTTGTATAGTACTTTTACTGCACGGCACTCTTGCTAGTTTGTGGTTCATTGCCCAGCCACATTTTGCATGTTTCTGTATCATTAGTGAATCAGTGGTAATACACTGGACTGCACGTACATTTTTGTTCTGTTTACTGTTTATACAAAGTGGAGCGCAACACCTAATTTTTGTAGCTTTATCGTCATTTGAAATGCAACTTCTGACTCACTGTCTTAGTCATTGAACCATAGCTAAGGAAAATGAGTACTGCAAAGTGGGATGTCAAGCTGGTGATAATGTAGATCCAGTTTTAGCTTAAATGTTTTAAGGTCTGTCTATGCAGTTTTACTTAACTTTTAAAGATTTTGTTGTTTACTCAGATGAGTTTGACAATCCCTAGTGCAGTGTTTGTTAGCAATGTTAGCCTAGTCCTTCCTGTTAACTAAAGCAATAAAAATCAAAACTAAGAATTTCCCTTACCAAGCATGTCGTAGCTTATCGACTGCATGTTTTAATCTGTTAATCATATTAATAAAAATAAAATATTGTTAGATGATGCTGGTCTTTAGTCCAACTGCATTTTGTCAGTGCAGTGAAGATCTGTCTGTCATCTTTAGGTGGCGGAGGAGATGGGGAAGGTGGACGGGGTTTTGGAAGAGGTGGAGGTGATAATCTTGGAAAATTTGTGGTTCTTAAGCATTACATACATTTGCATGCCAGGAAATCAATGTTTTCTGAAGCATATGTTCTTTGAAAGACAATCATTACATGTTGGGATTGTGTTTACTTTGGTGTTTGTTTAATGTAGGTTACAGGGGTGGGAATGAGGAGGTGTTTTCCAGGGGTAAATTACTATCTTTACTACCTTAACTGTCTTTATTTTGTAAAGTGACAATTGCTCATTTGATGTTAACTCCTCCTTTTATCTATATATATATATATATATATATATATATATATATATATATATATATATATATATATATATATATATATATATATATATTAGGCTCAGCGATGGATGAGGAGGGGAAAGGAGATGGTGTAACTGCAGGTATAGGATTCCGTACTCAATTAGCCAACAAACACAGAAAATACCAAATGGGTGACTAAACATTCTCATTTCCTGCGCTTTGTCTCTGTTGTACAGGGCCCAAGGTCGTTTATGTACCTCCTCCGCCACCAGAGGAGGAAAGCTCTGTGTTTGCACACTATGAGACGGGCATTAATTTTGACAAGTATGATGACATTCTTGTGGATGTCAGTGGAAGCAATTCTCCTAAGGCTATCATGGTATGTAATTGGTTTTGTTGTGTGCTGTTGGTGTTGGTGTTGGTGTTGTTGGTTTATTTTTCCTTTCCCCCTTAGACTTTTGAGGAAGCAGGTCTTTGTGAGTCGCTCAGCAGAAATGTCTCCAAGTCTGGTTATGTAAAGCCAACTCCTGTTCAAAAACATGGTATTCCCATAATATCTGCAGGAAGAGATCTTATGGCCTGTGCCCAGACTGGATCAGGGAAAACGGTGAGCACCTGCTTAGAAGCTAAGCATCAACATGATTAATTACTAGCATTCATAAATGGCTAATTTGAGTTATATCTACAGGATGCTTTAATGTGTTAATATAACTACATATTGGTTTCATTTTGGCTTTACTGATCAGGTCGTGGCAAAATGAGATTTTAAAATGTTTAGGTCTGCCTACTTGTTTCCTGGCACAGATGAAAGCTTAGTCTTAAAATGAATTACACTGGTGGTGCTGACTGATGGTACTGCAAATGTTCTAATAATTGAAGGCATTATCGTCCTGAGTGGTTACATTCATTGCTATGGTCTCTTGTTCATCTTCCTTGCTTAGGCTGCCTTCCTTCTTCCGATTCTCCAGCGGCTCATGAGTGATGGTGTGGCAGCGAGCAAGTTCAGTGAGGTGCAGGAGCCTGAGGCAATCATAGTGGCCCCCACCAGAGAACTCATCAATCAGATATATCTGGAAGCCCGCAAGTTTGCATATGGGTACAAACATGTCTTAAAGAACAGTGAACTCAATTTCTCTCATTGTGGTGTAATTTAAAGCGTAAAAAATTTTGAAATTGTTTAGCTTTGTATTTTGTTGCAGAACAACGCTGGTGACATACTGATAGTTGGCTTTACTCCTTATGTAGTCTTGCTGTCCTGAAGATGCAGCATTATCTACAGTTGCTAAAATATCAACAGCAAATGGCTTAGTGACATTTGGTAATCTCTTAAAGGACCTGTGTGCGTCCTGTTGTGGTGTATGGTGGTATAAACACTGGCTACACAATTCGAGAGGTGTTGAAGGGCTGTAATGTGTTGTGTGGGACCCCTGGAAGATTGCTGGACATCATTGGTCGTGGAAAGGTATTTTATTATTTTTATTTTTATTTTTATTTATTTATTTATTTATTTAGGTCCTAATAAAGCTTTTAGTTTGCACACTCCCTAGGTTGTGTGCAGATATTTGATAGGTAAATGTTCAAATTAAGAAGCTGAGAAACTTTTTATGCGTTTTATGCATCTTTGTTAATTGTAGTTTCATAAGAAAACTACTTCGGAAATTGTACTGAATGTATACAGAGGTCTGTTTGGTTGTCGTTGTTGGCCAGGTCGGACTAAGTAAACTTCGTTACTTGGTCCTGGACGAGGCTGACCGAATGCTGGATATGGGCTTTGAGCCAGACATGCGTAAGCTGGTGAGCTCTCCAGGCATGCCTGCTAAAGAAGAAAGGCAAACCCTTATGTTCAGCGCGACATATCCAGAAGATATTCAAAGGTTTGTCAGCCTCATATTCTACTAAACTTGGTGTGTATTCAAGAGCTGTATTACAGAGACAACTCATTTGTTGAGTCACTGTGACGTCTTCGAATAGGATTGAATTTAGGATATTAACAATTATAGAACATACAGAACAATTCCAGATTAGAAAAGAGTATCACAGAAACTTCCTAACTAGACAAAATGACCAAACACTGGCCTGTCTTTAGGATTACCCCAAGAGTGTGTTAACTTAAGTTTGAAACTTGTAAAGCAGCCTAACAAATTCACTGACAGTAACAAGCGAACTTAAACTTCTGTATACGTAACTTCACTTTTTCAATTTTTAAGTCATCATCATCTAAACCGCTTATCCTTCTGGGTCGCGGTGGGGTGCTGGAGCCTATCCCAGCTATCATTGGGCGGAAGGCAGGATACACCCTGGACAGGTCGCCAGTCCATCGCTGCAATTTTTAAGTGTTTTTTTTTTAATTTATTTTTTTTATTTTAATTTATTTATTTTTTTACACACCTCAGCTGTGGCGATATTGTTAGCTGTTTAACATTTTTGTTGACCTTGATTAAGTAGTTTAGGATATCCCAACCTAAGAAAATGTAGAATATATAATTCTTAAATTAACATTGCTTCTGTTCTCTCTTCTTAATATGCTTCTGTAATTATGGATTTGTAAAAAAATTGTTTTGAATTTGCTGTATCTTAACTTTGCCTTAAAGATAGGAAGTTTCTGTAACACAGCCCTAAAAACTGTTTATGACTTGGTAGCCCAATACGTGGAATTTACATCTGTAAAAGTAGCTCATCTTTAGTTCAACTTGGTTATTTAATCATAGAATGTTTTTGTGGATCATTACTTTAGAGTTTCATACTTTGTTCAAGTCCTGACTAGATGATAAGCAGATTAGTCAGGCCAAGTAAGAGCATGTTGAACAGTAGCACATTACAGGATGAACACCTGAGAACCACTGTTTTAGAGAGTAAGCAGTCTATCTTTGTTTTGCTAGGCTGGCAGCTGATTTCTTAAAGACAGACTATCTGTTTCTTGCTGTGGGAGTGGTGGGAGGCGCGTGCAGTGACGTGGAGCAGCATATCATTCAAGTGGATCAGTACTCAAAGAGAGAGCAGCTGCTGGAACTGCTGAAGACCACAGGTGTTTGGCATTTACCTGTTCATATATGCTTTTATGATATGTGTAGTCAGTTACAGTTGAGTTTGCAGACACGTATGGTAAATATAGTTTTAAGACTCCAGAGCCTCATTTTGAATGTCTCTGAATCTTAGGTTTAATGAGGCCATTTTTCATGAAGCTGTTGTTTCTCACGTGACCCTTCATGTTAAGATTTTCACTTGGATGTTTTAAAATAAAGGCACATTTATAGGTTTATATGCAAAGTGGTGAAAATGCAAAATCGCTCTGCAGTTCATCATGTAACGTTTTTCCATTGCATACACAGGGACTGAGCGAACAATGGTCTTTGTTGAAACCAAAAGAAGTGCAGATTTCATTGCAACGTTTCTATGTCAGGAAAAGGTGCCAACTACAAGCATCCATGGGTAGGTAAATGTGATGTATTAACAAATTTGATTTAGTAATAAGAGGGTAGTGTCAATGCAACACTTCTGTAGCTGCCCTGGTGGTGGGGCAGCTGTACAAAATACTTAGCCAGGTTCCTACCAATGAGAATTATAAAAAAAAAAAACCAGCTTGAACCTTAAGTCTTTCAACAGTGCTTATTTTTAAATCAGCAACATAATTAGCAGTCACTTGTTGTGGTGCACACTCCTTACGTAGTGCTATATGTTGATGAAAGATTAATAGGTGACATTTCAGTATGTTTAGTTACATAAGTTTCTCACAGATGTTTGTCACCACTTTTCAAGCATAGTCTGAGCAGCTACATTTAGACTGATTAGAATTGGCTTCAGCACAGTGTCCAGATTTTGATTTTTTTTAAATTAAATACAAATGTGATGTTTTGAGTGCTTATATGATGTAGCTAAAATTGACCCAGAGTATAAGCTGCATAACGGTAGATCATAGCCAAAGATAGAGGAAAAACCTGCATTTCGGGTAATGTAGGTTTTTCTTCTATCACGCCCAGGAATTTGAAAGGGGCCAGTTTGATGATTGCTTTTTGATTTTTAAATGATTCACTATTTATTTATTTTTTATAGCTTTATTTATTTAGCCAGAAAGGGTAGTTAACCTTATGAACAACTTCTTGTCTGCAGTGACCGGGAACAACGAGAGCGAGAGAAAGCTCTTAGTGACTTCCGCTCAGGCCAGTGTCCTGTGCTGGTGGCTACTTCTGTTGCTGCCAGAGGACTAGACATTGAGCATGTCCAGCATGTTGTAAACTTTGACATGCCTAGCAGCATTGATGAGTACGTGCACCGCATTGGGAGGACAGGCCGCTGTGGAAACACCGGAAGAGCCGTGTCCTTCTTTAACCCTGAGTCTGATACTCCTTTGGCTCGTTCTCTGGTCAAAGTCCTCGCTGGGGTTTGTGTTATTTTTGTTTTTATGTAGGACCTTAATGTAATAGTATTGAAGTTATTTTTTTTTTCCCCTTTCCGTAGTTGTTCAAGCTAAACTGTTATATTGTTTCAACAGGCCCAGCAGGAAGTCCCTTCTTGGTTGGAGGAAATTGCATTCAGTGCTCATGGCACAACAGGGTTTAACCCACACGGGAAGGTGTTTGCCTCTACAGACACTCGCAAGGTACAAACAATCTTTTCATGGGACGCGGGCATTTTTATAAAAGAATATATATCCTTCACAAGCACCACCTTTTTTACAGAAGAGTTTCTTTGGTGAAATTGAGTTAAGTACTGTAATAATTAACTACACATGACAAGTTTGGAGAAAAATGTCAGTAACTGTGTACCCTGTGGATTTGCTTTAATTTGTTTCTGTGCTCACAGGGTGGATCCTTCCAAAAAGAGCAGGCACCACAACCAGCTGTGCAGAACACCAGCACTGCAGCTGATGATGAAGAATGGGAGTAGATCCACAGTCCCCCTTTCTTTCTTTTAGGGTTTCCTTTTGTTTAAAAATATTCCTCTGTTCAGCTTTTATCTTTTGTGTTAATGGAAAAATGCTCATGGCGTCAAGTTGAAACTTGCAGAGCTGAAGTAAAAGGCTGTAAGCAAAGGCACTTAAAAAATGCATTGGAAGATTGTGGGTGTGACCTGAGGTTTAGCTTCATAAATGAATGTCAGGTATTAATCAAGGATTAGCTTTTTTGTCCTTGGGCCTAAATTTGGGGATGAATCACTTCTGCTGATGTTCTTGCACTTAACTGTGTGTTTTGTTTGGACAATAATGAGGATTTGTAGTGGTGGCAGTGCTGGTTGTAGTTAATCATCGTGTTCTGGATTTTCGAGTACCCAAAAATACATTTATTTGTGTATGCCTTTAGCTGAAGGTTTCACCTGCTCTTTTATGTCTGAGTTCTTTTGTGCCAAATGTTTCCAGGTTGCATCTTGGTCAATCTATTTTTGTAAAGGCCTAAAAAATGTTTAGCAAATGTGCCATACCAAATAAATTTGCCATTTACAAAACAAAATCTTTGAAACAGTCTTTAGTCCTTGAATGTTCATCTTTGTTGTGCTGTAGTGTAGTTCTGCATTATGTTTCTGATTTTGGTCTTGGCAGCATTTCTGATAAGTTCGTAAAGTGATATCTGTTGGGCACTTGATTTTGGGTTATTTTAGTCTTTGTGATTTGTGACCTTGTCACTCTGTGTAGTGTTCTCACGAGCATGACAAATGGTGGGACCCAACTTAGAAAAAATGAAAATGACAAACTTGAAGGAGAGTTACACCAATCTTTCAGAATTCCAGCATAATGAAATGGCAGTGGCAGTCTTTAAGAGTGGTTTGCTGTGAAAGCTTAGAGAATTGTTCACATGGTAAGAGAATATCTGAAGTGTTAATGCCTCCCCAAAGAAAACACATTTTTTGGGTTTACCACCATTTTTGCCCTCAACTGTACATATAAAAGCTCAGATGCATAGGTTCATATATATATACACACACACACATTCATATATATTTTTATTTTGAATATGCATTTTTTTCATGTACCTAGTTGAAGAATTAAACAGGATTAATTCTAATACCTTTTCATAATCGGTATACGAAGTGTTTTAAATCTAGTATTCATTTAGTTTTCCAAATGTGATTTGCTCCACATTATCACAGCACACTGACAACCATTTGAGGTTTTTGTTTTCCCTAATGTTTATAAGGAAAACATTCAACCGTTGACATTAATGCAGACTTCTTTTTCTAATTAAATAAATAAAGATCAGTAATGAGAAACTATGGACATTGAGAGTAAATAGGCAAGACTTGTGCACTGTAAATACATTTATACTGTAAATACATTATAGTTTATCTGCATAGTAATTGACATTCATAGACCTGGATTGAGGCTGACTCCGGTCTTAATGTTGTTTTAAATAATTACAATATTACAAGACTTTCCGAGTTCATAATCTGATTTCTTGGGTGCTTTTCTCTGGGACTGGTGGGCGTGATCGAACTCTATGAGCGGGGTTTCACCACCGCTACCTGCTTCTGCTTTATTGGCTGCTGCGCTCCCGCTGCTCGTGTATAACTGATGGGTTTCCTCATATCCCGAGGCAGAACGGTTTCGCAAGCGGAGCAGCAACACAATGCGCTTCCTCCCCGAGACACTTCGTTCCTGCTGCTTTACAGGCGACCGTGTAGCAACCACAGATAACGACTCGACACTATGAGCTTGTGGCGGAGTTTTAACGACCATGCTGATAAAGGTCGCGGGGGCTTCGCTCAGATTTCCATTTCAAATTTGTCGGTTTCTTGGCTTTTCACAGACTGAAACTGCATAGGTGAGTAGCTCCAGCATGTGGCAACCAGTTCAGGCAGCCTGAGAGCTTGTAATGCTTTTTTAAGGAATGGACACATTCTGCCTTTAATTCCCTGTTTTCTTCATTGAAGGTTCATTAACTGGCCTAATAATGCAGACTAATCTGCTTATGATCATAATTCTCCAAGCTCTATCTAAAGGTGAGTGGGTTTTTTCTTATCTAAACCATAATGTGATTTAATGTAGGCTACAGTTCAATATGACCCCAGGCCAAGTTCACAGGAAATGCAAAAGAGAGAGAAACAAATCTAGGAACTGCCTAATGGACTCATAAAAGCTGGTGAAAGGAAATGAGCCAACGCAAGTCCAGAAAAGAAAGTAAAAAAAACCATGTAAACCCTATTACATAATGCATTAGGGGGGAGATCATGTGTGGTACTGAGACTCCCATCACCTCCATAATCTGGCTGAACACTGCTTAATGTGCTTCCAAAAGACAGTTTAATGGTGATTGATTTGTGAGCTAAAAGGCTTCTGTTGTTGAACTAATTGGTTAAAATGGGTGGACTGTTCGTAATGTATGCACATAATCCTTTTTTTTAATAATTCACAGCCTCCGCCATATCAGGACTGGAGAAGTGTGACGTTTTTCCAAGCAACCAACTGATCAAATATGGGTCGGACCTCGGGGTCTTATTCCGAGCTCCACCTAACAGTGACTGCCGTAAAATGACCAGTTTTAATACCAACAGATTGTACTGGACGCTGAACAATCAGAGGATCGCAAAGAGCTTTTATCATTCCAACTCCACCTTTGCCTCTGTCTTCATTCCAGATTTCACTTTGGCAGTCGGGATAGTTGAATGCCATTTGGATGATGTTGTGTTAGGTGGTACAGTCATACGGACGTACTGTGAGTATAGAAATATTGTTTATTTATTATTCACAATTTATTATAAGTGACATCAAATATGTGCAAATCTGTGCTAATTGCATTAACTGCGTTAATCAGCGGGTCCTGAGAATGTGTCCTGTATTGGTGAAGAGCTGCCATTTTTGTCCATCCGTTTGACCTGCAAATGGGATCATAACCAAAACGGTGTGAACACCAACTACACAGTCCATGTGAAACAGTAAGGGTTTTTTTTTGTTGTGCAGCCATCATTTCAGTGAAGAAGCAGGATTATTTACTTTGTTAATATTTATGCTGTTAATATTCTCTGCTAATTTTCTTATGGGCTACTGTGTTTTACAGGAAGGGTAATGAGTTGTTCTGCCAATCCAGAAAAATGAAATGGTGCACATTCTCGGATTCAGTAGTACTGAACGCGATGAATGTAACTGTGACGGCTCAAACTTCAGCTGGAGAAGCTCGCTCAGAAGTTACCTATAATAGTGTTTGGGAAATTTGTAAGTGGTTGAAAACTATGGGTCAAGGGTGGCTGGCTTTGCTCCTGCAGATCTACTGCTCTGCATCTTTTGTAAGGAGCAGCATTTTCTTTTAGTCATTCATTCTATGAGCTAAACTTCTCTGAACAGTTAAGATCCTTAATATGACTCATCTGCCTTCTGCGGCTCAAGGTACAGTGCTGTGCAAATGTCTGAAACCACCTTTTCATGTATTTCATTTCAAATCAACATAAATCATTTTCCAGTGTTGGGAAGGAAGCAGAAACTGTTAAACAGAAAATTACACAGAAGCCTCAACGACTAAATATAATATCAGGTTATTAAGTATTTAGTGTGTCCACTCTGTGGATTTATTAGAAGTGTCGGTCGTTTTTTTAGACTTGCTTTCAGTTTTTCAAAGAAATCTGCAGGGATGTTTTCCACAAGTTCAGTCTTAGAAGTTGATCGCATTTTCTGCTTCTCATAATCCAAATAATCCCAAACACATTCAGTGATGTTGATGTCTACAAATACAGTGTACAGTGTAATGAAATGTGTTCAGTCAACTCTCAGGTATGTGCCGATATGTGCCATATTACAGTTGCATAACAATCTCACGTCATTTTTACAGTGCAGTCCATGTAGTGAGAAATGTGCTAAATATTCTTACTGTACACTCTAGTATTAATGTAGATGGGCAACAAAGTTCACAGTGTTAACATTAAGGTTACCTCTATGTTTACATTGCAAGTAAACATAGAAGTGTACAGTAGTCTGTTTGCACTGTACTTAGAGGGTGGATATGAAAGATGATGAATGCAAACATTTAAAAAACCTGTAGTCAAATTACACACTTTATTTTCTAAGTGAAAGTAAGTTCACATCTTTCATAAGGAGCAAACTTAAATATGCTGTTTTTCTGCTAATTTTAGTGCACAGTTTCTGTTCATTTTCTGAGTTTAACATAATCAGAAAATAAACTAAAAAAAACCCAGAAAAAATAAATTAAAAATAAAAAAATAGATTAAATGTAGCATTACTTTTGCGCAGATCACATTTTGTATTGTGTTATATTCCCAGTATGTTAAATTCAGAGAATAAGCAGTAATGGTGCATTAAAATGCACAGAAGTGTGTTCTCTGTATAAGATATGTGTACTTACTTTCACTCATAAAATCAACAAAACATAATATATAAAGTGCAATGAGGCATGTAGAGGGACGTGGGGACTAGGATTTTAAGTTATTCTCTGTTAAATGTATGAATGTTCATTTTTTTCTGACACTGAAAAGTAAGTGATAGTACTTAATGGCCAATTTGACTGGAAATTGAATAAATGATGAGGTGGTTTCTCTCTCCATTACGGTCAAGCATTGTTCTTTTCGGTCACTTGTTATATCCAGAATTGTTAGATATAAACACGCACACACACATCTTGTCCCCACCCTCCATACCCCCACTTTACTAACCCCAAAATTCCACAACTTATGTTGAAAATTACAAATGTATAATCAATTTATTAATTAGTATAATTACTATTATAATAATAAAACTGTAATATTGTATTTTTGTTGTTCTGTACTTATTAGCATGGCTGTACTTAAGTCATGCTAATAAAGCTATTTGTGTCTGTGTGTGTATATGTATGTGTGTGTGTGTACATATATATATATATAAAATATTATTTTTGACAATACTCTTAGAAAATTGTGCTGTATACTTGTTTTAGTAAAACTAGATCCACCAAGAGACGTGCAAGTGAAACCGGAGCTGTCTGGTCTCAGTGTGACGTGGTGGAGTAACAAATGGGCTCTGGATTTCAGTATCTGTGAAGTGCGTTTCCTTGAAAAGGGCTCTGAGGTGAGTCATGAATTCACAGTATGATGTTGTTAATTGTTCAAATCTGCTTTCAGTATGCCCTTTATAAACAGTCTCATGGAACTTCTACGTTTGACGTTTGACATTTTCTTGGACTGTAACTAATATTCGTGCTCAGAACAAGTTAGAATAGGAATCTAATCTAATGTGTTACAGTGAAGGCCGTGAAAATGACATTTCAATAAATACGACATGTTTTGGTATTTATATTTATTTCCTTACAATATGGTTCACATCTAGCTAAGGTTCTAATCTAAGCAGGGGTGTCAAACTCATCTAAAAAATCTCATCAAATCTTTGGGCCAGAGAAAAAATGTTTTCATTGCATTTTTAGTTAATGATGTGCTAGAACCCCAACTGGCCATTGTTTAATCAAAATATGCAGTAGACCTTGAAATGTTACATGGACACTTCAAATATTTAAAATTTAAATGTCCCCAGATGCTTGGTCATCTAAACCCACCTATTTGCTTGAACTAAACGCCAGACATCCTTTCTTTTGCTTCTTTTCTTTTATGAAGACTTGGGCTCAGTTTCTGAGCTGCTGAGGTAACGTTGTGTTTATGTTGGTTGAACTGCAGCTGAAATGCATTTTGGTGATATGACTGGTGTGGAATTGTGTGGCATTGTGTAGAATTGTGTAGAACTGAGGTGTGACTACTGTCCCATAGACTGTTTTTGGGGTAGGAGAGTTGGAGCACATTACGTTGCAGTGCATGCTGGGGAATGTAGTGCAACACATTGTGAAATGGGCTAATATTAATAGAAAATTAAAATTCCCTCGCGAGCCAGATAGGATTGTGTGGTGGGCCTGATCTGGCCCACGGGCCTTGTGTTTGACACATAGGGCTTAAGAGGTGGGAAACTATTGTGAATGTTTAATATATAGAGAATAGTTAAAAAAAAAAAAAGCCAGATGGTACTTCTGGTATACTCTCATAAAAAAATGGAAATCCAAGCAGCTGCATTATAGTTTATTTTTTGCCTCTACATCCATTGGCACAGTATTGTGCTTTACTACTAGCAAGGAGTTTGTACAACACAGATATTATGGCAGCTTTGATTTCAGATTTGATGTTTTTTTACATTGATGATGTTTTTTTACATTGTGATGACTGTCACTTTTCACTCTGTCTACTAGTTATGTCTTCATGGTACAATCTGTTTTTTAAAATGCTATTAAAATAACACACACCTGGCCATAGAACTTAACTTAAAATAACTTTTCAGCTCCTAAAAATAGGGGGACTGTTTATGAATATGGTTGTAATTTGTTTTACACTGTTCACCCGATTTGGATGTAAATTCCCTTAAATTAAGGCTGCCCTTAGAGCTTGTGCTCATTTTATTGCCATTTTATCTCCAGTATGAAATATAAAATAATACCTTTGTTGACTTCCAAATATTTGAGCCTGACTGTAGATTAACCTTCCATTCCTTCCACACAAAACGTCCAGTGGGATAAACGCAACAGTGGATCGTGATTTGTCACTCTGTGTAATACATTCCAACAACAGGATAAACCACTACAGCATGTTTTAGATAGAAGTCATGATAAGGCAGTGGAATAATTTTGTCATTACACGCCAGCTGTTCCTGGGAACTGTGTAGCTCTCATTGAATTCCGTCTGTTAACTGGAACGCCTGGGGCTAATTGTGGGATTGTTTTCTCTGCCTATACAGTGCCATGCAAAAGTCAGAAACCACACTTCATTTACATAATTTCCAGTTAAAATGAGCATTAAATACCAGTTATTTATTTTTCAGTGTCAGGAAAAAATTTAGAAAATATCTATAATTCTATTATCTTAGATTATATATTTAAACAACTAATTCCTGATATTTTTTAGGATTTAGTCTGTCCACAAGACACTTGCTTTCAGAAATCTTGACAGCTGCACATGTTTTCGTCTCATAGTGTTGAGTTGTCTTCTCACAGTGGAAGGATTTTCTCCTCTTTCTCAAAGATGAAAGCTTTACATACTGTTTATCTGATGGGGAGAGTTTTGGTGGTCTATAAGATTTTGCACAGTTGTTAGACGTCCTATTTCCTATATATATATATATATATATATATATATATACACACAGATTTATTTTATTTTTTTTTAACTTTTGTTTTGGAAACTTTTGCTTTATCACTTATTTTTCACATTCCCCCTTAATGCAAACGAATGATGTAATATGTAATGTCCTCAAAATTATCTCCTGAAAAATTAATACCTTGTACTGAATGGCCATTTTGACTGGACATTGAATATTGAGTGATGCTCTCTGACTTCAGCACAGTACTGTAAGATTGTGGCAGATCAGGCATAACATTATGACCACCTCCTTATTTCTACGCTCATTGTCCATTTTATCAGCTCCATTTACTATAGTATAGTAACACTGACATGGTGGTGGTGTGTTAGTGTGTGTTGTGCTGGTATGAGGGGATCAGACACAGCAGTGCTGCTGAAGTTTTTAAACACTCTGTCCACTCACTGTCCACTCTATTAGACACTCCTACCTTGTCAGTCCACTTTGTAGATGTAAAGTCAGAAACAGTAGCTCATCTGCTGCTGCACAGTTTGTGTTGGTCATCCTCTAGTCCTTCATCAGTGGTTACAGGACGCTGCCCACAGGCCCTGTTGGCTGGTTATTTTAGGTTGGTGGACTATTCTCAGTCCAGCAGTGACACTGAGGTGTTTAAAAACTATATAGTAAGTGGAGCTGATAAAATGGACAATGAGCGTAGAAACAAGGAGGTGGTCATAATGTTATGCCTGATTGGTGTAGTTCAAATGACACTCAAAAACCTACCCTAAGTTTCCGCTCTGGACAGTTTCCTTCAGAAAACCATTTTTTTTAATCATTTTTTTCATACTTTTTTCAAATGTGTGAAATGACTTAAACATGTATTGCTTAAATATGTAAATTTGTATTACCTAGAAGCCACATTGTGCAGCAGTGGATACATGGCCTACAGTGGAATATGAAGCAATGTTTATCTGTCCACTTGAGAGAACACTGCAGTTATCACTTAGCCTTTTAGTGTAGAATTTAAAATAAACAGTGAAGTTTTTGTATTCTATAGGAAACTTCACTTGTTTGGCAATTATTTCAAATATTTATGCAATAATAATGGCTTAAAGTTTGTGTAATCACAGGTTTGGACAGTGAAATTCTGATTAAATGAAAACTTGATATTTTTGATATATTTTAGCATGATTGTAATTGTTAATGGTGAGTTTTAATGGTTGCTTAGTTTTCTCTAAATTTAACATTTTCCACATTTGTAAAGTAACATGATTACATTGAAACGATAAAATGATGTTTCCCTTTTTTAAGCATATTTACTATTTGAAGATCAAAATGGTAATTCCCAGTATATATACATTAAAAAAATCCTGTTTTGACATTTTGTATTATTTCTTTCCATTGCTGCACATTGTTGCCTTAAGGCAACTGTTAAAAGAATGTACCCTAAAAGGACCCTCGAACACAATTTTTCACTTTAATAATCAGGTCCATTATAAGTGAGGAAAGTGAATAAATCATTTGTTGAATATTGCTCTAATAATGCATGCAGTAAACATGGGATCCTACAGCAAAGTGCTCTAAGCTGCACATATCAAATTATTTGTAGTTGTTTTTATATAGCTTTAGATTTTGCTGTGTAGCTGCTCTGTTTAGTTTGTCACTGAACGTATAGTGAGTACTGTACTAGTGAAGGTTTTTTTTTAAAATAAAATTCTGATCCTGTTTTGACAAAACAACAGGCAAGTGGTTCTTAGATTCACTCATGTAAAGACAGAGTTCATTAACTGATTACTGAAATCTGATTTTGTCAGTAATTTGTTCACCGCGTTTACATACACTTAGGTAATCAGATAGCAGGGAAAACTCCGGGTCTATGTGAGTCTGGCAATAATCGTATTACTGCTTCGCAACTTGCCAATAAACAAACAGTATAATACATGGCATAAATATAACATAAAGCTCATCATCATGCTGTTTTTTTTTTTTTGTTTTTTTAATCAAATTCAAATCATTTCAGTGGAAAATATGAACATACATCATCTAGAACAGGCATGTCAAACTGTGGCCCTAACAGGCCAAAGGGCTGCGGATGTTAGCATTTACCCTCATCCACTATTCAGTTCATGACGGCCTTGCTAATTGGTTAATGAGTTGAATCGGGTGTGTTTAATGAGGCAGCATGCAGAAGTCTGTAGTGTTTTGGCCCACAAGGACTGGAGCCTGACACATGTGATCTAGAACATGAAGAATATTCAAACTCCTTATTTCGTCAAGCATGTAGTTTCAGCATCGCTCTGAAAGTGTTTTGTTGCCATCACGCTGATGCTGTTAAACGCTGCTTGCTGTTTGCAGGACTCGTACATGTGCAGACTGAGACAAACACAAGAAATCTGTATAAGAGTATATGTGCACTGAAAAACCTGATTACTGAGCTGAAATCCAGGTCTCTATATCAGATTTCTTAATCGGATTTCTAGGCCTTAATCCAATCTAAGAAATCGGAGTATGCTGTTCACATGTCCACTTGAAAAATCAGACAACCTGTTAAAATCCAATAATGTTTGGAAGTGAAGTGCGTGTAAGTAGATTGAATGTAAAGCCTCATTTAGCCTTACATCACTTATCTGTGTCTCTCAGCCTGTGGTGAAAACCGTGGAGAAAACCTCAAAGAGTACTTTTGACCTGACTGAGGTGAAACCATGTACCAGCTACACCATCTCAGTGCGCTGTAGGATTAATGTCTGGAGCGAATGGAGTCAGACTGTAACACACCTCACCTCTCTCAATGGTAATATAAACTTATTTTAAACATGTTTTATCAGATAAGAGAGAATTTGTAAAATGAAAGCAAGACCAAATGTAATTTTTCTTACATTAACAGTCAGTAATGTACAGCTCCATCTTTGGAGATCTAAAGGTGTGGTGTATGACCAGGGGAAGAGGGCAGTACACCTTATGTGGAAGGTAAGATGACTTTTAAAAAAGCTTTTAGTGGTCATGATTTGAAACGTTGTTCTCATCAGCTGTTTTTCTGTCTTTCAGGGAATCAATCCATTATGTAAAGCATTTGATGAGTATCGTCTCTTTAACCACACGCCTAATTTAGTTACGTCAAGAAGTTTTAAGCCATCTGAGAATCATACGGTTATTATTGTAGATGAAAATGCACACAGAGTCACTGTGGCTGCATTCCGTAATAACAAAAGCCTCAGTGAAGCGTCCATGGAAATTCCTTCCACAGCAGAAGGTGAGAAGTTTGAAGGTTTTCACTGCACACAATATTAAAAATAAAGGTTCCAAAATGGTTCTTATCTTGGTTGTATGGTACCAGGAACAAAGTATATGTGGTTTTTCACACTCTCACATCTCATTTACAAAATTGGTTCTTTCAAGAACCATCCACTGAAAACGGTTCTCCTGTGGTACCACTCCAAAGAACCGGTTTTTGGCACCTTTATTTTTTCATTTTAAATATATATACATTTGCTTAATGTGTGACCCTGTAATCCATTAATCTTTTTGTTTTAATTGGTCAGAGTTCAGTTTGCCTCCAGTTGATAATGTCAACATGTTTGCCCGGGATGGTCAAATTCACATTGCGTGGGACAAGCCGTACCTCGCTGTCACTGGCTATATAATCATCTGGAACAGTACTGAAGAGGACCACCAGTGGCAACAAACTCAAGAAAGGCATTTCTCTCTAAAAGGTATTTGGACTTAGGAAAACTGCCAGTTTTTGAATGTCAGATTGTTGCATTTTCACTAAACTAAGCATTACTTATGACTACAGGAGAGAACTTCACCCTTTACACCATATCTCTGATGCCACTCTATGAAAACGGCCCTGGAAGTGAAATCAGACTTCATACTTACGCTCAAGAAGGAGGTGAGTTTTAGCAGGGCCAGTTTACAGGGAGCCTGCCCACTTCCTCACCCCATTACGCCAAAAACATGACTGCGAAATGCTGGAGAGAGACACTGAATTTACTGAGCTAAAGCCCTGGTAACTTTATGCAGCCCTGGATACAAAAACAATGAGTGCATTTACATGCACTGAATAATCTGATAACTGCAGAAAATCAGATTTTGTCATTAATCCGATCAGCACGTTTACATGCACTCGAGTAATCAGATAATGGGAAACTCCAGGTTTACATGAGTCAGGAAGTAATTGGATTTCTGCTTGGCAACTGGCCAATAAATTCACAGAAGAAGACGCGACATAAACATAACGTAAAAATCAAACTTCTTTAAGAAGATGAAGAATATTTAAATCCTTTATTTCGTGTTTGGTTTCAGTGTCGCTCCTAAAGCGTTTTGCTGCGTCTCGCGGCATCACCGTTTATTTATCTGGTACGTCTGTTCTCGCGCATGCGCAGACTGAGATATCCAAAAGAAATCGGAGTACGAGTACACATACACTGAGAAATCTGATTACTGAGCTAAAATACAGCTCTGTTTATCTGATTTCTTAATTGCACTTTTGGAGTATGGTCTTTACATGGCCATTTGAATAATCGGATAACTGCAGAAATCCAATTATGATCGGATTTTTGAGTGCATGTAATCGCACTCACTGATAACCAATTTTCAGATTACAAGTTTGTAAAAAGCTTCATAGGCAACCATTCATTCCTGTCTTGTGAGCGCCCTCTAGTGTCTGATCCACCAGAAAAAAATGTATGATTGTGTGAGAGTTTTCCATATAAATTCTCTGGTATCATGTCATTAGAGATGGTGCTGAATGTAGCTCTGTTCAACAGAGGCTAACATCCATTTACTTCAGTTTTTCAGAAAGTAGATTTTCTAAATTCTGATTATGACCTGATTAAATCAAACTAGTTTTCACCTATTTTTAGCGAAACATCTGAATATTCATATCCTCTGATTTCCTGCAGGGCCAGCTGTGGTGTCTAATGTCCGCGCAGAGAGGATTTGTGACAGGAAGGCTGAGATCCACTGGCGGCCCATTTCGTCCACTCAGTGCTGTGCATTTGTTGTGAGCTACACAGTGTTTTATAAAACACGAAATGACATAGCAGTTAGGAGTAAGTCCACTGTGTCTGCCACACCACTGCATTTACACGCCATTCATTCTTATATATATTATTTTATATACACCAATCAGGCATAACATTATGACCACCTCCTTGTTTCTACGCTCATTGTCCATTTTATCAGCTCCACTTACTATATAGGTGCACTTTGTAGTTCTACAGTTACAGACTGTAGTCCATCTGTTTCTCTGCATACTCTGTTAGCCCCCTTTTACCCTGTTGTTCAGTGGTCAGGACCCCCATGGACCCTCACAGAGCAGGTACTATTTGGGTGGTGGATCATTCTCAGCTCTACAGTAACACTGACATGGTGGTGGTGTGTTAGTGTGTGTTGTGCTGGTACGAGTGGATCACACACAGCAGTGCTGCTGGAGTTTTGTCACTGCTGGACTGAGAATAGTCCACTAACCAAAAATATCCAGCCAACAGCGTCCTGTGGGCAGCGTCCTGTGACCACTGATGAAGGACTAGAGGATGACCAACACAAACTGTGCAGCAGCAGATGAGCTATCGTCTCTGACTTTACATCTACAAGGTGGACTGACAAGTTAGGAGTGTCCAATAGAGTGGACAGTGAGTGGACACAGTGTTTAAAAACTCCAGCAGCACTGCTGTGTCTGATCCACTCAGACCAGCACAACACACACTAACACACCACCACCACGTCAGTGTTATTGCCGTGCTGAGAATGATCCACCACCCAAATAGTCATTACAATTTTGTCATTACACGCCAGCTGTTCCTGGGAACTGTGTAGCTCTCATTGAATTCCGTCTGTTAATTGGAACGCCTGGGGCTAATTGTGGGATTGTTTTCTCTGCCTATACAGTGCCGTGCAAAAGTCAGAAACCACACTTCATTTACATAATTTCCAGTTAAAATGAGCATTAAATACCAGTTATTTATTTTTCAGTGTCAGGAAAAAATGTAGAAAATATCTATAATTCTATTATCTTAGATTATATATTTAAACAACTAATTCCTGATATTTTTAGGATTTAGTCTGTCCACAAGACACTTGCTTTCAGAAATCTTGACAGCTGCACATGTTTTCGTCTCATAGTGTTGAGTTGTCTTCTCACAGTGGAAGGATTTTCTCCTCTCTCTCAAAGATGAAAGCTTTACATACTGTTTATCTGATGGGGAGAGTTTTGGTGGTCTATAAGATTTTGCACAGTTGTTAGACGTCCTATTTCCTATATATATATATATATATATATATATATACACACAGATTTATTTTATTTTTTTTTTAACTTTTGTTTTGGAAACTTTTGCTTTATCACTTATTTTTCACATTCCCCCTTAATGCAAACGAATGATGTAATATGTAATGTCCTCAAAATTATCTCCTGAAAAATTAATACCTTGTACTGAATGGCCATTTTGACTGGACATTGAATATTGAGTGATGCTCTCTGACTTCAGCACAGTACTGTAAGATTGTCTGTTATTTACAGAAATAGAGTGAATATACACCGATCAGGCATAACATTATGACCACCTCCTTGTTTCTACGCTCATTGTCCATTTTATCAGCTCCATTTACTATAGTATAGTAACACTGACATGGTGGTGGTGTGTTAGTGTGTGTTGTGCTGGTATGAGGGGATCAGACACAGCAGTGCTGCTGAAGTTTTTAAACACTCTGTCCACTCACTGTCCACTCTATTAGACACTCCTACCTTGTCAGTCCACTTTGTAGATGTAAAGTCAGAAACAGTAGCTCATCTGTTGCTGCACAGTTTGTGTTGGTCATCCTCTAGTCCTTCATCAGTGGTCACAGGACGCTGCCCACAGGCCCTGTTGGCTGGTTATTTTTGGTTGGTGGACTATTCTCAGTCCAGCAGTGACACCTGAGGTGTTTAAAAACTCCAGCAGCTCTGCTGTGTCTGATCCACTCAGAGCAGCGCAACACACACTAACACACCACCACCACGTCAGTGTTACTGCAGTACTGAGAATGATCCACCACCCAAATAGTACCTGCTCTGTGAGGGTCCTTGGGGGGTCCTGACGGCTGAAGAACAGGGTAAAAGGGGGCTAATAAGGTATGCAGAGAAACAGATGGACTACAGTCTGTAATTGTAGAACTACAAAGTGGACCTATATAGTAAGTGGAGCTGATAAAATGGACAGTGAGTGTAGAAACAAGGAGGTGGTCATAATGTTATGCCTGAACGGTGTATATATACTTGCATGCACAGTGATAAATTTTCTTTTTTTCACAGATGTGACTGTGGACCAAAAGGAACACAGTGTCATTTTGGATGACCTGCAGCCCAAAACAAACTACATTGTCTATGTCCAGGCCAATTCAATGGCTGCTTCTTCAAAAAGCAGTTTTTACACATTCTCAACAAAGCCATATGGTAATTATCATTTTACTTTTTTTTTAAACTGTGGTTAGGTGGGCTGATGTCAATTACGTTCCAGGACACACAAATGTTTGTTTTTTTTTTACAGATACAGTTTTGTTTTTTTGTTTTCAATCAAGATTCACAGGACAGAGCAATCAAACAACAATAGCCCAGTTTACAAGCACAAAGTTTTTTTGGGGGCAAAAATATACAATTCAGTTTCTAAGTGCTGGTGTTACATTATTAAGGCTTCAAAAAGGAAGAGATCATCATTCATCTCTTACTGAGAGGTTTATTGTTTGATAGATTTGGTCTGGGTTCATTTGCTCAAATCAAATGTTAATCAGAAATCTGAACACTTTTCCATATGTTTCATATTTCTGAAGAAATGTGATATTATGGAGGTTTTTGCTCAGTCATAGGTTAGGGTCAGTGAGAGGGTGAGGTGAAGCATGACACTATTTGTTAATATTATTTTTCCCTGTCGTTCTGAAGATCACTATATTACAGAAATAGAAACTGTCACTATATTACAGAAATAGAAACAGGACAAAAAGAAATTTTGTCTTTTCAAATATGTGAAATGATGGTCATATGACCAGACGTATGAGCTGACAAGGTTTAAAAAGGTCAGTTTTGACTTCAAGGATGAGGTGTCGCTTCTCCATATGGAATATTCAGCTTCTAACGCTGCCTTTGCCTTTTACAGGCGAAGTCTTCCTTATTACGCTGATCGTGTGCGGTGTTGGACTGATGTTGCTGCCTGTTTGTACTGTGTTTGTCTTGTTGATGTGAGTTGACCCTTCCTTTTCTTTATTTTGGTTCACTGATAAATCCATATTTGTTAACCATTAGACTGTCGTGATCTAATGTTTTATTATTGTTATATCTACAGACGAAAGGAATACCTGAATGAAAAGGTTCCTAACCCCCGATTTAGTTCTCTGTCTATATGGTCTTCACAGAAATGTAGAAATGTATGTCTTCTTTTCTTTTCATTGTATGTACTGCTGATTTATTTAGATGCCTTTTGGAGCGCAGTGATGCGCAGGATAAAAACAAAGTAAAATGAATGCTTTTTACCTAAATACAGTAATATTAGATGTATACACAGAGTTGCTAGTTTATTAGGTACACCTGCCATGTTAAGACATATTCTAAGGTACACATACCATATGGATGCATTTTGCAGGTTTACATTTATGGGCTGTTGTTATCCCAAAATTGTCAGGTGCCCTTTTCCCTGTCCATCAATGGATGGCATCATTAATAGACTTTTAAATTAGGTGCAGCAATGTTGCTGGGAACAGTCTCTCAATCCAAATTATCCAACCAGCATGTATCCTGTGGTCAGAAACCTCTCAAGTGTCTGGTCTGTGGGGGTCTCTTTCCACGTGAGTGTGGGCTGATAAATTGTGTAGCTACAGATGTCCACACTCTGTAATTGCAAACCAACAGAATGCACCTATATGCTAAATGTTTCTGATAAAAAGGTATGCAAGTACAAAGTAGGTGTATTTTTATGATAAAGTAAATGATAATGTGGTGTTGTTTCTCCCCCCCAGCCCTGGAACCAATTACCAATGCCCTGGGGCTGCGACCCTGAGAAAAGTCTCACATGTCAAGTGGAAGCCGAGGACTACAGCATTTTAGCAACAAGTACAAGAGATGTGGCTAAGCTGCAACAAAACACTGCTATACAGGAAATGACAACAACACAGACAGAAAACGCTGCTCTGGTCAGCTCTTCTAGTGAAACGGAACTGGCATCTGATGGCAAAGAGGAAAGAATGAAGGCTTTGTCAGCAATGGATCTCGAGACACCACGCATTCATCCTGTCCTCCTCAGTCAATCTCCTTACAAAAACCAGACTCCTCTGACCAGCCCTGTGGACTCACCCAGGAAAGGTTTGCAAGGAACCACAAAACCTCGTTCTGAGGAAACCGAGACACTGCTAAAACCAAAGATCCACAATGCAACCATGGTTACCACCTACGTCACAGTGGACGTGTTCGAACATGGTAAAAGCAAGTGAGGCGCACTTTGAATGGTTTGATGTAATGGATGGCATTCTGGGGGGGGGGCAGCATGGCTGGAACTAAACTCTGCAGAAAAGATCTCCAGGAGGAGGCTTGGTAACCGCTGTTCTACACAAAACTAGCGGTCCTCTGAAACCCTGTGATAGCTATCTGCACTGTTTACTTAAATATAACTGAATTTTCTATGATAGGCAATCCTGGCTGTTGGCTCTGTGCCCCAGAATTGTCATTTATATGTATCCGTCTCGGTGAGAAGGGAAAGGGCATTTTAATGAATACAGCATCTTACTGAGCTGTGCAACACTCTCTGAAGCACTTATCCTAATGTACCAATGCACTTAAGGGCAAGAAGGATGGTTTTGATAAATGGTTTTATTTCTCATAAGGTTATTGAGTGATAAGTTGATATCAGGATTTGGATACATGTGAAAAGTCATGCATTAAAGGTGTCCTAATATGTCACAGAGATAATGTAGTGTTGATTTTCTTGCACACACGCGCATAATCACACATACATACACACACATACACACACAAAATCCGCACTCATGTGAAACTGTATACCATGTGATGAAAAAGTGCAGTAATACTTCTGAAATAAAGTAGAATGATGCCACTGTTCCAGATTTCACAAATGTTCATTTGATCTCAAAGTACTGGGTTTCTGAGTACTCCCAGATGTTCAAATTTCAGTTACTGTAAAGTTACAGAGGCTGATATTTACCCCACTTCATTCCAGTAAATTAATGTTATAACAGACACTTTTAGACCCTAGTCCAGGTATTTGGGGGCAAGAAAGCATTGGTGAAACTCTGGAAAACTAAAGATCTATCCATTTAACCATTACTCATGATTAAAAAGCACTTGTGGCCCCAGAAATGCACAGTAGTCAGTATTTTTTTTTCACACTATGCAAACTGATCAAAAAAATATGTATAATGCATACTAAATATTCCAACCAAATAAAACTGAAAAAAGCAGTAACTATTATAAACATTGTACACAGAACATGATTAAAAAAAACAGCTTGAAAGAAACACTACATAAAACAAAGACAACATACAAAAGGGGACCGAATTTGACACATGTGCATGTTTTAAGCCTAATGACAGTAACAATTTGACCTGAAACATTCACAGCCAAAATCCAACCAACACAATGTTTTGGGTTAAGCAGCAGTCGGTGTTGAACCTTAATACAGGCATTAAAAGTCATCACTAAATGAAGGCACAGGGTTGTGTTAACGATGTGTCAGTCCTCTCACTGCGGTCGGTAGCCACTCTGCTGTGGCATGTAACTGGGAACAGGGCCTGGGGGATCCTCTGTGAGAGTGGGTGTGTCCTCCTCCTCCATTGGACTGAAGCAGTCTGGCTCCTCTGTGTCCTGCGGCTGCAGCTGCTCGAGGCCTCTGCCCCGTTTGAAGTAAGAGTTTCTCTGGTGACTGCCGCCATCCAGCAGATGCTCCTGGTGCTCCTCACAGTCCAGAAGGGGCTGTGTGGACTCGGATCGTGCAAAGACAGGGGCCTGCAGGCTGGGGGTCTGGCCTTTATAGCCGCTGGCCACCACGGAGGAATACTGCACGGTGCTGGCCGTGGTCTGGCCCGAGTCGCCCTCATCGCTATCGGAAACGCTCTGTCGTGGGGAAGACATGCAGGAGGAGCCACCGATTCCGCTGCTGTGCTCCTCTGAGAAGTACTTGTCCTTCTTCAGTGGCAGCATTGCTTTGTCCTCCTCACATAAAGACTTCCCGTCAAATACGTCCACCTCCACCACGCTCACGTCAGGCAGGGTGGCTTCTTTTGGAGTGTCCGTCTGAAGAAAACCAAAGACCCATTAGCTTCTTTTTGTATTATTTGGATGAGACTTTGGGTAGCATTGTGCATGGATGAATAAAACCCAATAACAGCAATAAGATGTTATTACTTTTTGTATATCTTTACATCATTTGTTTTGTCCCACAGTCAGTCTTGAGGCGTTTTCACACTGATCTTGAATTCCTGAATCTGTATCCATGACCAGTTTTGGGGTTGTATGGGAAAGGCCTTATTATAGCAAGGTGAATCAACTGCACAATATCATACGTCACCTTTGTGCACACATATCTGTAAAAATGGTAAATAATAGTTTCATCTCTTTACGGTTTTTGACACTAAAGGGATGGTAGTCTTGCAAGCCACACTTCCACCTATAGTCAAAAAGAGTCTGGTGCATTATGGCCAGGAACCACCTTCTTTGACAGGAAAGGGCCATTTGGCTACCTAATCAGAGACCACTGTTGTAGTCTAATGTGTACGGATAGATGTTTTTCAAAAAGGGCTACGAAAAAACAAACCCACGAGAAACTCTAGTATGCAAAAGCAAATACGCAAGGATCTCTCATAGAAAAGCTGCTCTTGAATAACTTTTAAAGATGTGATACCATAAAATGAACAGTCTTTTTCTAATCTAGTGAAAGCCTCAGTCAAACCGCACAGAGCGGGCACGTGCTTGTTTTCCACTGGACAGGTAAAACCTGCTGCATGGAGTGTGTTCACACAGACATGCACAGAGACAATCAGAATAAAACTGACAAGCTCCTGATAGTTGTGGCCAGTTTAATGTGCAAAATCTATCAGACTACGGTAGAACATCTACATAGCTAAAGGGATGGCAAGTGAAAACAGGCTTATACTTTCAGAGTTCCTTTGGTGGGCACCACCACTCAAACAGCTAAGAACAGAGTTTACTGCATGTGTGGCCTGTCCTCATGGAAGAATCTGTAAATAAGGAGCATCTCTCTTGGAAAAATATTTAGCCATGTGCGACGACATGAGAGCAAGCACTCAAGAAACTTCCCACTGTTCCAGAAATTAAAACAGGGTGTAACATGACAAAAAAATTAACCCATCAAATTACGCAATGCGCAGCGCTGGGAGCAGAGAGCTTTCACGCTGTGAACACACACCACCGTTTCCAGGAAGACCACATCTGGGGTTGAAAATGGCTTTCACACCCAGCTAAACATACTGAACTCAAAGTGTGAAAAGGCTTTTGCATTATGTACATTAGGGGAGGAGAACTGAGGGCTGGAGTCCAGCACAGTTTGGTTATTTCTGTGCTCCAACACTTCCTCCAAACTGGGAAATTAACTGCTAAGTAGAATCAGGAGTGTTTGAAAACGAAAATCACCAAACTGTGTAGGAATCTGGTCTTTCAGGATCAGAGTTGCCCATCCCTGATGTACACAAATGAATCCTATCAGTTGGTAGCAAGTTTTAAAACTACAAGACTATATAACGCATAGGGAGGCACAGATTTAGAAATTTTGGTAATATTTTTGATATACGATATTTTTCATGTACATATTGGTTAATGGTGATACATAAGCATCTATAAAATGGAGAAATTAGGGCTACATCTACGTGGATCAGCATTATAGTGAAATATATCTTATTTCTGTACAATTACAAATGCAGCAAAATAAATCAAAGGCAGACAGTTTAGTGTAGTCACCTAAACGCTCTCAGAAAAACATTCTGTGCTTATAGTCATGATAGTTTACTCACCCTAGTGGGACAGTCAGGTGACCAAGTAGCAATAGTGCTGTGGGAGGGGTCTGGAACCTGTGGCCATAGATGCTTCTTAATCCTAAAGAATTATTGAAAAAACATTTTTAATCAAGATGATCTTAATACAAAGTTTACAATATATGTACTCTCAAATAAATAATAATTACAATTTTAAACTAGTACATCTTCAAGGTCTGATACTAAGGCTTTTCTTTTCAGTTTTATCGTGAGCTTATAGTTTCCTGCTTTCTCTTTCAAGTTCAGCAAAAAGCGTGTTGTTACATGTGTAAGTTGACTCACACTTCTCTGTTCTTGAGGGAGAGCATCATTATGAAAACTATGAAGAACAGGAAGCCCAAGCACACCAACACCACGATCACTTCGATTTCACCATCATCTACAGTTCACCAGGAAAGAGATAACACATACATTCATTGGTACAGACTCACTTAGTGACATATTATTTCACAATATTAAAATATCTGCTGTTTTGTTAGTGTCAGGAAAATGTACACGTTTTGCATGCTGTCTAAAGGAAAGTACCTTTTCACAGCTCATACCTGAAACTCACACTTTTTTCATGACTGTCTGCATACTTCGTACATGCTCATGTCAAAATGTGTGAATCAAAATGCCACAAAAGGTTCATAGTGTAGTTTGCAGCTGTTTTTGACTTGCAGAGTTTGTTGCACATTTTATATTCATGTGTGAGTATACTGTATCAGTGTGGAGCTCTGTTGTGGGACATTTTACAAATATTTGTGACATGCAGATATATTGTGAGGGTGCAATGGGTGGAACTTGACAATAGGATTACACAGTAAAACAAAAATGGAACAATTCTACACTTTGCAGAGCCTTTCAAAGATTCTAAAGTATAAAAGCAAAGCCTTCAAAAACACAAAAAAGAATAGAAATATGTGCGTCCATCAGTTTCTATTACTGTAAGAGAGATAAGTAATGAACATCTAAAATTTGCAATCTGAGGATTTACAGTATTTGCCAATTCAATTACTGCATTTAAAGCTGTTTTTATTGCCACTCTGAGAAATGTGAAAAATGCTACTTTATTTCATAAACTTGCCACAGTCGCATGCATCATTAAAACAGCCCAATATGAGCAGTGATAAAGGTGAGTTGTTCAGAAACCATTTCCCTTTAGCTGTGAGGGTTGGAATTGTTCCTAGGAGAAACGTTTAGTGATTTTAACGTTAAATTCTTGTACTCGCTGAGACTAAAATACAGGGGTAACTGCTGCAGAATTACTTAAGTTCACAGAGTTCAACAACTATGCAAACACAAATCATGTCCAAATATTGTACTACTTTCTAGTTATTCTGATTTGTTAGAAATGTCACCTACCATACCAAAGGTCAAATTACAAATTAAACTCTTTTGCGATTCATGAGTTTGCAAGTCTGATATCGTACAATGCTATAGTTACAAGAAGCCTAAAAAGACCAGTGCTACAATAATGCTAATTTCTGCTATAACTTCTATGGAAATTTAACTGTAGTGCTGCACCATGCTAGCAGTTGTGTGCGTTCACTTCTCATACTGGATTCAATACTACTTAGACTAGCTCTACTTAAACACAGACATTTGAAGCATTTAAATCTTGTATCATTCCACTGACATTTTTACTGTCTGCCGAGCTTTTCTGCCTAGACTTTATTCAAAGATAAATTTAACTTCATATACATGCAATGTTAAAAGCAAACAAACGTGTGCATTCATAGAATCCTGCTTGTGTGGGTTTCCTCTCTTTCAGTGATTTTTCAGCACACAAAAGCGATTTGAGTTCTAACAACTCTCACTTCCAGGATATCTGCTAAATAGAACTTTATAACGACCTGTTGATGCTCCATCATTCAAATAAGAGATAATCATAGAGCTGATTAATTAAAAACTTACATTTCAATTGATAAATTTAACAATGAATTTAGTTCTACATTGAATTCATTACACAATACATCATAAATAAAACAAAAAGCTTGATGAGGGAGTACATACCATACTTTTTTGTGTAAAAACTGGAGTCAGAGCCGTTTACTGATCCCTCCACATTAGAAGCCATAATGTGCACCACATACTGACTTTCACTTGCCAGTCCGGTCAGCTTGTATGAGCAGACATGAGGGTCAACTACAACAGCTGCCAAACCAATCAAATGGTAAGACACAAAAGGTCATAAACAACTCTTTACATTAAATCTCAATTTAACTTTCTTATTGTGCCTGTGCAAGATTATCTTCATCCATCTGAACTAACAAAAAAAAAAAATTACACAGTAATATTAAATCTGTATCAGCACAAGCGATAACCGAACTGGAAAACAAAACAGTTTTCAACAAAAATCCAAACAAGACTTACATTGCTCGGCGTCTCCTGTTTTGTAGAAGATGGTGTAATTGGTGAGAAACCCCCGCTGACTTTCTATTGGAATCATGTTCCATTTCAAGAAAGCATTGTTTTTTTGGGTGTTGGACACATCAACAGAAGGACCCTTTAGGGGAGCTGGATTTATAAAGAGTGTACGTAGAAGTTGAAACAAGAAACATATGTCTGTTGCACTTTACACACAAAAAAACATTCAAAATCCCACTACAGCATAGGTGCCTTCTGATTCAATGTTCTCTGAACTGCTAACTTTTCAGAAGACCAATATGCACTAATTAGCAAGGAATCCATAGGTGAACAAGTTTACACAACTTAAAATCAAATGATCATACGAATGTATGAAAAAAAAGTGTAAAGGAAACTGAATGATACATACGTCCTTGCTGGAGATATGCTTCCACAGTGAAATTCTTCCCTGGCCAGCTGTAGTGCTTTTTTTTGTAAATCGGATAGACTGATATACTGTAGCGTTTGAATGGCTGAAAGTTACCTACACAGGGGAAAGTGAAAAGCAATCTTCAGTTAGTGAAGCAACAACCATCACAGACCCATTATCAATACATCATAGAGCAGGGGTCTGGATCCTGGATATCTCCTGCAGGTTCATCTCCAGCCCAAATCTAACATAACTGAGCCAACCATTAAAGAGGACTAACTCTTTGGATAAGATGTATTAAAATAGGGACTGGATGCGATCCTCAGAAAGGTACATCTCCAGGAGCAGGGTTGGTGACTACTGCCCTATAGTACCCTTAATATGACAATAACTGCTTAACGACTGTTGTTTTCATGAAAGCAAACATCTCTAATCAGGCTTGATCAGCGTCTCCAATGAGAAATGCCCAGGACAAGCTAAGGTGTGACCTTGCTGGTTGCACAGGTGAGAAAACATGGTGACAACAGAAACTCATGATGAATAAAACTAATGTACAACCAAGTGTTCTTTATGATTAAATATATCAATACTAAATTACAGGTCTGTAAACATTTGCAAATCATAAAGAGACTTAAAATTAAAAAGTAAAACTAGACATTTAAAACTCCAGGTGCCTAAAATGATCCAAAAAGCAAAACGATAGTAATAAATGCAAGAAAAACATGGTACTATTTTATAACTACTATAATACGCTGAACAAGTCCAAGTGTAAAAGTTCTCACCTTTGAGGACTGTATTATTCAGTTTTCCCGACACTCTCTGCCAGTCCCTCTGTTTGTCGGGAACAGACACCCATTCCAGCAGATACTCAGAGACAGGTTCGCGGATCTGTGTGGGTGGAAGCCAGTCCACCTGCAGCTGCCCATCAAGGACTGAGTAACTCACTTGATCTACTCCACGAGAGGGCTCTGGAAGGGAAACCACACAAACCAATCAGTTCAGGGAGACTTCACAAACCAGAACTTAACATTTATGTTTGTATATTTTTATGGATTACTACTGTATACTTTGAGGTAACACACATACCAGGTCTGAAGATCATTAAAGTGGACGGCGGAGATACCCCTACGGAATTGTTTGCTGTTATTTTGATAAGAGCTCTTTCCCCCTTTAAACGGAATTGGTGCTCATTAGAACAAACAACGAGCCTCTTTGTACTGTTCCCTTCATCAATTGTGAGGTTATATGCCAATATTTTGCCATTGGACTTCACAGGTTTCTGTGACATAAAATGAAAAGAAACATAAAACACTCATCATCATCATCATCGTTAACCGCTTAGTCCAGATAGGGTCGCGGTACATAAAACACTGAAATTGTTTATAAATTGTTAATAAACCACATACAATAACCAACCTTGAATATCCACATTTTCACTCACACACACACACACACACACACACACACACACACACACAAAGCGTTATACCTTCCAAATCAGCTTTATAACTGAGTCATCATCTCCATAGACTCTCCACAGATCTGGTCCACTTCTAGGGACTGAGCAAAAAGGGCAGATTTTAAAAATGATAAGTGAAGTATCAAAAATAATTTTACTCCACATCTTTCAACAATCCCTGATTGTGTAGCTGCTTATAAAGAGGTCCTGTTCACTTAGTGGTAGTAGTGACCTTCAGGAGACAGATGAAGGGCCTACTATCTCAGAATGTGTGGGTGTTAGCTGGCCATAAACACACACACATATGTATATAACTTACTTTCACACTTAAAGGGCAAAATCATCCAGAGTAATTCGATGAAAAATGCTGCGTTCTAAAGAAACTTACCATGTCAGGATTGTACACAATAATGGTAATAAGAACCAGATAAAATTGGCTATATCAGCCTTACAGACATGGCGAACCCTAGTTCCTACCACCACAACTGTAAAAAAAACAAATCTAAGTCTGTAAGTTTCTCTAAGTTTCTCCACCACATGCTATTTCACATGAAACAACTCTAAATTACTTTATTTAAATCTGAACAATTGAAATATGCGGATTTGAAAAGAAAAAAAAAGAAAAATCAGTGGAAATCCTTGTTAAGCTCATCATTGTCAGGGACCTATATTTGCTCAGTGGCACTTTCATTCATCATCAGCCTTAAATATCCTGTTTGTCTACTAGACAATTCCTATTTTCACCATGTTCTTCTTTCTCCAAGAAAGTTCTAAAATTCATTTCCACGTATTCAACAGAGACTTACTCGCTTCTGGGGTGCGAACGGTGACATTGGAACTCCAGTCACTCCAGTGACCGAGGCCTCCGAGATGAATGCAGCGCATCTGAACCACATAATCAGTGTACGGCTGAAGTGACTGCAGCCTAAAGGACTCCGTATAAGCTTTAGTGTGTTCCTGGGGTACCTCAAAGAACATGTTTAAATGCAGAAATCACGTGAAACATGACGGAACATTCAACTTGATCTACTCATGGGACGAAGCCTTTAGACTGAGAACCACCTGGCGTGAAAATTTATAGTATCAAACTGAGAGAACAAAAAGCACCTTGCGTGCAAGTTTCTATTTTAAATGGTATTGAATATGGTTTTGACGCAACAGCAAGCTTTCTTACAGACAGACACTGCGTTTCAAAATAATACAAATTATACAAGTTAGTTCAGATGGCACAATCTGACTGTCCGAGATGTGTTCTATGTTTTCAAAATAACTATTATTCCACTGACCAATGTGAATATTAAAGCACACTTGATGCGGTGTTCACCACTTCCTGACTTTACTTTATCTTTATTTTGCAGAACTGATAGACTTCAGCAACACTAGACGGAGTAAATAACATCACAGCTGTGATTTGGTCATTAAACATTATGCTAAACAAGATATGTTTACTATTAGTTTCACTCCTCAGAAAAATTAGTGAACCATTACACAGTAGTCAAGACTATATGAAGCACATAGTTACCTCTTTCCAATTGCTGGAGCCGGCTTCGCAGTATCTGATGATGTACTTTAGTTTGAAGATCGTTGCATGAATGGGATGTGTCCAGTTAACCATTAAAGACCCTGGGAATTTGTCTTCTGGAATAACCTTCACATTTGCTGGTGGATTTGGTTTCACTTAGAGAAGGGAAGACAAAGGACCCACGGCATTTCAGGCATCACTTCAACTTCACTGCATTGTTTGAGTTACACTAGAAACACATAATATCCACCATATTCACATTAAATTTCTCACACATACAAAACTTACCAAACTCTTCTGCATCTTCTTCCCCTTCTTCTAAAGTCACGTTCCCCAATGCATTCTCCACCTTCAACCAGACTGCTAACTTCATATGATTGGGGAAAGTCTTTAAATTGACAGTGAGACTGTGTGCGAGTGGCTCCTCACTAGAAGAATTAAACCCCAGGCTGCCAAAAGAAGGAGAAATTCTATGAAAACAGGAGGAAAAAAAAACAATTACAAAAAATTCTTGTCATCTATTTTAGAATACAGCAGTCTATTAAGGATGCTCCATAATGTTGTAATCTTATCTGAATGGGCAGATTCTGATAAAATTCTGCCTAATGTCGATATTTCATCTTATCAGATGTTCAGATTCGAGTAGTATTTCAAACTGATATTTGATCCCGAATTTACTGTAATCTAGAATAGCAGAACGTTTAGGCAATACTGGGCTAAAATGTCTGCATTTAGTTAAGTTTTCTGCATTTGCAACACTACAAAAATAAATGTCCTTTCTTCTCTGTAATGCTGATCCAGATACATACATAAAAAAGTAGAGTTCTAATGACTTCTTTCATGAAAAAAAAAAATCTCTTTTTAACTGCTACAATTTCACTTCTATCCATTTCAAGGACTCAAACAAACCTTGCAAAAAGTGTATATTTGGTGCGAATAAGTGGATCTCTCGTCCCTGGATCCCAAGAACATGTCAAGTTAGGGGATATCATCTTGCCAACTTGAAGAGCAACACAGGTCAGATTCTTTGGCTCTAATGGTGGATCTGAAAGACATCGATGCCATAATTTTGTTAAAAGAAATCAAAATACACTTTGAATGTGAACAGATGTAACATATTCACAAAGTAATAAAAATGTTATTATTTACATGCACAGCTAAACCAACCCACATTAACAAAGAATGACAAGAAATTTGCTACGAGTAAAAAGGCACACTTAAAAAGATATACTCACATCCTTTATCGAGGTAGATCCCATAGGTACATGGATTTTTAAACGATGGTGTCCGTTTAGAAGCTGAACACTTTAATGGGTTTTTCATGGAACTACTGATTTTCACAGTGACAGAAACAGTCGATTTATTTATTGTCTTGTAAGACTCCCGAGGGAGGGTAACATTTCCCATGATCCATTCAATGTCCTTTGGGCTGTACAGTGACTGGTTAAATTTACATACAGCTGTGAACTCCTTCCCCACTTCAACTGGAATTAGACTTGCAGAGTCTGGAAGTATTTTTGCACATTGCGAAAATAAACCTGAGGAGAGAAGGTATAATTCATCTTAGTTTTCCTACCAAGCCAATATTTTGATTTATGATTGCATTTTTTAATAATCCTTGACTGTGTAGCTGCTTATAAAGAGGTCCTGTTCACTTGGTGGTACTAATGACCTTCAGGAGACAGGTGAAGGGCAAACAAGAACCTGCTATCTCAGAATGTGTGGGTGTTAGCTGGCCATGAACACACATATGTATATAACTTACTTTCACACTTAAAGGGGAATTCCACATGTAAACAACGTTATCCAGAGTGATTTGATGAGAAATGCTGCATTCTAAAGAAACTTACCATGTCAGAATTGTACACAATAATGGTGATAAGAACCAGACATCTAAAGAGATTATTACCTCTAAAAGCAGCTCTCTTACAGAAAGGTATTACAAGAAATGGTTAGGAATTTGCTGCCAGATGCCTGAGACACTGTTTTGCCATAGTTCCGAGATAAAGTTTTTGCCTAAAATGTATTTTAAAATCCCCCCAAAACAAAGAGGTACATGCAAGGCGTAAGGAAATATAGTACCCAAAGATTTTTCTAATTTACCACTATTTTATCATTATGACCATTACATATAAAAATCAGGGGACATGTGTAGATTCCCTGGTCATTTTTGGAACAGAAAACAGAAATATGCAGATTTGGAAAAAAAAAAGAAAAATCAGTGGAAATCCTTGTTAAGCTCATCATTGTCAGGGACCTATATTTGCTCAGTGGCACTTTCATTCATCATCAACTTTAAATATCCTGTTTGTCTACTAGACAATTCCTATTTTCACCATGTTCTTCTTTCTCCAAGAAAGTTCTAAAATTCATTTCCACGTATTCAACAGAGACTTACTCTCTTCTGGGGTGCGAACGGTGACATTGGAACTCCAGTCACTCCAGTGACCGAGGCCTTCGTGATGAATGCAGCGCATCTGAACCACATAATCAGTGTACGGCTGAAGTGACTGCAGCCTAAAGGACTCCGTATAAGCTTTAGTGTGTTCCTGGGGTACCTCAAAGAACATGTTTAAATGCAGAAATCACGTGAAACATGACGGAACATTCAACTTGATCTACTCATGGGACGAAGCCTTTAGACTGAGAACCACCTGGCGTGAAAATTTATAGTATCAAACTGAGAGAACAAAAAGCACCTTGCGTGCAAGTTTCTATTTTAAATGGTATTGAATATGGTTTTGACGCAACAGCAAGCTTTCTTACAGACAGACACTGCGTTTCAAAATAATACAAATTATACAAGTTAGTTCAGATGGCACAATCTGACTGTCCGAGATGTGTTCTATGTTTTCAAAATAACTATTATTCCACTGACCAATGTGAACATTAAAGCACACTTGATGCGGTGTTCACCACTTCCTGACTTTACTTTATCTTTATTTTGCAGAACTGATAGACTTCAGCAACACTAGACGGAGTAAATAACATCACAGCTGTGATTTGGTCATTAAACATTATGCTAAACAAGATATGTTTACTATTAGTTTCACTCCTCAGAAAAATTAGTGAACCATTACACAGTAGTCAAGACTATATGAAGCACATAGTTACCTCTTTCCAATTGCTGGAGCCGGCTTCGCAGTATCTGATGATGTACTTTAGTTTGAAGATCGTTGCATCAATGGGATGATTCCAGTTAACCATTAAAGACCCTGGGAATTTGTCTTCTGGAATAACCTTCACATTTGCTGGTGGATTTGGTTTCACTTAGAGAAGGAAAGACAAAGGACCCACGGCATTTCAGGCATCACTTCAACTTCACTGCATTGTTTGAGTTACACTAGAAACACATAATATCCACCATATTCACATTAAATTTCTCACACATACAAAACTTACCAAACTCTTCTGCATCTTTTTCCCCTTCTTCTAAAGTCACGTTCCCCAATGCATTCTCCACCTTCAACCAGACTGCTAACTTCATATGATTGGGGAAAGTCTTCAAATTGACAGTGAGACTGTGTGCAAGTGGCTCCTCACTAGAAGAATTAAACCCCAGGCTGCCAAAAGAAGGAGAAATTCTATGAAAACAGGAGGAAAAAAAAAACAATTACAAAAAATTCTTGTCATCTATTTTAGAATACAGCAGTCTATTAAGGATGCTCCATAATGTTGTAATCTTATCTGAATGGGCAGATTCTGATAAAATTCTGCCTAATGTCGATATTTCATCTTATCAGATGTTCAGATTTGAGTAGTATTTCAAACTGATATTTGATCCCGAATTTACTGTAATCTAGAACAGCAGAACGTTTAGGCAATACTGGGCTAAAATGTCGGCATTTAGTTAAGCTTTCTGCATTTGCAACACTACAAAAATAAATGTCCTTTCTTCTCTGTAATGCTGATCCAGATACATACATAAAAAAGTAGAGTTCTAATGACTTCTTTCATGAAAAAAAAAAATTAAATCTCTTTTTAACTGCTACAATTTCACTTCTATCCATTTCAAGGACTCAGACAAACCTTGCAAAAAGTGTATATTTGGTGCCAATAAGTGGATCTCTCGTCCCTGGATCCCAAGAACATGTCAAGTTAGGGGATATCATCCTGCCAACTTGAAGAGCAACACAGGTCAGATTCTTTGGCTCTAATGGTGGATCTGAAAGACATCGATGCCATAATTTTGTTAAAAGAAATCAAAATACACTTTGAATGTGAACAGATGTAACATATTCACAAAGTAATAAAAATGTTATTATTTACATGCACAGCTAAACCAACCCACATTAACAAAGAATGACAAGAAATTTGCTACGAGTAAAAAGGCACACTTAAAAAGATATACTCACATCCTTTATCAAGGTAGATCCCATAGGTACATGGACCTTTAAACGATGGTGTCCGTTTAAAAGCTGAACACTTTAATGGGTTTTTCATGGAACTACTGATTTTCACAGTGACAGAAACAGTCGATTTATTTATTGTCTTGTAAGACTCCCGAGGGAGGGTAACATTTCCCATGATCCATTCAATGTCCTCTGGGCTGTACAGTGACTGGTTAAATTTACATATAGCTGTGAACTCCTTCCCCACTTCAACTGGCATCCGACTTGCAGAGTCTGGAAGTATTTTTGCACATTGTGGAAATAAACCTGAGGAGAGAAGGTATAATTCATCTTAGTTTTCCTACCAAGCCAATATTTTTGTATGATCTCAGACTACAATGTTTGCTTTTACACATCTCTGACTTAATGACTTAACTATTATATTTACTTTTTTGCAAAACAAAGCTAATACAATTGTATCATTGAAACAGCCACCACTCACATTTCTCACTTAAGTCTATTACTGACTTCTAAGTGATTCTTTCTGCCATTTCCTTTCTGCCTAATTAAAGTATAATGCAAGTACAATGTATCTGCAGCTCATTAATGCCATATGGCACGGAATTATCTAATCAGGGTATTATATTCAGGATACTGAGATATGAGTCTGAGACAGTCTGACAGTTTCATCCACTCCTACATCGGTTTATAAGAGGTTGCTTACCAACTGCACAGCCAAAGAACATTACGCAGATAAGATGTAGTGAAGTGCTCATTGTGACGTTGATTGTCTGCACCTGGAAAATGTATTTTTTAATTATATGCAGGACCTTCTATAAAATCAAAATCAACACAAAAAAAGAAAAGAAAGTGCAATGTGTTTTAAATTGATTACAACTGACTTTATAAACAACACAAAGGAAAAGGCAATGGCATAAAATGCATGCAGAGAAGAAGGGGGGGGGGTGTTATTTTACACGCAACACCAACTCAGTCCACCGTTACTGCATTAACAATCATGCTGTTATAAGAGGACTTCCTTATTCAGCCTACTTTTTTTAACCCTAGACCAGGCCAATAAGCACATATTCAGCATTTCCTTCTGCAATGTTGTAACTGTAACCTTGTTTTTAGCTTAAAACAATAACAGTATAGACAGCCTCCAGCAACTACAGTTGTAAGAAAAGTTTAAATACTTCCAGTCAACTAGTCAAATTACATGTTTTGTATATTTTCTTGGTAAAAATAAGTTAACACATCCTCCAGAGGGAACAAACTTAAACATGGCATATTTCCGCACATGTAAGTGCACAATTTCCATTTCCTTGCTGAGTTTAACGTATTGGGAAAAAATTAAGCAAAAGTTATCATTTTACATTCAATTTTTTTCCACAATGTGTTAAAGTCAGCAAATGAACAGTACTTATGCATTAAAATTTGCAGAAGTGTGTTCTCTGCAGAGGATGTGTTAACTCATTTTCACTTAGAACACCGTAATTTGACTAGGGGCGCACACAGTTTTGTAACCGACTGTAAGTGGCCTCTACTTGTATTAATGCTGAACACAGTTAATTTAATGGTAAATTAATTAAGAGCCGAACTGTCAAAAAGGATCTTGTTTTCTTTCTGCCGCAGATCTGATACAGATTAAGTAGTCCAGCATAGTGTCAACAGAGATATGTAGATTAAGCCACTCTCAAGTAAAAGTACTGTCACTTGAAATAACCATTGAAATAAAGACTCAAACACAGGAATAAGTGTCTTTTCAGAAAAAAAAAAAAACAGTAGTAGACGTTTAAAAGTAATAGGTCAAAAACTACTTAAACACTAAATACCTTAGTCTGCATCATAGAACTGCATCTGAGCCTCTTAGTACATTTAACACCATCAGCACAGGAACTGAAGCTATTCGCCTATTTTTTAATTCACTCTTGGCCTGAAAAAAGGTAAGACTAAAAAAAGCTCAAAAAGAGGCACCAAACCAAACAGAAAGTAAACAGTAGTGACTAAATGTTGAAAATAAAAATGTAACTGAGTAAAAAAAGTTCATTCCTCTCCTCACTGGGGGTAACAGTATTATTATTATTAATTTATTTTTTTAATTATTAAACAGGAATGAAACTACTTACTACCCACCCCTGGTTCTCAAATCCTTTAAACTTTATAGTAATCAATTTTGTATTGCAAGTGTGCCTTTCACCTGCATGAAGCATAGCTTTAGAAGTTTTTTTCATGCAAAACTTCAGACCAAAACAAGGGTGAACATGTCTGAAACTTGCAAAGTCTCTATCATAACCTAATTTTTACCAAGACTCCTAATAAACAGCCACCTGTTGTTTTTCTGAGAGGTTGGCTGCCACAAACCACGTTTTGGTAGCTGCTGCGTAGTAACCCTCCGTGATGCATGTGTAGAGCCATGCTCCAGTAACTCCAAAACACTGGATTTTAGACAAACGGCCACTCAGAAGTTTAGGTTAAAAATAGAAAAAAAAAACAGGTCAATGCGATGCAGTCAGGCTCATTATAGCACTAGCACTGAAAACTCTGGAACCAGCTTTCCAATTTCCATTGCTATTATTGTACACGATCTTACACAGTGTAGATTACTACACTATAAACTGAACACTAGAACATATTTAAAGATGCTTTATTCAATACTTGTTTTTTGGGAACATGAAAAAGTTGCTTTTGGTAAATAACACTGTTTTTATCTTTTCACAGACACTTCTTGATAAGCTGTCTGAGATTTCATCAGCACGTTTCAAATACGAGGATGTGAACTTTATAGTAACTTCATTCTCGTATGTTATACAGCTTTCTCAGACATTTAGGAATCATACAGGTCTGTTCATGAACCTGGGCACATCCATCACGTAAATGAAACGTGAAGTTGTACAGTATTAAGTTAGCATCATAACACAATCATTTCAGACATATCTGTAACGTTTTACTGTTTCTGCCGAATACTGTGATCCCAAAATTTTGACTTGATTCCAAACTTTTAAACAGTAATGTTAAGAGGGGAATTAGATTAAAGCGGGGAAATGAACTGATTTGTGGTTTCCGACATTGAGGTGTCTAAAATGCTGAGTTACTCTTTTTCTGTGGATGAGAACATGAAACCCATTTTCTCCAGCAGAAGGAACCAGCGCAGCCCTTATTACTGTGGCCATGACTAAGGAGACTTATAGCTAGATATTCAGTTCATTTATTCATAAATTTATTTTAACGAACTGTTTAGCTCACGGAAATGGCCTCTTAATAACGGAACACATAGGTTACATCACGTCTGGCTGCACGGGGTAACGCAACGTTAACTAAGTCGTTTAACGTTTCAAAAGCAAGTGCCACACCATTTGCTAAGTGACATTTCCTCAAACAGAAACGGCCTTTTTCAGCCGACCTGACCGACTAACAAGATGTAATTTCGGCCTTAGCACCTATTTACCCTCAGTTAAGCATTAGCGAGGTTAGCTGGACGGTAAATGCAGGCGAAGCGACCCAACAGACAGCAGCAGTTAGCTAAGCTAACCTCTGTTAGCCGAAAACTCTAGCACTCAACATTAACGTTACCTGGAGAAGAAGCGGTTGTCAGTACATATCCACAGCTTTGTATTTGTTAGCAGTTCAGAAGCCCTTAACACTTGTGAGAAGCCTTTACTTTCTATCTTCCCGTTGTTTTCATATCATCGTTGGCCTTTTATGCGTGTTCCAGGTTTGCTTGCTCAGAAATATGAAGACGGACGTCACGTCAGAATGTGCTGCCAAATCACACGACTCATAAACAATCGGTATAAGCCTTAATTGCCGCCTGTGCGCGTGTTTATGTTCTACAGATCTGCGCACGTACCGAGCGCAGGAAACCAGCGCCCAGAAAACGAAGATCCGCCTTGCGCGATTCGACAGTTCAGCTGTCAGTCTGTGAAAAGACTCGCGTCAGATATTTTCTATTACATTTCCAGTTAAACTCCACCCACTGCCCGAAAGCGGCCTTCGAGGGTAGAGGGAGGGCTGGTGACTGAACAGGAATAGAGAGAAAGAAAAAGAAAGAAAGAGGGCACAATCCTTCTGCGAAACAGTGACTCAGTGTGAAGACGCTGGAATGAATTTCCACTGAAGCCGAACTGTTACTCCAGCCTGAGCTGTTTAGATGAGAGAAGGGAGCACGACAAAGAGCTATTGGGGTTATTGGAGAATTCTAGCAGTGGCTGGCAGAAAATGTGGGAAGAGTCTGTATTTTTCCAAATAGGCAACAATGCAGTTTCTTTATCACCATAATAAATCCCATTCTATGCGTTCTGTAGGCTATAAATAAGGGTGGGATATAGTATCCCAAACTACAGGATCAGAAAGCATGTTTCAGTGAAAATACTGTGACTGTAGTAAACCTTAGTAGCCTTCTGTGTTCACTACTACCTTTCAGCTACCTAAATGTGATTTGGCCTGTACTAAATAAATGAAAACTGATATACATCAGGCCACTATGACTACACTTTACTTTGAAGTACAGACTTTGAAACAGGACTTTCTTCAGGAGTCATTCATTCTAAGTTAGGAAAAGTTATGTACATTTTAGTTATGTACCGCAACATTCAGTCAACATTGTTACCTGAATGCGTTCGCCTGGAAAAGGATCTGTAATATTTCATAATCACATATCCAACAGGAAGTTGCCTCACCTAGATTTAGTAAAGATGAGACTGACTGATGAGTTCACTTTGAAAGGTTAACACTGCTTAAAGACTGGCAGTAAATAATTCATTTACATAAAGCAATAAGCCAAGAGGCTGGGCATTACTGTGTCTTTTTGTCATGAAGAACGGTGTATTTAGAAGTGACGTGAAGCGGAGTTCCCAAAAACCCCCTTCACTGTGATAAAATCACAGAATTTCTGGCTTTGTTAGATCACATTCTTTACATACAAAATTAATGCAGCAACAGCATTTAGAAATCAAATTATTAACAGAGAAGAGCAGATTGAATGGCAGAAATGGCCACATTGTTGTGCCAGCGTTAAAGGGTTAATACCAAAAGCCACCTCACGGAAAGGTGTTAAGAAAGTTATTACACAAAGTGGTTACAAATAGACTGCAATATACAGTATTTGAGGATAGGTTTTGGTCTGAAATGTATTCGTAGAATACATACAGAACACCATAAGGGAAAACATACCCCAAAAACTTTTAGTTTTTTAATGTACCATTGTTTAACCAGTACAAACTCATTTTTGATAGTAAACAAAATGTCTATCATGACCTCTGGTTTCTATCACCACTTTATAGAAACCAGAGTTGGTAAGTTTTCCTTCTATTAACCATTTTATTTCAAATCCAACTGAATTTCACTTACATCTTAACAATTTAATTATGCAAACATTTTGAGAAATTGGTAGAATTCATGTTTAACTACTAATATTAATACCACAGCATCTGAAGGTTTTGTTTAAGTTTTGATACTGACAAATATTACTTTGATAGTGAACCTTATGAGTAAATTGCACATTGTGATGCAGCCTTGAAACAAATAGTGAACTCTGCAGCTCTCAGAGGGGCATCAAAACTTCCAGCATGTACATATTTTTCTTTTTAACACTTCCATGTCAGGAAAACACTGAGCTGGGCGGAACTGTTCTTCTTCCTGGCAGTGTTTGGATTTCATCCCATGGAGAGCAGAACAAAAAATCCAACGACACACATGCTGGGGCTTAATCTCAAATGGCACTCTGCTCCCTACATAGTGCACTACATAGGAATTTACTGGCTCCTGCACCATAACAGTGCATAATAAAGCTAAAATAATAGTAAATTGGGATTCATCCACATCCAAAATCAACAAGTAATGCACTTTGCAATTTGGCTGCAGAATATTTAACGGTTTAAAAAAAGATTGATCATGCTTTCCTTGAGGTCTTGTAATTCTGAGTTCAATAAAATTAATGTATTACTAAACACAGGAAGAAAGGGAGAGAAAGAAGCTGAAGGAGACTGACAGGACTGAAGGAGCAGATCTGATGGAGGTTAGTGATCAAGAAGAAAGCGAGGAAGAGTTATATGAGCTTTCAGTTCAAAATAATGCTGAATTTAACTTGGCTGATTGAGAAAATATAATATTTGTCATCTTGACCATGAAATTCTGTCACCTAGCTTAGTAAACAGATCTACAGAGCAAAATCACACGCCTGATTGCACCAACCGAGACTGAACTGATCTATAATCTGTGTATTTGAATAATAGGACCTTGCAGCTTGTCTAAGAAAGAGGATATAGCATTACTTGACTTCAGTACCTTTGCTTGATCTGTGCCTGTTGTAAGTGGATGGATATTACTACTATGATCTACTGTGTTCCAATTTGACTAAACAACCATTTTTTGATATACTTAACAGCTGATGTACTTGACATTTTCTGGCTGTTGTTACTCTAAAAGTGCATTATAAACATTTTAGGGACATTAAAAAATGATAACGTTTCATGACATCTTAGAGGCTGTGTGTGAGAACGTCCACCTTATTTCTAATTTCCTAACAAGCTGATGAAACATGCCTATAAAACTACCCACTGGACTATGCATCATTGTCTGTTGTAAGTGGACAGTTTTTTAGTTGCTTTCATGAGAGCTTAACTGATTATTTAAAACATCTAATTTCTGCATAATTTCGATAGTGGGTAGCATATGGTGAACTGGAATCTTAGATACTTTTGGTTCTGTTCTCCATGGGATGAATTCCAAACACATAACTGCCAGGAAAAAGAACAGTTCCCTCAGCTCAGTGTTTTCCTGACATAGATATGTAAAAAGAAAAAGATGTACATGCTGGAAGTTTTGATACCCATCTGAGAGCTGCAGAGTTCACTATTTGTTGCAAGGCTGCATCACAATGTGAAATTTACTCATAAGCTTTATTTAAACAAAACCTTCAGATGCCGTAGTTTTTAACTTAAATATGAATTCTACCAATTTCCCAAATGTTTACATAATTAAATTGTCGAGATGTAAGTGAACTCATTCAGAGTGATTTGATGTAAAATGATTAATTGTAGAGAAACTTACCGACTCTGGTTTCTTTAAAGTGGTGGTGATAGGAACCAAGGATCACGATAGACATTTTATTTAGTATCAAAAACAAGTTTTTAAAGGTAAAATAAAGGCAAATAAAAAAACACATACAAAAAAAAAAAAACAACAGATTTCTGGTATATATTTTCCCTTATGATTCTCTGCCTGTACTCTAAAAATACAGGGTGATTCAAAAAAGATTCATCAGATTTCAAAATGATTTATTTCACTCGTAAATCATTACAGAACAATGCAGTAAATTGTAAATGGTTTAATTGAGCATAAAGTTTATTATGTAATTTTACAAACGCTCAATATAACCTCCTCCAGTGTAGCGTCCTGATTAGGAGAACAATGGAAAAGGGATATAAAAAAACTATAAATCTCATAAAGGGGAATGCAGATCTTAGCAATGATAATGCAGTACAAACCGCACTGATTGAGGCCCAGGACAAAACGGACAACCTGGGGGAACATCTGAAGCAGCTGTTTAGAGGAACAGACTGGCCCAATAGAAAGAGCTCGAAAGGTGAAAAAAGAACAGTGGATGAGCAGAGAGGAGCTCCTGCTTTCACAAATTGGGAAACTGAAAGTGGTGCTCAAAAAGCTAGATAAGGAAATGAAACAGTCCAAAAAGAAAGATTTGAAGGTTCTGGCAAAAGAGAAGGAACAGAAGAGAACAGAACGAGGCATCTCAGAGAATGAGAGAAAAATCTGATTAATGAGAAAATGTGATTTTCTCATTAGTGAATGTGAGAGATCTGATTGTACAGATTGAACAGACCATTGAGGCCCTGAAAAGAGAACACACAGGAGACTATGAGGAACTTGAGATAACAACAATGACGGTTTACATACACATTATTTTAAAGCCATGTGATTCAACAGGCTGTTGGGATTTTCTTTCAGTTTCTATATCACAACAACCCTTTACAAGAATAACTAGTTAAAAGTCTTAGATTGCAAAGACAAATGGAAAGTTTCTGCTGCTAACATGATATGCGCTCTGCGTTAATGTTTGCATCTTTTTTTGCAACTAAAGATGTCAGTTCTTCACTAAGCTATTAAAGAATAATGCAACTAGTAGGGCACAGGGGTAACATCTTAACTTCATTCTGACCTTACTTAGATTAGTGACACAGAACTAATATGTAGGACAAGTCTTAATTTTGCATTTACACTGCTCCGGCATGTCATTAGAGGTGAATGCATTTCCCCCTTCATCTGGCCACAGGTGGGTGTTATGAGTGAGTTTCCTGTGAAATCCAATTAAAATGCAATGTGGTCTTGCTAAGTCAATATTTATATAAGTAATGCTTTTAATTTTTTATCATCCAAGCAATTGTTTTCCCGCTTGGAAATCAGATCAACAGTTGTGTTTAAATATATAAGCTTTTGATGCTGGTTCTCCAAGTCGCGCGGGAATGTTTGAAAAGTGGAACAGATGTTTTAAAGCTTGAGCTGCAGACACGAAACCCCAGCTGCCTCCTGATTGGGTAGACACTTTGCTTTGGCTGGATTCTTTTGCATAAAGTTCAGCTCTACTTTTCGACACACTGCATCCCCCAAACCCGACACACCGGACCCACAATGCAATGCACTGCAGCATCTGATTGAAATTATGCTTTCTATTGAAAAAAAGGGATGTGTTGTGGCGTGTTGATGTGTTGGAGCAGTGTACATGCACGTCTTCTGGCACGTCGATGCAAGACATCCCATTTGTTTTCCCATTTCGTTGAAATTTACAAGAAAAGATAAAATGACCTTGCCTTTTTCCTCTCAGTTTACCTCACAGCAAATTGCCAGTGCTGGTATTTTTATGTTTTCTTTTTTTTTACAGTGTCATTTTTTATGAAGTCATTGTCACCCCTGGACGACTTCGGTTATTATTTTCTAAATAGTACTGTAAATAATGATAAAGAGCAAATTATGTAGTTTTATTAATTTCAAATACATACTTTAAATGAGCTGGTGTTTTGTTCAAAGTATTTTGTTCAAAGTATTGCCTCATCCCTTCAAAACACACAACACACACACACACTGTTGTTTTTTTCAAACTATTGCCTAATTCCTTTCAACCACATACACACAAACACGCACACACACACACCCACACACTCTCTCTCTCTCTCTCTCTCTCTCTCTCTCTCGCAGAATTTGTTTCTGGACCCTAGCTACACTGTTTCCCGCACATTCTGTGATATTGCGAGAAGTATCAAATCCAAGACGGGAACCCACAGGAAAACTCTGCCCACTCTCAGGGAGGATGGGCAACAAACAGTTGCATGTAGTCCTACCAACATTGTGCATCTGTTCTCTCCCAGAGGTTGAAAAGTTGACCGATATGGGCAGAAAAATGACAGCCCAGGACACTAGACTAGGGTGGAATTATTATAAGTAAACCATGATCTGTAAGCGGAGAAAAATTTGATTACACTAGATACTGATTAAATATTATTTTAACTACTTTTGGAGGGTTAAGCATGCATCGGGTCAGTTTGACCTGGGAGCATTATTGCTGTCCTTTATAGTTGAACATCACAGGAAGGTTAAATAAAATTAGCTTGGGGCTATAATGTTATTTTATGTTATTATAATATTATCTTTATGTTAAATGTTAAAAAGTTTAGATACATTTTCTGGTATTTATTGTAATCCCTCCCAGCCAAAGGGCTCATTTGGGTTGGGTGTCAATGTAATGAAGCAAACGATAACTATATAACTTGCTCATCACACCTTTTATGATGTTAGCTACAACAGACACAACTTTAAGAGGTGTCAAAATATGATGCAGATTGTCGTGTTTTTAACAGACAGCAGGTGAATTTAGTGGTACATTTTTTACAGGGCATTGTAATTTAGTCCCACACATGCTGCTCAGAGATCACTTACCATGGTAAGCTATTGTATGATTTTCTAACATGGTTTACAAAGTTAGTACCTAATTTCATTTACATTTACGTCTATATAATTTAGCAGACACTTTTATCCATAGCGACTTACAAGAAGTGCTTTGTTGTCTACTATTATTGCTAGTAACAAAGCAAAAAAAAGTAAAAGCTGCTCCTGAGCTCAGATATTGCTAGAAACAAAAGCCCATGTTGATACCTAGAGAAAAAGAAATAGAATTAAACACAGCACTTAAGTGCTGTAAAAGAGATGTATCTTCATCTTGAAGAACGGTGGGACGAGCCGAGCTATTGAAGGGCTCAAGGTAAAGTTTGAGTTTTGACCATTGCCATCAGGTGGGGAGGCGCTGGTCTGTTTTTGGCTTTGAAGTGTTTTAAATCTGATGCTTGCAGCTACAGGAAGCCAGTAAAGTGAGTGCAGCAGTGAAGTGACATGAGTAAACACAGGAAGACTGAAGATGAGTTGTGCTGCTGGGAAGGAAAGCAGTAGGCCTTCACCGTAGTTTATTACAGTACAACAGTTACCACAGTCAAAATACATGAAACTGGAACAGCCCCCACTTTTTATTTCCTAAATAAAAACATCTGATATTTTATTGATACATTGACCACCAAACTGGAAACATCCCTGCATTTCATTTCTGATTTCTGGCCACCTTAAACTGAGATTAAAGTGCTAGAGTGAACATGAACCACAAATACTTATAAAATATTAATCTAGGGTTTGTATGACATCTTAAACACTTAAGATGATGCATTCGATGGGATAAACAAACAAGACTGCAGCAAAATAACTTTAGACAGAAAAGCGTGGCACTAATTCCTGCTTTGCCATTGCAAAGGAAAGACGAAGGCTGCCAGACTAAAAGTCCTCAGGAGTGGGGTATTTAGCATATACTATGGAGAGTCCATTACAATCTACTGTCTGAGTTCTTGCTTTATCGTGGTCCAAGCTACATGAGGTGTTAGCTGAATGCTGTATTCTAGCTAATCTTCATAATGTGACACAATGTGACTGCCTGATCTCTCCTAATCGCACATATAAACACGCACACACACACACACACACACACACACACATATACAGAATTTGCCTCTGGGCCCTAACTACACTCCTTCCCACACCTTTTCTGAGAAAAGTGTGAGAAGTATTAAATAGGAATTTGTTCTATCTAAGACGGGAACCCTAGGGAAAACTCCACCCACAATCTCAGAGATTGTGGGCGGAGAGAGAAAAGATGAAGCAGAAAAATGACAGCCCAGGACTAGAGCTAATGATAGTGTTTATATAGAAAAATACAGGGTGATTCAAAAAGATTCATCCTCAATGACTCAATGACTTATTTTACTTGTAAATTATTACAAAATAATGCAGTTAATTGTACATGGTTCAAGTGAGCATAAGATTTATTATGTAATTATGTAAGTGCTCAATATAACCTCCTCCAGGACAACATCAACACGATAGTCAAATTCATCCCATACTCGATGTCGGGTGTCACTGCACTCCCAGCTCTTTCAATGCTATTTTGGAGATGATCCAATGTTGTGGAACCAAGGACAAACGCTCTGAGCTGTTGGAGGTTCACTGCCGATGAAGATCATGTTGCACAGTTATGACAGATTCACTCTTATTGAAGTGGAGAATGCAAAACACTTTCTCCTCAGGGGTTGCATCTCACACAACTTTCAGAGGTTTCAAAATAATATCATGCAAATTGGCATATTTTTTAATTTAGTGGTACTCATTTTCAGAGTGAACTCTTCTAGCAGTAGTGGAACAATGGTCCCTAAAGCCTGTTTCGGCTCAAAACACTCACAAGATCCTAACAATTACAAAAATAACCACAACTTTGCCATAATCTTAAAAGGGGTAAGTATAATTGCTAAAGTTTGGTGAAATGGGCAGAATTTCCCACTGCTGTGAATGGGGGCTCAAGTCTCTTTTGACTGCTTAAAAGGGAAATTAGTCCTTCCTCCCACTCACCAAAACCACGTGACTGCATTCCCGAAAATATTTTGTCATGACGGCTCTCAGCTTCATGTACCCTTCTGGTAGAACCAGGTGTGCTCCAGCTCCTGTGGAGAAAAAGGCCTGCAGCCACAGCAGGCCTTTGAGGCTAAGATAGGATATGCCTGGTTTAATGTGTAGTGCCATTTCATTTTAAGGTTGTCCACATGAATGTATGAAAAGTTATTTAGCACTTAGCCAGCTAAATATCAGTAAGAAGTCTGGCACACTGTATCGATTATCAGGGATCTGTCTGATACTGTGCTCATTTACTCATAAAAATTCACCAATACCAGCATACAATACCAGCTGATACCATGTGACGTAAGCCTAGTTTACACTGCCATGCTAATGAACAAACAACTCAAGCTGGCAGTGTAGGAGGGTCTGCTCAGACACTGACTCCATGAGGGTTGGCCACAAAGTCACTGGGTACTTTAGACATTCTGACTTGGCAAATTTGTGCCAGGAATACACTGTGCCAGGAATACATGGTGCAGTTTCACACACAACCATAAATGCTTCCCCAATATGGGTGGAGACATGTAGGCTAGCAAAACAGAGGAGAAAAAGTCAACATTTCCTACCAAAATCATATATGCTGACTTTATATGCTCTGTTTGATTTAATAGAACTGTGAAGTATAAACATTGATTTTTTAAACTTTAAAAAATAGGCTGTAGAGAGACTGTATTGTCCTACCGTGTAAGTTTCAGTGCAGTGTGGTTAGCCAAGCTGCTATAGCTCAGTTTATCAGCCTATGTGCTCAGTACTCAATGGGCAGCATGTTGTTTTGAATGGAACAGCTTTATTTAAAATGATCTGTAGACAGACCTGTCTGTAGGGGCTGCATTTCACATAGCATGTCAATTGGAGTGTTTGCATACAGTGTGAGTATATAAATTGTAGACTTTGTCTATACAGGATGGACTATTCAAACATACAGCGTAAGTTACTAAAGAACAAGATTTCTGAAATCGCACACTGTATGTCTAGTTTTAGAGGATATTCAACGACAGCTCAACCTGTCAAATAAAATACTTTAGACATAAACCTCCACAAGTGAGCTCATTGGATGTGTTAGCCTTGGATGTGATTCCTGCTGTCGCTGTGCTGCAGAGACTGTTGTTGAAAGAGACACATGAGGAGCAGGGATCAAAACTATGAAATGTACTTACTTACTGATAGCTGTACAGAAGCACTTTTTTGGTGTGGAACAAAACCTACTCGATCTGAGGTGACTAAGCATAGCATAGCTAGCTAATGTACTTTGTTTAAAATCAGCTAGATTTTAATGACTGTTAAGGTACATTGCACTCATTTACGCTAACAACTACTAAGTAGGTAGGTCATTTGTTATAGTATCAGACTTGGTTTTGACAAGTACTAAAAATTAAGGCCAGTAAATTAAGAAAGAGTAAAATACAAAAATCTACAAAATAAAAAACAAAAATATATTTAAAAAATGATATTCCATTTATTGATAATTGAAAACATTCATGTCAGACACTTAAACCGTATGTTTAAGTGTTAAGGTTACAAGGTAAACCAGAAAACCAGAGAGTAGACAGTGCATGCCATAGACAAAAAATCAATTACTCTGTAAAAATGCATGGAAAAATAGGCTGATAGGTTCATAAACTTTATCAAACATCTTAGCTATGCTTTGAAATGGAGTTTCAATCTTCTCCTTGTCTTCTTGCCAAGAAATGGACTGACAACTCCTGGGCACATGCAGCTTTTGCTCCAAACAATCAAACCTGAAGAATATTATCAATTCAAGTGTACAGAAAGTAGTCAGTTACAATGTGGCTGAGCGGAGGTCACCTTCTTCGTTGTTGTCACTAGTAAACTGAAGATCCATCAGGTAGAGCTGTCTGAGCTACTCTGAGCTGTTTTCTGGAGTTTGGGAGGTGAGGGGCTACGTTTCCTTTGAGGAGGGATTGCAGGAAGAACTTGTATGTTCCGCAGGGGCTCGGTGGTCAGAGGAGCAGGAAAGGAGCACAGAGGAATGCTAGGTCTCTGGACTTTGGAGGTTAAAGGAGGTGGAAGTCCTGCTAGACTGCGTCCCAAAGAGCTGAGGGGCAGAGATTTAGACTTCTTCACTCCTTGAGAGACTTGATCAGGCGGTAAAGAGACTGAAGATAAGAAGAGAATTGACTGTTTAGAGAATGTGCTGTTCTGTTTGAAGGAATGATACAGCTTTGATGTAGCTATAGCTGGAGACTGAACTGTGGTAAGATTATACCACCTTTTCTTTTCAAATACCCAAACCACTACAAAATGCTCCTATCTACACTACAGAAAAAAATCTCATTTACATTTACATTAATGCATTTGACAGATGCTTTTATCCAAAACAACTTACAATTTTAACTAAGTTACAGAGCTAGGCAAATGTAGTGTTAGGAGTCTTGCCCATATTGTAAAGTTTTTCTAAAATTTCTCCAATAATATACACATTTTAGCCATAATGAAACTTTAAATGTGTTTTACAGCTTTAAACAGCATGTGAATTCTGAAAAAACTGTTTAATTTACAGGCGGATTGTACTCTATCAAACACCTTATTATAGCAATGTTATAATAGTACCTCAAAACATACCATCAGCATTTTAATTTAATGTAAAAACATTCACTTTGTAAGTACGCTTTTTCTCTGTAAGTATGTAATTACCACTGCAATGATAATGTTAATTTAAGCTATCTGTGGAATTTAGTCTCTTTGGGATTTGCAATGCCATGTTAGCACCAAGCATACAGTGGCATACATTTAAGTATAGTCTAGACTTTTGGAGATATGCGTGTAACATATTTTTGCAGCTTTTAATCTTTTAGTAACAACTTCAAATAATAAAAGCCTAACTGTTATTAGAGAAGCCTGTTGTATTTTTGAAAAACTGAAATGAAACAACTGATTATTTTGTTAGAACTTTTGATCCATTCTTTTCTCTTTAAAATGGGACTGAAATAATTTATGAAAATTCATAAGCACTTTTCTTAACCCTCCAAGAAAAAACATTTAAAGCCTGAAGAACAGATTTTAATTTAAGGTACTATAAAGGTACTTAAATTTTACAGAAACCACTTACATCTGTGAGTGCAGTGGTCGCGAATCGGAGCCAGGCTGTTGCGCGTCAGGGCTGATTCTCGTGTTCTCAGTGGTACAAGGTGAGCATTTGCAGCTGTTGAAAAAGGTAAAAAATATAAAATAAACATCATCTGCTTCAAATATGCGTCAAATATAGTTCACAAAGAAAAGGCTGTTTTTGTGACTGACCTTGGTCATTCCTTTGTATATAGGGTGTGTGGTTGGAGCAAAGAACGTCTATCGGACTTGTTGTTTCACGCAACAGTTTATCCAACAATCTTTCAGATGGAGGTGAGATCCAAGCCTTCTGGGTTAACAACTGGCTTGATTCAGTTTTCCAGGCAGGACCAGAAACTTTCTGACCCTTCGTTCTGCTGTCAAACAGGTCATGCTCACTCTTGCTTTTCTGCGATCTGTGGGCCAGATGACTGACCATCTGCCCTGAGACAGTTCTGTGTGCCGCAGTATGTGAGTTGGCTAACAGAGAGTTTCCCAGCGTGATCGGTGGAAGACTCTGCGTGCGTATGGGCGGCAGGCTCTTGTAGTCCTTGGCTGGAGGGTCCTCAAGCAGATGGAGCTTTTCGGGCTCGTTGAGGTGCTTTCTGCTCTCCTCCTTGCCTGGTAGGTCCACGATGCAGTCGAACATGGTGATGATGTCGTCCACTTCGGAGGTCTCCTCTTGCAGGTGGCGTTCCCGGCTCAGCTCCCTCTGCCGCGCAGCGTGCAGCTCTTTCTTCTTTTTACAAGAGAAGATGTGGTTCAGCACACGGAATTTGCCCTCCTTTCTAATAGACGGATCAGTGCTTTGAGAGTGTAGCTGTTGGATTGACTCGGACCTGCACGAGTAAGATCACAAGTGTTGGTAAGAAATGTTTTCTTTTGTGATTTTTGTAATTTTGATTGAATTTGGATTGTTCATTCTTTATTATAGATATTTCAGAAAATATTATAGACATTACACAACTTCACATCTCTACATTACTCAAACAAACCACATTTCTGTTCATTACTGTTCAGAAGTACTAACTTATACAATGCAGCTTTAAATACTATAAACTAAACATCAAAATGTACTTTTAGTAGTCATATTGTAATATTTTAAGTGTTTTAACAGCAAGAAGATATGAAATATATATAGCATAAAGCATCAACAGCTCTGTTCATCATGATGTGTTTTTATATGTGTTTCTTTAAATTCATGCTAATTATTTGTAATTCTATATAATTGTGAAGTTGCAAAGTACTTTTATACTGTACTATGCAAAATTCGCAGAGCACCGTTCATTTATTATATTTGATATAAGATAATCCACTTACATAATAGGGGGAAAAGTCAAAGAAAAATAAGTGAAAAAGCAGATGTTTCCAAAACTAGAGTTCAAAAAATGACTAAAAGATACAGAGAAACGGTCTCCTAACAACCATGCAAGATTGGTAGACCACCAAAACTGTCACCTTCAGATACACAGTAATTAAAGCTTTCGTGATTGAGAGAGAGGAGAAAATCAAGCTCCACTTTTACTTCAGATCTGAAAAATCCACAGGTGTTTCTGTCCATCCTTCCACTGTGAGAAGACAACTCAACACTAAGAGTCTGAAAGGATGTGTAGCTGTCAAGAAGCTCTTACTGAGAAAAGGAAACAGGCAAAAATGAAGAAAATTTGCCAATCAATCAAAGAAGCTGCTGGTGTTCTCAGAACAACGAACTGACCACCCCAGAGTCCAGACCTCAGAATCACTGAATGTGTTTGGGATTCCTTGAATGCTGAGAAGTAGAAAATGCAACCAACGTCTAAGGCTGAATTTTGGAGGTGTGGAAAAATATCTTTGAAAAACTGAAAGCAAGTCTACTGAAAAGAATGGAAGCTGCAATATAGGCAAATGGTGGACACACTAAATACTAAAATACTGATATGTGATATTATATTTTGTGGTACATAATGGCCTTTTGACTGGAAATAAAATAAATGAAGATCCTCTTTTGCACAGTACTGCATTGGAATAATTTTATACATTCATCTACAATAATGCTGGTTTTGTATTATTGAAAACAGTAATTCCAAACTTCTGAACAGTAATGTATCTGCTAGCAAACAGCCCAGTAATTATGACATGTCCCACTACTTAATTCCCTGTCATAATAAACTATCCCATTAGTTTAGCTGCATAAAACAACCTTTGTACAGTTATGACTTCCTGCAGGATGGCTAATATTGGTCTGTGGTGTCTTCATTGTGTGTGCAGCTAATTACACAAATAATTGTATTCAGTGTAAAGGCTGATAATACAAAAAGTAACTTTTTGGAAGTTATGAAACATGCTTCTCCTCCATGTCCAACTGAGAGACACTTTTCAGAGTCCACTTAAGGGTATGACATAGATCCAGACCCCAACCTGTTTTCAGCTGAGAGGAGTTTGATGCAGGCGGTGTGGCCGCAGTACATGGCATATGTCAGAGGAGTGTTCTCGTTGATGTCTCTGGGGCCGGGCTCCACACCCAGCTGAAGCAAAGCCTGCACACAGTCCTCCTTCCCTGCTGCAGCTGCCCAGTGCAGAGGGGTCCTAATACAGAGACCACAGAAAGACATGAACTACAGGTACACAGAATATGTGGCAATGATCATGGTACAAACTACTTGTCAAAACTTTAGGGGCACAATATATATATATATATATATATATATATATATATATATATATATATATATATGATTTCACTTGACAGGACACCATTTTTCATTTCATTTCAAAAGAACTTTTAATTAGCATATATACAGTACTGTGCAATAGTCAGAGACCCCCTTTCATTTACTCACTTTCCATTCAAAATGGCCATTAGTTACTGTCTTTAAAACTATAATATAATATAAAATGTTCAGTATTTACTGTGTTCACCCTTTACCTTTATTACAGTTTCCATTCTTTTCAGTCTCACTTTCAGTTTTTCAAAGAAATCTACAGAGATATTTTTCCACACCTCCAAAGTTCAGTCTTAGAAGTTGGTTTAGCATTTTCTGCTTCTCACCATTGATGTAACCCTAAACACACTCAGTGATGTTGAGGTCTGGACTCTGGGGTGGTCAGTCTATTGTTCTGAGAACACCAGCAGCTACTTTTTTTGATTGGCAAATTTCCTTTTCTCAATAAGGGCTTCTTGACAGCAGCTCAACGATGGACTGAAACACCTGTGGAGATCTGAAGTAAGAGTGGAGCTTGATTTTCTCCTCTCTCTCAAAGATGAAAGCTTTAAGTGCTGTTTATCTGATAGTGACAGTTTTGATGGTCTACCACGTCTTGTATGGCTCTTAGAAGTCCCATTTTCTCTATACCTCACGGTCATTTTTTGAACTCCAGTTTTGGAAACTCCTTTCCTCTTCGCAACATTGCAACATTATACCCATCTCCTCAAAACTGAATAACTTGTGCTTAATGGCTATTTGAACTGGAAATTAAATAAATGAAGGGTCTCTGTTTTTTTGCACAGTGCTGTACATATTGCCATTGTAACAAAACATAACATTATAAGAAAATGGTCAAAACGATGACAAGGAGAAGAAAAAAAACATTCTTAGCTTTATTATACAGCAATATAACAAGGCTTTTGGAGCATTTCTGTTGGACCATTTGTCACAGCATATTCTTACAATGAAAATGGAACTTTTACAAATGACTTTTACAAATGATGCAATGAAATAGGCTGTATAAGCCTGAAACCTGCTAATGCACTGCAAACTAAAACTATAGTTTTTGGGTAGAACACTAACTGCTGACCATGTCAGTGCTCGCATACAACAAGTTTGCTATTATGAATTTCCAGCGAAACCTTCTGGTTTTGCAAGAATTTATTTGTGTACCTCTGTGGTTTGAGGTTTCACCAGTGCAGACCTACAGAGCAATGGAGTGAATTTCATGGTAGATCTGAGGTACAACAATGTTTATCTGTGAGCAGGACATTAGAAATCCCCTGTGTAAACATGATTGTAGGAAAGTCAAGAAAGCAGATAATGTTTCAGCTGCTGCATTAAAGGGCACATATCATACATTTCCCAAAAAAAAGAAAAAAAAAGATATATATATATATATATATATATATATATATATATATATATATATTGAAATTCATAACCATTTTACAAACTCTCTTTATCCATTACAATTAAAGAATCAACCAGGCTGTTTTTGTCTTTTGTTACTATGCCTTCAGGATTGACATATGTAAATGATCTCTGTTCTGATTGGCTATTGGCTACTCAGCACTATGCCTCATTCAAAACGCAGGCCAGGCCGGTACACTTCTTATAACTTCACATGAACAGGCAGGACTGAACTGCTATAAGCTGAATAGGTTTATATATGTAAATGCAGTGGTTTTTGATGACATCACAAAAACAATGAACTCAAAGTGGGCTCCTTTGGCAGCTTAGTTTCAATATTTGGACAGTATGGAGCAGTGAGTGAGTGAGTTTACATACAACATCAAACTCTTTTATTTAAAGAAATGAGGAACTACAGCTCTCTAGTCTTCCTAGGTCTCACTGACATATACGCCTTGAAATGCCTCTTCTTAGATTTTGTTTTATTATTTCTCACTCATAGCTCATTGAAGCAAGTGGAGATATTCTGTTGGAAGCACAGATTCTACACTTCCAATTAACACCACACGTTTGTGTTGATGTTTGTAAGTAGAAAAGGAAATCTATTATGATTTAAATTTGATAAACATATTGTGCATATATTGTCGCTGTCCAAAATAAACAAGTATCTCCTTTTTTTTCAGATTTAAGTTTTCTGTATGATTTCAGCTCAGCAGCTGTCCTTTACATTGTGTGAAAGGTTCATGAAGACTGGACCAAGAGAAATGCTCCAAAACTATTTCACATTAAATCTCTTTACTTAACTTACACTGAAAATATAGAATATTTTGTCCTGTCCTGTAAAGTTATCACTTTGGAGATGCTTGTTTTTCTTTGGACAGTGACGATGTGCTCTTGTTTTGCCATTAGAGGCAGATGAGAAGGGCGACGGAGGTGATAAGCAGATGGACATCCTGAGCACATTGGACTGATATGAGAGATAAGATGTGATATTGTAACAGCTGTATGATGCATACTCGCTTACCGCTCATCCACATCCAGAGCCTGCAGGTTGGTCTCAGGGACACGCGCGAGCTCATAGATGATGTCGCTGTAGCCTGCAGCCGCGGCAATGTGAACACAGGTTTTGCCATTCTCGTCGTCGTAGTTGATGACGGAGGAGCCGAGGTGGTGGTCAAGAATCAGTGAGCACATAAATCGGCTACCACTCTGATAAATGAGTTAACAGAAAAAGGACATTATAGTTTCTCAAATCAGAGCACAGTTTAATTATTTTGTAATGATTCAGAATGAAACACAAATCTGTCTGGAGGAACTATTTACACAATAGTCTCTGCACATTTTAATGCACAACTACTCCTTATATTTTATTTTTATCCATTCTGTTCTTATTTTCACTTAGAAAATTAACAAAATATGCAATTCTTATTCCAACTTTTCCATATAACTGTATATAAATGCATGCACAATAGGACAGCCCTAATCTTATTACACATGCTTCTATTCTGATTCAAAAGCTGAGCACATGTCTATTTGGCTTTTGTGTCTCTGTGAGGCTGTTCTCCTCTTCTGGTAGATGATTGTTCTTCAAGAAGGCTGCTGTGATTGAGATAAGGACTTTATGTTCATTTGCTAACAATGACAATGCAGTCCATGGCTATAAGATTGGGTGAAAGTGATTTTTTTTGACTGACTAATCCAATGACATTTTGCCTTGTTACAAGACATTTATGTTTATGTATAAAATTGCTTAGTTATCACTGTTCATAAGCATTTTACATGAATTATTTCCTGCTTATAGCTTATTGAAAGTACAGATTGTAAAGTTTCAATCAATGACACATCTGTGTTTTGAAATACACCTGAAAATATTTTATCATGATTTGAATTTAATGAAAAGTTGTTGTTGTTTGTAGTCTTGATCTGCAGAAAGGAAAAAATTGTCCTTCATAATCTGCCATGTTTTTGTCATTTCTTGACATGTTAAATCTTAGATTTTTTTTACATCTTTGGCCAAAAATGGTTGCCTTTTACAATGTATACAAAAATCATAATGACCATACCTACAGAAATGTTTCACAATTACGTTGAAAAAAAAACTTTAACTGAAAGATGAGAACATTTTTTCATTCCTCTCTAAATTTAGCATATTGGGGATAAGATGTTTCGTTCCAACAGCAGCGATATGTAATATCTTCATTTTATCTAATTGATACAGCAAAACTACAATAATAACTGTCTATTTCTAAGGGTTCAAAGACCAATCATACCAATAGTTTTGAGTAATATTTTGCGCTTGAAATGCTGAACATATTATTGATCATTGTCTGCTCCCAATCTCTGAGGAAGAGTGAACCAGAATGGTGTAACATTAACATCTCTGTACGAAGACATCTTGAAATAAGCCTAATCCTCTCCTCCAATGTGCAGGACTGTGTCTAGTTTACTCTCACTGACTTCTACAATGGCTCACAAGTCAAGAATACTTGTGGTTAAAAGTGGTCTTGTGGCGTTCTATTCCAAACTGGCTTATGGTGTAAAAAAATTATGAATAATATGACACCATCTTTATTAGCTCTCTCTAAAGTCTCAGCTAAGTGATCGAGAGCAGAGAGTCTCATGTGTCCACTTAGTGATGATGGGTGACGGCCTGTGGGAGAGCTGCACAAGCTGAGTGTGCAGCATTAATACACGGATTCAGGCCTCAGTGGGCTACCTCACACACACACACACACACACACACACACACACACACACACACACACACACACACATACACACACACTGAAGTGGATTCTAATCATAACCCAAAACATCCCAATTTATCAGATTTAAATCCATTTCTGGCATGAAGAATGCCTTGGAATGATTTAAAACATACCACGGTAAAGACATCAGATGATGGGACACGCCATGAATAGCCCCTTTATGATCAATATATTCATAAGAACAACAATGCAATGCACACATGACATTGTGTTTCCATAGTGACATGCAGAATACATGCCGAAATGAAACGAAAAACCTCTATGACATTATTTTCACATTTGTCGCTTGACTTCTTTACTGAACAAACAATACATGATTTGTGTTTAAAAAGATGAAATGCTGAATTTGTGTCAGATTTGAATACAGTCCACCTTGAAATGTAATCACTGCACAGCTATGTTCCTCTTTACTCTGCAAACTGTTAATACAAACATATATGCCTTATAGAAACGCAGTCATAACAGTGAAATACAATGCACGTGTGAGCATCATGCACATACTGCATTTAAAAAGTGGCATTCACACGCGCCGAAATAAAAAAGTAAAAGATCTATTGCATTGACTTCTTTTGTAGCAACATACAGTAAAAAGCAATGCAACTAGGTGAATTACATTTCAAGGTGCATGTATTCAATTCTACACAAATTCAGCATTTCATTTTTTGATGTAGATCATTCCTGAAAGTTTTTTCGGTAAAGATGTCAAGCAGCGTGGAAGCAATGTAATAGAGGTTTCTCTTTCTGTTTTGGGCGCATGTCACTATAGAAACGTAATATCATGTATGCACTGCATTTCATGTTTTGCCACTGTAGTGACTGCACGTTCAGTTTCATTTCCTCTCCATAATATTCAACATATCAGAGTGCTTATCAGACAATGTTTCAAATCATGAAAGTATATGTAGCCCAGAAGTGAACTGGATGTGACATTACTTTGCCATTCTCTGATAAAAGCATTTGTATGTTTCTCAGTTGAAGTGCACTCCATGTTATTGTCATATGAAGGCATTTTTCCAGCTGTTCACTATATAAACAATGTAGTGACAACACATTAAATATACTAATATATTTCATTTTTACAGTTGTATGTAAATCAGTGTGTTTGCGTATATTCTTCCATCTATCCATCTATACGTTTCTTGTGCCACTGGCTGCCACACAACCTCAGAGCATAATAGATCCACCCCATGCTGAACAGTTGGCAAGGTGTTCTTTTCATCAAATACTGGTAATATTTTCTCCAAGCACAGTAGAACAGTGCCGCACCGCCACTACCAATTATCATCATGACAATTTTTAACCTGCCTAACCAGGCCTAACAAAGCAATTAAAGCCTGAAGAGTAAATTTAGTTCTGGGAGTTTATAATAAGATAATAAATATCTAATAATAAATATAAGGAAACTTTTCTCTAACATTTACAAAATAGTAGTTTGCTGCAAATATGTAATTCACTATAAGTATATATTATTCATAATTGTAACATGTAATTTGTAATTGTAATATGCAATTTGGTCATAATTTGGGGTGCCCAAACTTTTGCAAACAACTGTATATAGATGCACTCTTTAGCGATTCAACTTCACTGAGCTCATTTTATAGGTGCAGTTGTAAGGATGTATTTTTTGATACATGAGAATTCAGCCAACTATCTTACAGTAAAAGATTACAGGCTGTCCTACCTGCACAGCCCAGTGAAGTGCAGTCTTAAAGTCTTTATCCACCAGTGTGGGGTCGGCTCCTTTCTGCAGCAGAGCCTGCACGTGCTCTGGACGGTTATGGAAGGATGCCCAGTGAAGAGCGGTCATTCCCTGCCAAGACAAAACCAGTAATGTATCTTAATAGCCCTGCATTAGATTTTTTTTGTATTTATGGCAGATTTCATGTCCTGAAGCATTACAGACATTAGCTTTAATTACAATATATGAGATGAAAGCACAAGCCTAATGAGAAAAAAGAGCACTTCTATACAGTATAACAGTTTTAAAACCAGCGTCAGGAAGACACATGTAAAACATTTTCAAACATCCCTACAGGCCGTATCATTTCTTGCTGTTGTCTCAGGCTTCCTCATTGCATTAAAAAAACTTCTGTGTATGTGTGTGTGTGTGTGTGTGTGTGTGTGTGTGTGTGTGAATTAGCTAGCTAGCTACGCCTGTACTTTGAATTGAAACTGTTAACACGCATAAGTTACTTGTGTAGAGGTTTTCTTGATTTTAGTGAACTTATCTTGCTAGCTAGCAACTTTATTGGCACTACCGGTGCCATGGTCTAGTAAACCATATAAGGGGCAGCAGTATAGCTATCTAACTTCAGTGGACTGTAGCATGTGCTAGCTATATATTATGTGGCTAGGAGCCCTGTACAATGACCACATTGAGAAAAACAGAGCCCTGTGATTTATAGGCATGTGACAGCACAATGTATTGTACTGAGCTGTTTCACAGTGTATTCTATCACATCATTGTATCATGACTGGCATGTTAGCCTGTTGCTAGTGTGTTAGTTTGGGGCTAATATATTAGCCTCTGGCTAGAGCTTTAGAGTAGGACAGTATAAAACACGGCTTTTGTTTCAAATCTTGTGCTTCTATAATGTTAAATGCTCTAATAAACTGAAAATGGAAACATTAACTTTGATAAAGTAAGGCATTTTCAGTTACTCCTTTATTTTGCTGCATTGAAAAATGTAGTGAATCTGTATGGTATCGAATCAAATAATGAATTTTCTGAACTGTTACACTTCTACTTACCGTATAATCTGCCCTCTGTTCAAAACTCCAGTGAATTGTTTTCCTTTGTAATCCTATATAACTAGAAAATTTAGACAGAGTGCTGCCATAAGACACTTTCTTCTGATGACCACAATGTGGGAAACCAGTGCCCTTAGCTCACTGTAGGCATAAAATACAGGCTGCTGAATATTAAAATTACAGGCCCACCATGAACCTGCCAGTTTTTCAATGACATTTAAATGTCATGAAATGATAGCCGAGAGTGAGTCACGGCTGAGGCTTTAAGGAGGGAGCAAATACAGCTCCACCATGAGCATGAATCACACGGTTAGCTTCTTTAATGTGTAGTCTTGTAAATGACTAAAGGAAATCAAATGACTGTATCTGTGTAAAAGTATATAAGAAGGTATTTCTGTTTCTCCTGCCGATATTCATATTTTATACTTTGAGTGAAGTGACAGTTAATAACTCTTTCTTACCTCATTATCCTGATGGTTTATTTCACACAGTGTTGATTGTTGCAATAACACAGCCATGAGTCTATGAATGACAACAACATGCAGTATATTATTATGTAACATTATGATGAGTACATAGAGTAACCACACTTTCTTAAAAATGAAGATTTCTACCTAGTTATTGGCTTGAATGTACAGGTCTGGGAAAGTCTTACAACCTTATTATTTGGAGCTTCTTTGAACTTTAAAAAGGTTCTTCACAATGGGTCTTTAATGAACTGTCCATTGGAAGGTTCTTCAGGGAACCAAAAGTGGTTCTTCTCTCCAAAGAACCCTTTTGGCACCTTTAAAACTGTATAGAATATATTATAATCATCTAGCAGGATGCAGTCTTGTTCTATGTTCAACAGCCTTCAGTATTAACTCTGGTCTGCTCATATCAAAACAGCCATTAGAGTAAGTCTAATTAACAATGTTCGTTCACAGCGTTCCCGACTTGAGAATACTAATTGAAAAACACTTATGTTCACTGTAAGTGTCTAGAGACTGGAGTCCTCATTATCATCATTGCCAGCGAAGTGGAAACTGCTTGCCAGATGGATGGAGAGAAACAGGAAGCCCCACTGAAGCGTTTCTATTGTTACTCTTACAGGAAGACGCAAAAAGCAGTGATGCAGATTGGAGTCAAGGCTGTGTTTTGCTCTCCTGCTGTCTGAGAGAAAAGGTGTCACTGCCCTGCCGTCCAGAGCAAAGGTCTGTGGTTGCTATAGGGACAGCACTCAGGCCCTAGTGAGAATGGCTTTATTATCAGAAGAAGTGAACTTGCCAGTCAGCGTTCATTACTACACACAACGCACACTGGCCTAGCATGTCTAACTTGCTGACCCAGCAGTGTGTGTACTACAGACTACTTTCTGTTCCTTTTAGTGGCTTTAGTTACTAAATTCATCTGAGAAAAAAATGTAAGTTCCTGTAAATTGATTCAAACCAGTTCCTTAATATGTCTTTAATAATCACAAAACTTGATGATCAAGCATTGTTATGTTTGTAGTAGGCCAATTGTTTTGAATAAGATGGTATGTAAGATTTGAAGGCTATTTGAATGTTTTGTTTTTGTCAAAAAATTGTCAATTGTAAAATAGATAGTTCTAAAATCTGATTGGCTAAGCCACATTCTAAAGCATTCTAACTGTTAATAACATAATAAGTGTTTTACAGTCATATGCAAGTTTTTAACACCCCTAGGAAAAACTTAATGTTGCAATTTTCTGCAAAATTAAGTGCATAAAATTGATTTATTTGCTGAATTTAACATAATGGAAGAAATAACCATAAAATATGAAATATGCCATGACATTTGCACAGGCCACATTTTATGCATTTTTTTTAAATGTTAATTCAGTAAATAAGCAGCAATTGTGCATTATAATGTGCACAAGTATGTTCGCTGTAGAGAATGTGTTAACTTATTTTCACTTGACCAGGGGTGCCAAAACTTTTCCATGTGACCGTGCATGCACTATATGGACAGAAGAATTAGGACACCCCTCTTAATTACTGAGTTCAGGTGTTTCAGCCACACTTATTGCTAACAGATGAATAAAATTAAGCACATAGCCATGCAGTCTCAATAGACAAACCCTGGCAGTAGAATGGGTCATACTGAAGCACTTAGCGACCTTAAAGCACACCGCCACTGGACTCTGGAGCAGTGGAAACGTATTCCTTGGAGTGACAAATCATGCTTCCCGATCTGATATCTGATGTACGAGTCTGAGTTTGGCAAACGCAGGAGAATGTTATCTGCCTGACTGCAATGTGCCAACTATAAAGTTTGGTGGAGGAGGAATAATGCTATGGGGTTGTTTTTCAGGGGTTGGCCTAGACCCCTTAGGTCTAGTAAAGGGAAATCTTAATGCTTCAGCAGACCAAGACATTTTGGACAACTGTATGCTGCCAACTTTGTGGGAACAGTTGACTGTGCCCCACACAAAGCAAGGTCTATAAAGGCATGGCTGGGTGACTTTGATGTGGAAGAACTTGACTGGCCCTCACAGAACCCTGACCTCAACCCCTTCAAACACCTTTGGGATGAACTAGAACAGACATTGCAAGTGAGGCTCTCTCGTTCAACATCAGTGTCTGATCTCACAAATGCTTTTCTGGATAAATGGGCAAAAATGCCCACAGACACCCTCCAAAATCTTGTAGAAAGCTTCCCAGAAGAGTGGAAGCTGTTATAGGTGCAAAAGGGGGGCCATCCCCATATTAATGCCTATGGATTTATAATGGGATGTCATAAAAGCTCCTGTAGGTGTAATGTGTAAGTTTCCTAATACTTTTGTCAATATAGTGTATGAACACATGCATCCACGGAATTCTATATTTTTAAGTTTTTCTTGGAATAATCTTTGATAGGTTGCTTGGGAACCATGGTTTTATGTAAACAATTTATATTACTTGAGCAAAGATTATTAATTGTGATTGCTATTTATATTAAATTAAATTAAATTTAACTTTAAACTGTCCTCCACAGTCCTAAAGAGCTTTTACACCTGCACTATTGAGAGCTGACGAGAAACATCACAGCCTGGCTTGGAGTAGCACCAAGCAGAATAGGTGGGCTCTCCAAGAGCAGTGAGATCAGCGCATCACCCGAAAGGAGCTCCTTGACCTGCAGTCCATTTAAAGCAAGAGGTGTTGGACCAAAACCAGTAAGATAGTGAATGATCCCTGCTATCCCAACAATGGACCTTTCTCTCTGTTACGATCAGGGAAACACTTCAATTCCCTGAGGGCCAAAACAGAGAAAAAGGGGAGGAGCTTCTTCCTACAAGCCCTTCAACCAGGACAACAGCTAAGACTATATACACATTGACACACACACACACACATATAACTGGACTACTACACCCACACACACTACATACACAATACACACTGCTGAATTTATAAATATTTATAATATTTATTAATCCCTTTCAGTTCTACTACTTCCTGCTCATTTGCACACATATGCACACATCTGCACTTTACACTGCACATATCCTTACAATTTATTATATTTAATATTTTAATATTTTACATTCTTCTGCACTTTTTTATAATTATCTTATATTTTCTTGTGTTTTCATGGCAACGGACAATTATATAAGCTTTTCACTACACATTACACTGTGTGTGGCTGCAGGTGTGACCAATAAAGCTTGATTTGATTTAAACAAGGCTATTTGTATTTGTATTTTATCATATTGTATAAAAAGTCCCTAAGAGGGTTTTAGGCATTATGCTGACCGTGGTAAAATCACCAGGACACATGGCCTCTCATGGCTTATCGTTTTATTCTAAGTGGCCAGATTAGTGTTTCCCACGCATAGGTTAAACTTGCACCCCCCAAGCACACACACAGACAGACACACACACACACACACCCACACACATTTTTATAAACCGCTTATCCTTCTGGGTCGTGTGGGGGTGCAGGAGTCTATCCCAGCGGTCTGTGGGCGGACGGCAGGATACAACACCAGTCCATCAAAGGGCCCCCTCAAGCATATTAATGAAAATCCAAATATATTTATTCCCATTTAAACAAATCCCAAAGAAACAATATTTTATATTTTTAAGAATAAACAAAAGCACCCAGTGTCACTGATGCAAAGCATCACTCTTTTTGACCTGTGGTCATTTCCACGACCTAAACCTTTACTTTTGTCAAGTCCATGAGGCTCTTCATATCTAAATACAAAAAACATGGAAGGTTTAAATTTCACTTATCTCATGCCCTATTCAGATACCCGAATAAGTAAACAAGTAGCATGATGAGTTCAGATATCTATATTTTTAAAAGATCATCCCCCTCACCCCCCCACAGCCCCATAGTGCGCTCCTTAGGTTTGTTTCAGACCTACGAGAAACACTGCAGACTGATCTAGGATGTCTTTTAGAGCTAGATTATAAATCACCCAATGAACACTCAAAAAAATCATTTCCAAACCATCTGATTTAAAAGCATGTGTAAAAGGCTCCTTTTGTCTGCTTTCTATTTATACTGTCTTTCTGAGAACTTCTGAAAAAATTTGTCTTTATAAGAAGCGGTAACAGTTTATGTTAATAAAAATATCATGTGACTGGAATATCTCATCATGCATTACTGGAAAAGTAATGGTAAAATTTGTTATTTTCATACCTGAGGTCGACCTCAGCGGTAGCAGCATGGAGAGGCAAGCGCCCGTTCTTATCAGGGATGTTCTGTTTGGCTCCGTTTCGCAGCAAACAAACACATCCTTCCAGCCAGCCCTTTAAAAGATAGCAAACAAGGTCATATCAGCAAAACTATTGAAGCTTGCTGGAAATATCACTCTGCATGTACAAGAATAGACATTATTTTATTTGAAAGGTTTTGTGTGGCTATGATAACAGCTATGTAACATACTGTGGCCTAGAAATGCGTAGGAACTAGCTCCATTCAGTCAGTTCAAATAAAACTGTGAAGAACTTTCAAATGAAAATGATCTATTATTTTCTTACTTCTTTTATTCACTGACGTCGTTTGTAATTAGCTCATATATTTGCTGACAGGGGCATTGGCTGGGCACATAAAACTTCCAGTTCAGTCCAGTCCATTGTAGAATTGTTTTGATATAAACTTCACCCAGGATTTTTTTAATTAACCTGTAAAATGTGCAGTTGCTACTTTTTTATTTAACATGAAAATTTACAAATCATTAAAATGTGCAGCAATTTAGTTTGTAAGATTTTATTTTGAACCCATGTGTTTATCTCTTTGAGGTTAATAAAGTAAATTAGTAATATATGTCTGGCTTTTTCTGTGTGGTGTGTTAGTGTGTGTCATGCTGGTCTGAGTGGATCAGACACAGCAGTGCTGCTGGAGTTTATAAACACCTCAGTGTCACTGCTGGACTGAGAACAGTCCACCAACCAAAAATATCCAGCCAACAGTGTCCTGTGGGCAGCGTCCTGTGATCACTGATGAAGGACAAGAGGATGACCAACACAAACTGTGCAGCAACAGATGAGCTATCGTCTCTGACTTCACATCTACAAGGTGGACTGACAAGGTAGGTGTGTCTAATAGAGTGGACAGTGAGCGGACTGCAGCTTGTACCAGCGCAACACACAATAACACACTACCACCACGTCAGTGTGACTGCAGCGCTGAGATTGATCCACCACCCAAATAATACCTGCTCTGTGGTGGTCCTGTGGGAGTTCTGACCAGTGAGGGTAAAAGGGGGCAAACAAAGTATGCAGAGAAACAGATACAGTCTGTAACCGTAGAACTACAAAGTGCACCTATATGGTAAGTGGACCTGATAAAATGGACAAAGAGTGTAGATACAAGATGTAATTAAAGAAGTGGCTGGTTTGTGTGTATTTATGAACTTTATAAACTTGCTCAAAATCCATTCTGAATTCCTTTCAGCCCTACTCCACTACAGTGAGTACCAGGTACGTGGCGAGGGAGAGAGATGTCCGGCCGCAGGCGTCCTGAGTGTTGATGGATGCTCCCATCTTCAGCAGCAGTTTCACTGTGTCCACCTGCCTCCCAGAGACGGCGTGCATCAGCGGTGTGGAGCCTAAAAAAAGAGACATAAGCAACAAGGCGTCATCTCAACATGCAGACCAAATTGGCATCCACAGAATCTCCATCCACAGTCATCATTCAGCTGTATGCATCATGTTGCTGCTGTTACAACACTTATTATCTGGCTTCCAACTTACACCAAGACTACAAAGTACACTTTATTTTGTTTAGACCTTTTAGTAAGCTCACTGGTCACTTTATTAAGGGGCATTCCAGCCTAAAACTATAATATACAATGATATTTGTTGTGTTATGTAGTATTCTATAGCAAACATTATATGCCTCAGCTTCGTTGGTTTGACAGAAGTCACAATTTTATATTGTTTTCATGTTTTGGTTCAGCTGTGTTTTCTTACTACAACACCCAGCAAGCATTTTGCAAATACATCATAGAACCACTGGGAATCCCTGTGGTGTCAATGAATGCTGCCTGCTAGCCTAGCCACCAAACTATAGGCTAATAAATACAGTGCCTTGCAAAGTTTCATTCAATCCCCCTGAAAGTTATCAGAATCATCTGGATTACAAATGACACCTTAATATTTGTGCAGTGTCACATTTTATTTTAAAAGGTTTTATGTTAGAAAATATTCTGTAACAAAAATGACTAACTGAAAAATGCTGTTTGCATAAGCATTCAATATACTGCTCTAACGAGGACGCAACTGCCTTACAGTTGGCCTCTACTTGTGAACCATTAAAAAAGTTCACCTTTTCTGCATCATGTTGTGTGGCAGATGCTTTTCCTGGGCGGGGACTGTCCATCTTGTTATAACTGAAGGATAGATGATGCAAAATACAAGGAGATACTGCAAGACAACTTGCTTCAGTCTCAGAGCTAAAGCTTGGGAAGAACTTCACTTTTCAGTAGGACAGAGATCCCAAGCACAAGGCCAAAGCAATGCAGGAGTGACTGAACCACCAAAAAGTGCATGTTCTAGAAAGTCCAATCCAATCAAGAATCTGTGGCACTATTTGAGAATTGCAATCCAGCATCATCCAACCAACCTGAACAACCTGGTGCAAATCTGCCAAGAAGGATGGGTGAAAATCACTCCCAAACTGAGTACAAAGGTGGTAGGAACAGACTTAACCCCTGAAAATCTCAGGCTTATTACATAATAAAGATTATTATTCAGTAACTATAGGGATTTCAACGCAAGCTGGTTCAGCTATTCTTAGGTTATAGAAGTGTGTAATACAACTTTAGGGCCCGCTGGTGGGCCCTGACCATTTAAAGTGTCAAGGTTGTCATTGCAGCAAAACATGGTTCTATCAAGTACTAGTCTGAAGGAATTGAATACTTATGCAGGGAACAATGAATTTTGACTTTAAAATTTATTTTAGTTTGCAATAAAAAACACTGGCTGGAATGCACTATATAAACAAGCTAACATTAGTGTAACTCTTACCTTAGTCCTCGAAGTAAATCATGAAGAAAACAGTGATTCTATCATGTAGCAGAATAGCCATTTTTGTTTATCCTTTCAGCCAGAGAAAAGCAGCCAAAGTAAGGTGAGGTGAGGTATCTAGATAGCCAGATAGCCTGCTAACTTTAGCTTTTAGAGTTGTCTGTTGTTCTGTTGTCTGTAATCCATTCTCTCCATTGTAATGATGGTTTGCATGCAGTTATTACATTTATACGGCTGAGATTCAACTCTCTAGCAGCAGCATTAGCTATCTAGCTACATTTACTAGCAAAATCAAAACAGCTCACAAAACTCCACCCAGAGCTGCTGTAGTTTTTCAACAGCATCTTCATCAGTAAGAGGGTTTTGCTAGTGTTTAAACCAGAAACAGATGTAGCATTGATTACAATATTAGCCAGAGTGTGCCTTTAAAAACACTTGTCTTGCTAGCTAGCCCCACCTTGTTGGTGTTCATCTGCCTATAAGCCATTTATTGAGGCATCATTTGTGTTAGTCGTCTTCTAGTTCCTTATCAGTGATCATTTTTTGACCACAAAGCCACTTTTAGCTGGGTATTTTTGGGTGGTAAACCACTTCCAACTTAGCAGTGACACTGACGTGTGTTAAACATCTATGCTGTGTTTGAAACACTTGCACCACACATGCTACCATGCCACTACAATGTCAGTATTCTTGTTGCATTGAGAATGACCCATCAACAAAATAATATCTGGTCACCAGCCGTCTTGTGGTCAGAAACTAGGGGTTGATAAACTGTGACAACAGATGGGTCTGTAACTGTGTGGAAATACCAGATAGGAGTTTCTAATAAAGTTCACGGTGAGCGTAGTATCATGCTGTGCTTTGAATCTGACTGATCTGCCTGATTTAAAATACAGTCAGCCCTATGTGTTATTAAGAACAATTATATAATACATATTAAAGCCAATTAAAGTCAGTGAAATAAAGTGCTGGGAAAAATAGCTGTAGCAGTGGAGCACTGTACATGCCTTCACTATCGCAGTACTCCAGGATGGACGGGTCCTCACGTATCGTGGCTGTCAGAGTGTTGACGTCTCCTGTGGCTGCTGCTTGGAACACCACACTCAAGTCGACCTCCTCAGCACAGTCTGACAAGAACAGATGGAGAAAAATCTATCATAACTATCATTAAATTATTGTAATTAAACTAAAATTAAATTAAGGCAGTACTCTACCTCATTCGACATACATCAGCTCATTAGCAAGGTCTTCAATAGCTAAAGAGAGTTTGAGGAGGGATAACACTAATCTCTGCACAGCTGTGGCCCTCTGGGACCTGAATTAGACACCCCTGGCTTAAAGCGAGAAAACTGTGATGTCCAATTTTTGGACGAATTGTTGGACAAAGTGTGAAAGAAGCATAAAGGATGTGTTAATGGGGAATTCCACCAAATTTTTTAAATTTTAACATAATTCAGTCACTGACATGCAGACAGAATCATTCAGAGTGGATTGATGTGACATGGTTAGTAGAGAAGCTTTCTTTACAGTGGTGGTGATTGGAACCAGAGACCATGATGCCAGCAACAAAAATATAGCCATTTTATCTGCTATCCAAATTGGCGAATGAACCTAAACATATCTTCTGAATTTTTTATATGTAATGTTCATGTACCTCTCTGGCATATATAGGTTGTAAAAAATGCATTTTAGCCCAAAATCTTCTTAAAACTATTAGAAATCAGTATATCAGGCATCAGACAACATATTCGTAATCATCTCATGTAACAACTAACCGTGAGGTAGCTTTTAGAGACATTAAATGATTCAGACATCTGGTTTCTCTAGACCATTCTGAATGACTTTGTTTGCATACTAACTTTTTCATTACACAGAAACTTTGTAAAATGGAAAACCAGGAGCTTTAGAACACCACTACATATGATTTGTGGTTCAAGTAAACAATTTCATACACTATTGTTACCCAGGTTTGCCAATCACTGTGTGACAGCATTTACATTTTTGCATTTATATTACATTACATTTACATTATCATTCTCACTGAAGTAGGAGGCAGAGCATGCTCATCACTGATCTAGCATAAATATAGACCAAATATATATATGGACCCACTATCCACCTCTTCAAGCATCCCTTCCCATGTCACTGCTAGATGTCCTGAGACACCCCCAGCATCTCCTCTCCAGGCATGGTCCCAGAGCCAGTCAGAGCCTCTGAAGACCACCTAGCCCAATGACTGATGACTGTCAGCACCATAACCTGGGGGCTGCTTCCTACACACAAGTTGTTCTCTACTGAAAAGGCACCACCATCACGCCGAAAAAGCATTAGCTAGTACCAAGAGCTGGGTATCACCATGGCAACAGAGACAGCCATACACCCCCCCTCACCCGCCTTCCATTCTTACCTTTGTGCTGGTCAAACACAGATGAAGAGGTGAACTCCATGACCGGGGGAGAGGAGCAGGGGGAACAAATCAGCAACCCCTGCAGATACTAAACCCACTATAGACTAAGACATTGTGTATGGGGGTGCTCCTCTTCTGGCTCTGGTGGAACCCATAGACGCTGGCTGAAGAGATAGAGATGGAGAGAGAAAGAGATAGAGATGGAGAGAGAGAGAGAAAGAGAGCGAGAGAGAGAGAGATTGAGAGAGAGGGGGAAGAGAAAGAGAGAGAGAAAGGGACAGAAGCGAGTATACAGGTGCCTTCAGGGTAAACGCTACGCATCCATTTCTCCCGCTGGATGTTGAGGTGAAGAAGCCGCTCTGGCAGTGAGCGATGTGTCTGTGAATGGGGATGGAGAAGCGCGCACTGCGCATGCGCAGCGGCGTCAACGCAGCCTGGTGGCAGCCAGCACGAGCGCAGGGCTTGTTTTCGTTGTGCGCGTGCACCGAGGACACCAGAGTTAACGCAGGATCTATTAATATGTTCTCCACACGCATGGAGAACGCCGCACGCGCTCCTCAGCCTCTCTAAAGCCAGATATAACAAAATGCCAGAGTGTGCCAGTGTCAATAGGGAGCACTGTAAATGTCATCTGAAGAACCATCATTTTAAGTTTGTAGACATAGAATTCAAAAAGACATGACAAAAAGTAAAATACACGAGGCCTGTGCACGTCAGCCAAACCAGCACGGATGATAGGCAAGAACATAAAACACTTTAGAAAATTATAATTAATTGCCATTTTTAAACCTTTATAGCTCACATAACATAATTCTGTGATTTCTTTTTAATTTTTCATTTTTATCACAATTTGCTCATTTAGGGTTCACATTTAAAGACCCATGTCATAAATTTTTCTTGTGTTTTATTTTTTCTCCTAAGGTCCACAACAACAGTTATAATTCATTGTATATATATATATATATATATATACATATGATTGGAATAATATATGTAAATTAACTCTCTTCTGATTGGCTGCTCTATACCGTGCCTCATTCAAAATGCAGTCAGGGCCAAAACACACTCTATATGAGTTCACCTTCACCCATGCGCACTTCGTAGTTCTACGGTTACAGACTATAGTCCATCTGTTTCTCTGTATACTTTATTAGCCCCCTTTCACCCTGTTCCTCAGTGGTCAGGACCCCCACAGGACCACCCCAGAGCAGATATTATTTGGGTGGTGGATCATTCTTGCATTCAGCATGTTGTGCTGGTACGAGTGGATCAGACGCAGTGCTGTGTCCACTCACTGTCCACTCTATTGGACACACCTACCTTGTTGGTCCAACTTGTAGATGTAAATTCAGAAACAGTAGGTCTGTTGATGCAGCTTGTGTTGGTCATCCTCTAGTTCTTCATCAGTGGTCACAGGACGCTGCCCACAGGATGCTGTTGGCTTGATATTTTTGATTGGTGGACTGTTCTCAGTCCAGCAGTGACACTGAGGTGTTTAAAAACTCCAGCAGCTCTGCTGTGTCTGAGCCACACAGACCTGTTATATATTCCATTTTTTTCGTTTTCTTTTTCTACCTCATTTCAACCAACCCACACTCCTCAAACATTCCTACATCATAAAACTCATTAGTGGAAATTGATGGAATGATAAACCTGTATTCAATTACATGTAATTTTTAAGGATGAAGATAAAGAAATTAAAAATATTAATGATTTTCTGTGCAGTATAGTAAAGGTATAGATCTGCAAAAAATATCTTCATCTGTGTTTAGGAAAATACATGGAGCTCTGCTGGTGACATCCTGTATAAATAAAAATAGTGCGCGTCCACAACCTAGTAAGGCATGGGAACAAGATAATTAAGTCATGGCCACGACTGAATTATCTCATTCCCACACCTTAATAAGTCGTAGCCACGCATTAGGATCTTGTTCCCACGTGTTAATAAGGTGTGGCCAATGTAACCTCTGGGATATAGCCATTTAAGCTGCATGCTAGATTTGGAGATGTCTCTGGTGGAAATTTGTAGTTGCATGCAATGTGTGGAAGAACATTTTAGTAGCGTCTGTTATGCTTCAGGCTCTTTTCCTGAGCAAATGAGTCTGATGACTCAGAGTATGTTGAAAGAGTATTCCAGGAGAACTCAGTCAAAACCTGTTGAGTGATGTGTCTTCTAAGATGTAAGAAAGACAATCTACTAGTGTGATCATGTCTTTATTAGTATGATGTTGATTTTGCATATGAAACCTAAACATCGAGCTAGACTTTCTTTTTGAGTCTGTTCATGCGGCATTAATACGAAAAGACGTATGAAGTAACCGCAAAACTGACTCAACACCTCTGAATTTTAAATGAGTATTTCAGACTTTACAGGGTGACTCACAGCGGTGCACACACACCACAATTAGGTTGTTTTTTCTACTGCTACTGCTTTCAATTTGAACAAAAAAGAACTTACAAAATCTTACATAGTGCTGCTTTAAATCTTGAATTATCAAAACATTGCCCTTGAAAACTATATTATCACAAAGAAAATACCATAAAATATAGTAAACCAATAGAAATCTTTCAATACATACATCTATACTGCACCAAAAAGAGCTCTGCTACTGTTAGAAGTCATAGAACCTTTCTGTGCTACTGTGTAGAACCCTATTTGTGGCTTTGTGTTGTATGCCTACTTTTTCATGATAAGTATGAGTTGATCTCAAAGTATGGATATCAAGTTATATGACCTGAGTGCCCAAAGTAAACCCTCCCACTCACTGCTGCTCTCCACAGCCTGACAAAGGCTGCCTCCCAGCATAAAATATAATGGTCAACAGGAAATTAAGCAAAATGCTAAGTAACTCAGAGTTTAGGATGATGTTGCAAGTTTGCACTGATGATGTCTGAATGATCCGTATTCCTACTGCACTCAACTCAGAATGTGAATGAAAGGTTCAGTCGCGGAAGTGATGAGAAATGCCTGTGTTGAAACAGCAGAAGGCCCCGCTCCAGTGGAGAGCGTATTTTCATTCCATTCATATTTATCATGCAGCCTGTCACCATGGGAACGCTGGAGGACATCAGCTGATTATGAAAAATAGTCACTGAACACTCGGAGTGTAAAATGAACTCATTGCCTACCAGGCTGAAGCCTGCAGACAGATCCACAACAAAATAAGATCAAAATCAGTTTGATTTTCTTTATGTTCCTTTCAGCAAATTGCTTTTAAAGGGTCTGTATCCTAGATTTCTTCTTGGTTTTTTGTTTTTTATAATTATTCTTGTTTTTATTTTGCCTCCTGAGGTCCACTTATAAAATGTTGCAGTGTTTTATGTGCCAAAAAGAGTCATAATTCATTTTTACATTTTTACATGACAGTTTCACAACCTCTCTTTATCTTTTAGAATTAAACAGGCTGTTTTTGTTACTCTGCCTTTGAGAACGACATATGTAAATTACCTCTGTTCTGATTGGCTGCCCTGTATTGTGCCTCATAAACACTCCTTATGACTTCATAAACGGGCAGGGCTTAACTGCTGTATGCTGTATAAGTGTATATATGTGAATGTGTTGATTTGATCTGCTTAGTTTCTATATGGATCATATGAACTACGGAGAGAACTTTAAAAAAGGTTTACATTCTACAACAAGCCCTTTTATTTTAAAAAGCACCCTGTAACGTGGGCTCTTTAATAAAAACGAGGTTGTGGAGAGAAACAACTCAAGGCTGCTCCTCAAGTGTTGAGGCCAAAAATGGCATTTGAATGATTTCACTCATTGTCTGGTAATCACAGTGCTCAGTTTGTTACTGTTTGAGACTCTATATATTGGATTTACAATGTAAAAATGCAGGTTGAATAATTCTAAATAAAACTAACCTGCAAACAATACAACATTGTGTAACAAAGTATAATGCAACATGTGAATTGTTTTATTTTATTACATAAACATTACACAAACATTACAAGTACAGTTAAAATGGGACTGTAGGGCTTAGTGCTGATCTTAGTTTGGGTGTAATTCTTTATAGTGTTTATATGTGTTTGTCAAAGCACAAAGCACAAGCAGATTCCCTAAACATTTAAGTTATGGTATGTAGCTCCTGGTATGTTTTATCATTATTATTATTATTATTATTATTATTATTATTATATATGTAATACACCCTTACACCCCTCAAAAATCCCAGAGTTATTACAAACTAAGCCTTATTATTCAGCAACTACATACACAAACAGGCTGTGCTATTCTTAAATGATCGAAATGAGTAATAAGCCTTTGGCCATTTAAGGGGTTAAATGTTATAATGTTTTCAAAACGGTTTCAGAAATGTTATCTTCAGTTTACCATATGAAACATGATTTTTGGATCTCTCACTGTCTGCATGGTGGATAGAAGCATGTGCTTCACAAAACCAAAGATTTTAGGAAAGCTGTTGCTATCCCATCACTGTTCTAACCAAATTCAATCAATAATATCCACCTGATTTTCCATGTAATGCATGACATGGAAAATCAAAATTTTCTGAAATGAAGAAAGTTTGATAGTATAGATGCAGAAGTTTAAATGTATATCACTCCACTCAGTCCAAACTGATGTGATGTCATGAAAACCAACAAATTGACATTATATCCACCTATTCAGCCTACAGCAGTTTAACTGTAGGTCTGTGTGCTTTTTAAAACAGCAAAGGAAAACAGGATATATATTCTTCAGATCTCTATCCTTTCTTTTTCCGTGTGATGGGCAAACCTATAAACACACACCTAAGCTATCTGGTAAATACAACCTGCCGATGAGCAGCTGAACACAGCAGAAGTTACAAGTGTTTTAGCATTTTTGAATAATAATAAGGCACAATATAGGACAACCAATCAGAACAGAGCTCGCTTACATATATCACCACAACAATAACAGCTTGATTATTCTTAGGGATAAAGACAGACTGGAAAATAGTCATACACTAACCTCAGTGGTGGGTGGGGTGGGGAGAAAATACAAGAAAAAAGTCTGATTGGGCCCTTTAGTACAGAGAAGTCCAACACACTCAACTGCAATGACAGTCTTTGTCCAGCAGGTGTTGTTCCTCTCTCAGTGATGCAGGTGAGCCATAAGCTAAAGGAGTCCAAGACACAGTAGAGTGAAGCATGTTTTTGTTGTGGTCAACTCTAAAAGATACTGATATATTGATATATATATATATATATATATATATATATATATATATATATATATATATATATATACTGATGTATTTGTTTATACAGAACTCAAACAATGAGATGTGGTACAACATCATGTGTCACATGGTTAAATAACTTTCAAAGCTGTCTTAGAGGCTAGCTGTTTTTATATGACTGTAACATAGCCTGCTGCATA